GACACATACACACACCACACACACACAGTCAGACACATACACAGACACAAACACACACACACACACACACACACATACACAGTCAGAGACACACACACACTCACAAACACAGTCAGACAAAAACACACACACAGTCAGACACAAACACACACACACACACAGTCAGACAAAAACACACACACAGTCAGACACAAACACACACACACACACACACAGTCAGACACAAACACACACACACAGAAACACACACACACACATACACAGTCAAACACAAACACACACACACACACGGTCAGACACACACACACATACACGGTCACACACACACTCACAAACACAGTCACACACAAACACACACACACACAGTCAGACTCACAAACACAGTCAAGACACAAACACACACACACACACACAGTACAAACACACACAGACACATACACACACACACACAGTCAGACACATACACAGGCAATACCAATCAGACATAAACACAGACACATACACGAACACAAATACAGTCAGACACAAACACACACACACACACACACTAACTTTTTTTTTTTTTAAATCCCCCCCCAACCTCCTTACCTGTGGGAGTGCTGGGGGGGGGGGTCTCTCTCCCTGGTGGTCCAGTGGCTGCAGAGCGGGCGGGCGGCGGGCGGAGCACTTCCTATGAGCTCTCTGCTCAGCTCCCTCGCGCGCTGCATAGTAAGGCTGGGAGCCGGGTTGATGACGTCATCTTCCGGCTCCCAGCCTCACTCTGCGGCGCGCGAGGGAGCTGAGCAAAGAGCTCATAGGAAGTGCTCCCTCGCCAGCCGCCCGCCTGCCAGTGCCGCCCGCTCGGGATGTCAGTTAGCCGCAAGGCTAACTAGGCATTTGCCCTGGGCATTTGGGGGGCGGCGTTTTTTGCCGCCCCCTGAAAAATGCCGCCCAAGGCAAATGCCTTGTTTGCCTCGCGGCTAATACGCCCCTGCCTGCCCCTCACAGTCTACATACCCACCGCCTGCACCCCCATACTGTCACCCCCACAGCCTGCCCCCCAAAAGAGTCACCCCCACAAAATACCACATACTGCCAGCCCAAAGTCTGCACCCCACAATATACCACATACTGCCCCCCACCAAAGCATGCACCCCACAGTCTGCCACATACTGCCCCCCACAGCCTGTCAGCCTCCAATGGTTACTCCAATGGCCACTGGAGGGAATGCCCGTCTGCCAACGTCAAGGCAGACCCCTCCTAGATGGGTCCTACTCTAACCCTTTACCTTGCTTCCTTGAGCTTCTGGCAAAAATATCTCTAATGAGACAGAAAGGAGTATTTTTTATATACACCCCCTATATACTTGTTAACCCTTAATAGAGAACACATGGGATGGGCGGCAGCATTGTAACCAAGCTGTGTGATACAAAAAGTGAATACAAATAGAAAAGTCCTGCGCTCCCTCCCATCAGTCCTGGGCGGCAGCAACGACTACAGTACACATCCCTCCAGTGGCCATTGGAGTAACTAAATGACCTCCATTTGTTTAAATATACATAGGGATTAAGGAGAAAGCGCATGTAACTTTTTTTCTTTGGTTTTACTATATGTATTAGCTGATGTGTACTGTAGTCGTTGCTGCCACCCAGGAGTGATGGGAGTGAGCGCAGGACTTTTCTTTTTGTATTTGTATAACATAATGGATGTTGGTGTGGGGGCGGGTAGGGGGGCAGCATTTTGTTCTTGGACCCAGGCAGCAAAATGACTTGGGCCCCGGCCCTACACCAAAATAATATTAAACTGGGGTCAGCACAAAGGTCCATTGAACCACTACAGTGAACTATTTAGTTTGTATTCCTTAAAGTGTTATACTGGTTGTATATAAATTATCAGTCTTTTTTTATGCAGAACTCCTATTAAAATGGAATGATGCCACAATTCCCCTGATTTGCATTTTTCATACGCAGGCCTCATTAACATGTTGAATGCTATCAGCCAACTGACATTCCTGTAAGGCAAATCTTATTCCTCCTTTCAAATGTTTTTCTCTAGAGTGAAATATTGCTGCCCTTGACTGGTTTGATGAGCATTTGTGTATGGTAATCAAGAATTTACTGTGTATTTCAATGCAAAGATAAAGCAGAACCCTGCTCTGTTATAGTTGTATCCATTATGTGCAAGTGTCTTGCAAAAACCCTGGTGGCTTCACCTTTTACACTTCTAGTACAAAGTGCTTACAGATCTGTTTTCTGTGACCAATTAAACCTCCTCTAGGGTAAAGTGATGATTGTGGTAATTTCTTGTAATGGTCATATTAATTGTCTCTCCCTCCATTTTGACTTTTGAAAGTGGTTATGAATCTGTATTTTCTGTGGTTTAGGGGCTGCAGCACAATCATGAGATCCCATGAGTTATGTTCTGATTGTATGGATATTTTGACTCTTCATCTAGTCTCTCCACTCATAGAATCAGCATACCAATCAAAATAATTGTGCCTAGCAACCAAATAAAAGATGGAAAAAGAGAAAGACCAGTCATTAAACTAGCACCATGGCAACATAGCCATAGCAACCACGTAATTGGTCCTCCCTGTATCAGAAGATTCCAATAATGTGAAGGTACACAGTGAACATGACATTCAGACCGGTGACTAGCCAGAAAGAAGCATGTTTCCCAAACCAACTGCAATGTCATAGATACCCTGTGAATTCCCAGACGAGTTTGCTCTGTTTGTAGTTTGGGAGCAGTATGGTTGTAGAGGAACATGCCAGCAGCACCATGTATGTAGTCTTTATTGCTATAATAGTGGGGTGGTGGTAAAGGTTAGACATACAATTTACTTACACACTTACACATAGGGTTATTCACTAAAGTGAGAATTGCTCTGTGAATTGAAAGTAAATTTCAAAATTTCAAAATGTATGGACAAACTGAAAACAGAATTGACTAGTTTGGCTTTTGTGGCCTATATTTTGAATTGATCATAAGTCCCTAGCATTCATATGTAGGGGGGACTGGACAAAAGTGGGGGAAATGTTTTGGCAAAATGCCTCCAGGTCATGCAAAGTCTTTGGTTGTCTTGCATGATCCCAGAGTGACTCGATGATATTAAGGTCAGGAGACTGAGAAGGCAACTCCAGAACTTTCACCTTTTTCTGCTGTATCCACTGGATGGTCAACTTGGCCTTGTACTTGTAGTGGACCACGGGTTACCCGACCGGTTACCTCCGCTATTTCCTTTCTTTCAGCCATTCAGGAACCCTTACAGTAACTGGACGAAACACAGCCTTGGAGGTTACAACACTGACTGACTTTTATTTTGTACACATGGTTTTTACAGACACAGACCCCTACATGGGATCTCCAACACAAAAACAACAGGGGTTTCAATCCCAAGAGGCTGAACGGGGAGGGATGAAGGACAATGCATCTAGGTTAAACTGGGCAGGCAGTGTCTCTGTGTCTCACTTCTATACTTTACAGAGCTGCTGCATATACAGGCACAATAGATGAAAGGCATAGAAATACATGGTGAAACCCAGTGGGACCACACAATCCATTTCCTGCTGCTGAGGAACAAGACCAGTCGTCTCCGTTCCCTGCACCTCACACTGCCTCTGGGGGAAGCGTTTGGTTGTCTCCGCTCCCTGCACCTCACACTGCCACTGGGGGAAGAGATCAGTTGTCTTCGCTCCCTGCACCTCACCATGCCACCGGGGAGGAAGGATGGAACACTTCTATCCCTGGACCTAGAAACATGGAAACATAGAATGTGATGGCAGATAACAAATGTGAGGAAGGCTGAACTTGATGGACGCAAGTCTCTTTTTAGCTATGTAACTATGTAACCATTTGGCCCATCTAGTCTGCCCAATTTTTAAAAATACTTTCATTAGTCCCTGGCGTTATCTTATAGTTAGGATAGTCTTATGCATATCCCACGCATGCTTAAACTCTTTTACTGTGTTAACCTCTACCACTTCAGCTGGAAGGCCATTCCATGCATCCACTACCCTCTCAGTAAAGTAATACTTCCGAATATTATTTTTAAACATCTTGTTGTAGTTTTTCTTGTTTTAATAGTCTCCTCCTTTACCGTGTTGATTCCCTTTATGTATTTAAATGTTTCTATCATATCCCCCCTGTCCCGTCTTTCCTTCAAGTTATATATTTTAAGTTCCTTTAATCTTTCCTTGTAAGTTTTAACCTGCAATCCATGAACCAGTTTAGTAGCCCTTCTCTGAACTCTCTCTAAAGTATCAATATCCTTCTGAATATACGGTCTCCAGTACTGCGTACAGTACTCCAAGTGAGATCTCACCAGTGTTCTGTACAATGGCATGAGCACTTCCCTCTTTCTACTGCTAATACCTCTCCCTATACCAGTGGCGTCTCTAGGATTCATCTTTAGGGGGGGCACATGGTGGGCCACAGACAAAAGTAGGGGGGCATATTTAACCCCGCCCTCACCGCAGTTTGACCTCGCCCCGCCCCCGACACAATGTGTTTTTTTTGTTGTTTTTTTTAATAATCCCTGGTGGAGAATTCATTATTTTCCACCAAGGATTATTAAAAAACAAACACATTTCCCTTGATACAGTCCTTACACACACACAGACTGCTGAGTCCTTACACACACAGAGACTGCTGAGTCCACACACACACAGACACACAGACTGCTGACCATACACACACACACACACAGACACATAGACTGCTGAGTCCACACACACACACACACAGACTTCTGAGTCCATACACACACAGAGACTGCTGAGTCCATACACACACAAACACACAAACTGCTGACCATACACACACACACACACACACATAGACTGCTGAGTCCACACACATACACAGACTTCTGAGTCCATACACACAGACTGCTGAGTCCATACACACACACACAGACTGTTGAGTCCATACACACACAGACTGCTGAGTCCATACACACACACACACACAGACTGCTGATTCCATGCACACATACAGACTGCTGATTCCACACACACACGCACACACACACACACAGACTGCTGAGTCCATACAAACACAGACAGACTGCTGAGTCCATACACACACACACAGACACACAGACTGCTGAGTCCATACACACACACACACACACACAGACTGCTGAGTCCATACACACACTGCTGAGTCCATACACACATACACACAGAGACTTCTGACTCCATACAAACACAGACACGTTGACTGCTGAGTCCACACACACACACACACACACACACACACAGACTGCTGAGTCCATACACACACACACACACATACTGCTGAGTCCATACACACATACAGACAGCTGAGTCCATACACACACACTGCTGAATCCATACACACATGCAGACTGCTGAATCCATACACACACACTGCTGAGTCCATACACACACAGACTACTGAGTCCATACACACATACAGACTGCTGAGTCCATACACACACACACACACACACACTGACTGCTGTGTCCATACACACATACAGACTGCTGAGTCCATGCACACACAGACAGACTGCCGAATCCATACACACAGACTGCTGAGTCCATACACACACAGACTGCTGAGTCCATACACACACACACACACACACACACACACAAACACACAGACTGCTGAGTCCATACACACATACATACTACTGAGTCCATAAACACATACATACTGCTGAGTCCATACACACATACATACTGCTGAGTCCACACACACACACACTGCTGAGTCCATGCAAACACACAGACTGCTGAGTCCATACAAACACACAGACTGCTGAGTCCATACGCACATACAGACTGCTGAGTCCATGCACACACAGACAGACTGCTGAATCCATACTCACAGACTGCTGAGTCCATACACACATACAGACTGCTGAGTCCATACACACAAAGACAGACTGCTTAGTCCATGCACACAGACTGCTGAGTCCATACACATACACAGACTGCTGAGTCCACACACACAGACTGCTGAGTCCATACACACACACACACACACACACACACACAGACTGCTTAGTCCATACACACACAGACTGCTGAGTCCATACACAGACTGCTGAGTCCATACACACACACACAGACTACTGAGTCCATACACACACACACTGTTGAGTCCATATACATACAGACTGCTGAGTCCATACACACACAGACTGCTGAGTCCATACACACACAGACTACTGAGTCCATACACACACAGACTACTGAGTCCATACACACACACACACACACACACACACACACAGACTGCTGAGTCCATACACATACACAGACTGCTGAGTCCATACACACACACTCACACACACACAAGCTTCCTCACTAGCAGACAGACAGACACAGACACACACACCTGAGGATATCAAGCCTACCTGTCACTGGAGGCTGTTGCTGGGTGTCAGACAGCCATCTTCCATCCTTTCCAGCAGCAGCGTGGTCTGGACACATATTAGAACATAACAGTCCGTCAGGCTCCTCCCAAATCCTCTTTCTTTGCTGCTTGCCTCCCAGGTGAGTCTATTCCAATTACAGCTCTCTCTTTGTGTATATTTTATTATATTATATATGCATTGTTTTGCTTTTTTTCATAAAATGTTTTGACTCCTTTAATTAGTTTTACCTCTCTGTTGTTAATATGAGGTAATTTGTGTGCTTGCTTGTCTAGCCCTTTATGACACTGACCTTTCTCCGGTCAGCCTACTGTCCAATCCCTTCCCTATGATTTTTGCTTGATCATTGGGACTTGTGCCTCACTGATCGTTTCCTCGGTAAGGTTTCTGTCAGGCCGCGCCACTGCTGTGGCTGCGGCCCGTTGTACTCACGCCCGCAATCTGTTTCTGTGCCGCCCTTTTCTACGCGTCATTGATAGATGCACGGTACCTGCCTTCCTCCTTCTTGCCGGCGGCCATCTTCTGTTCGGCAGTTTGTCTCCTGTTTCACGCGCTTTTTGTGACAGCTCCGATCGGGATTTTGCAGCTCTGTTAAACTGTAAGTACATTGTCCTCTGCTGGTTCTTTTTATTATTAACTGTCACTATTATAGAACATTTTACTTATCATAGTCTATTTGTTTTTATTGCAGCTGCCTTCATATATAAGTACACCTCTGTGCCTACTAGAAGGTGACCCCCTCTTGCCTCTTTTTCTGAGGGTGACCCCTCTTGCCTTATATCTGAGGGTGAACCCTTTATTAACTAAAGGGTGAACCCCATGTTTTTTGATTAGACAGGTTTCACCTGTCACTATTATACTGACAGTTTAACTGCCATAACTGTGGATGAACCCCACTGTGTCCCCTTAAAAAGCGACTGAATATTTTGTCTAGGTGAACCCCAATAGAAAGCCCCTGCCTTTGCTTTGTCTTGTCAAATTTGTTAATATAAATAATAATTAAAAAAAATATATAATAATAATAATAATAATAATATATATATATATATATATATATATATATATATATATATATAATTAATATACCTGTTGGTATACTATTTCTGTGGTGAACCCACTATTATTTTTTACTGGTCATCATGTCGGACCAACCAGAACCTGCAATGTCTGCAGAACTAAAAGCCTGGTTTCAAGCTGAAATTGCAGACTCTGTCCCTAAAGCCTTAGCAGCGTTTCGTGACCAGACAGCCACTACTGCCACCATCTCACAATTATCTGACTCTGATGATTCCAGGGTCTCTGATCTTGACGAAGCCCCACGTAAACATCCGTGGAAGGGTGACAGTGCTTCTGCTGGCAAAGGCAAAGCCCCAGCAAAGGCAGCTAAATTGTCTCATGCCAAACCTACTTTAACTTCAGAATTTGACCCCTTAAAGGGTTCAACCTCTGGCTATCACCTTCGAGTGATGGACGATTACGATGCTTATCCAGATGAGGATCTCCCACATGACCCTTCCTCTTTTGAATTTGTTACGGAGACCTTCCTCCTACCCCAAGACCAGTCCTTTCAGGACACTGATCCCATGTCCAATACTAATTTAGATACTACTAAAGATGATATCCTACTGGATAGCAATGGGTGTCCACTTTTTGACCTACGCTGTATCAGACACCCTCGTTCAGCTGACTGGACACCCCCTGATCACATTGCCAAATATAGCAGATTATGGCTTCGTAAACCCTTAGAAAAAGAAATTAGAGCAAAATTAAGTGCAGAATGTCCGCGGCCTACAATCCCTGATAAGGTGGCTGTCACCCCTGAGCTTGACCCACTCCTGGTCACTTTTCTAACTAAGACGGGCAAAGACCCCCGCAAAGGCATCGAAATAAGCTTGAAAGCCACACAAGATAAACTGATGGATATAGCGGGCCCGCTTATTCACATTTTTATAATTGCTGATGAGATGCTAGCAGGTGGCAATTTTGCATTTTGAATGGGCACAAAGAGCGTTATGCCTGTTGGGCAACGCCAATGTCGATATTTCAATTGAACGGCGTAAAGCCGTGTTATATAAAATTGATGCCAAACTGGCAGAACTAGGCACCAAAGAGGCAAACGGACTGTTATTTGAGGACAGGTTCATACGGGACCTGAATAAACACGTATCCGTGTTTACCTCCCTCAATAAGGCACAATTATACATTCGCAGGGTGTTTAGATCCCAGCGTTTTTCTGGGAGAGCTGGTCGCTACAGGGGCTGAACGACTAACAGAGCTGCCTTCACAGGCTACACGCCTCGACCATCAGGCGCATGGAATTCGGGCAATACCTGTTTCTACCACAAGCAGTTCTTTCCCTCTAGAGGATCCATCAGAGGACATGGATCTGCTTCCCTCCGTGGCCGTTCTGCTACAGGTAATCGACTTTCCTTATTCTCAACTTCCTATCCGGTTAACCCTTTTTTTCCAACAGTGGTCTCTATTAACTCGGTATCCATGGATCCTTCAAACCGGATCTGGTTTCCATATAGATTTTGCAAACAACCCTCTACAGGGGTCTCCCCCCCCCCTCCTCTGCACATGTCTCAAGAGGACAATGCGACCCTGGAGGCCATACTAAACGACCTTGTCTCCAAAGGCGCTATAGAACGTTCTCTATCCTCTCACAGATTCATAAGCAACATGTTCCTGGTCCGGAAACAGTCAGGAGACTTTCGACCAGTTATCAACCTGAAAGAATAAACAATTTTATCATTTACCGACATTTCAAAATGGAGGGTATACATCTCCTGCGAGACCTACTCTGCGAGGGAGACTGGTTCTCCCGTTTCAACTTGAAAGATGCGTACGTCATGGTTCCTATAACACCGGCCCATCGCTGTTTCCTACAGTTTAGATGGCATCAAGATTTATGGCAGTTCACATGCCTCCCCTTCGGACTCTGTTCCACACCTTGGTGTTTCACCAAGCTGATGAAACCGGTCATGGCCTTGCTACGCTCTCAGGGGATTCGATCCATCATAAATATGGACGATATCCTCCTTATGGCCCAGGACCCAGCCACTCTACGCCTCCATACAGACATGACCACAGCTCTATTACAGAACTTGGGGTTCATGATCAATGTCCAAAAATCTGTCCTCACACCATCTCAGATGGTTCAATTCCTCAGATTCCAAATAGATTCCGTTTTGGCTATCCTACAGCTTCCTGCAGTAAAGATCAGGAACATCAAAAAAGACATCAGGAAAATCCTAGCCTCTTCGACTATCCGTCTTCTCGACTTAGCTTTGCTTTTCCCAGCTCCTTTACATTATCGAGCAATGTAACGTCTGAAGACTCGCTCTTTACGTCACTCTGCATCTTACGATCAACTGATCTCACTGACAGACGAAGTCCGTCTCGAACTGAACTGGTGGCTACACCATATGGATGCGTGAAATGGAAGGGCGATCTTCGGCTCACAACCGGATTATATCCTAGAGTCAGATGTCAGCCTTCTGGGCTGGGGTGCGTCATGTGCAAATCTCTCTACAGGAGGTCGTTGGTCCCCATCAGAACGTGCACTGCACATCAATTGCCTTGAATTGATTGCGGGTTCGTTTGCGATTCGCAGCTTCGCAAAGGACTCTTACAATTGTTCCCTAGTGCTGAGGATGGACAACATCTCAGCTGTTCAATACGTGAATCGTTTAGGGGGTTCCCGCACCAAAATGCTCTCAGATCTCACAAAATAATTATACCAATTCTGTCTGGACAGGAACATCTCTCTTCAGGCAGAGTATCTGCCCGGTTCCGACAACCTAGTCGCAGATTGGTTCTCTCGACACTGGAGAGACTCCAGCGACTGGCAACTGTACCCACTCGTTTTTTAACGTCTCCATCTCCTTCAGGGTCCATTCCACCTCGACCTATTTGCGTCTCATCTGAATCGTCAGACAGACGCTTTTTTTCAGTTGGTTGCCGGATCCGACCTCTCTGGCAGTCGACCTTCAACCTTGGCCTTCAACCGTGGCCAATGACCAGGGCTTATGCTTTCCCTCCGTTCTCCATGATCCTTCGCACACTCCATCATCTCAGGACTCTGGGGACCACAATAACACTGCTGACTCCATTGTGGTGTACCCAACCATGGTTCCCCAACCTCTTGGAGATGTCAGTGGATTATCCACTAATGCTTCCTGCCACGCACGATCTTCTCAAAGATCCTGCAGGCAACTCTCACCCTCTCGCATTGCAGGGTTGTCTCCAGCTAGTGGCCTGGACTGTTTCAGGGGATCCTGGAATGTCGCAGGACTTTCGGAGACTACTAGAAATCTCTTATGGGACTCATGGGCCCCTGGGACTAGATGCTCTTACCTCTCGGCCTGACGAGTTTGGCATTGCTGGTGTTTGGAAAGGGGTATTGATCCTGATTCAGCTTCTTTGATTAATATTATGAATTTTCTGTCATCTCTTTTTGATCAAGGTAAATCTTACAGATTAATGTGTTCCATTCAGCAATTTCAGTAGCTCGTGGTCCCATTGACAATGCTGCAGTAGGTAAACATCCCTCTATCTGTAGACTGTTGCGTGGCTTTTGTCTTGCTCGACCTCCTGTCCCAAAATATTCTAATTTTTGGGATGTTGCCCTTGTTTTGTCCTTCTTGGAGGCTTGGCCATCCAATGAAGCACTCTCTCTCCGACAACTGTCTGCCAAGTTAGCTCTTCTTCTCTGCTTAGTGTCTTTTAGAAGAGTGTCTGATATTCAAGCATTTGACTTCCATGCTATTGATTTCACTCCCCAAGGTGTACGTTTCAACATTTCTCGACGCACTAAAACGAATTCCTTAATGATTACGTACCCTTATTGCTCTTACAAGCCATCTCTCTGCATTGCTTGTTGTGTCCAACACTACGTCGCCTCTATATCACCTCTACATACCCCTACGGGCCCCCTGTTTATCTCATATGTGCGACCACACAAGCCAGTGTCTTGTCCCACGATTGCCCGCTGGATTAAATGGCTTCTCGATTTAGCGGGCACAGATTCCTCTTTTGGAGCTCATTCTGTCAGAGGTGCTGCTGCCTCTTCCGCCTTTATGGCTGGGAGATCCCTTGCAGACATCCTAAAATGCGCTGATTGGTCTAGAGAATCTACCTTCCGTACCTTTTATTTTCGACAATCGTCCCATGCTTCTCTCTCTTTGGTTTCCACACTTTAAAGCAGCAAATATGAAGCCTCCTGTCTTGCCATAAAATTCGAGATTATTCTAGCTTTAGTGACTGAATAATCAAAATTTTATTAAAGACAGGAGGCGAATATTTTCCCACCCTATTGGTATCCCACCCCAGATTTTTTTCAGGTAACATATACTCTTAATTTTTTCTAGGTTTCTTGTGAGACTTTATATTAATCTGGCATTTTTTTCTGTTTGCTCTGGTTAGGTGCTTATTAATCTGCCTGGTTCTGACTATTTTAGATTTTGCACTAATTTATACTGGTAATATCCAGGGATAGATCTGTGTATGTAGATATCTTGCAACCACCCAGTCCAAGTGACCATGCTTTCATGATCTTTCTCTGTCTTCTAGTGTGAAGTTTCTCTGCATGAGCCACGAAGACTATGTTCTATTGGTCTCTAGTATCGGCTGCATTCTGGTTTACATGGTTGATGGATTACTCAAGTTTACACGGTTGACTACACTTATGATCGGCTGCATCAGAAAGAGGATTTGGGAGGAGCCTGACAGACTGTTATGTTCTAATATGTGTCCTGATTGGTTGATTTTTTCTAAAGCAAATATTCGCCTCCTGTCTTTAATAAAATTTAGATTATTCAGTCACTAAAGATAGAATAATCCTGAATTTAAGCCCATGGCCAGCAAATTACTGGCATTTGGGGGGGCACAGGCACAGCATAATGTAGGGGGGGCCATGGCCCCCCCTAGCAACGCCACTGCTTTTGACAGTTGAAATAGAACCTCTTCCTCTGTAAACTCACATGTAACAAATGACTCATTTGTCCTTTTTCCTAACTGAGGCCCATTTCCTTCATTTTCATCTGTAAATACTGAACAAAAATATTAATTGAGGCAGTCAGCTAGACCTTTATCCTCTTCTACATACCTTCCTTATTTTGTTTTTAACCCCTTAAGGACCAAACTTCTGGAATAAAAGGGAATCATGACATTTCACACACGTCATGTGTCCTTAAGGGGTTAATCTAACTAATCATTGTTTTACTTTCCTTTTCTCACTTATGTATATAAAAATGTTTTGCCCCCTTTTTTTACTAACTGTGCTATTTTCTCTTCTGTGTGTGATTTGGATCTCTTATAACTTGCTTAGCCTCTTTCTGCCTAATCTTATAGATCATTCTGTCTTCCTCACTCTGTTTTTTTTTTTATAATTACTAAATGCTAACTTTGAGTTTTTTACTATTTTGGCCACATCTGCGGAGTACCACAGTGGTTTCTTGAATTGTTTGCTTTTACTGACAAGCCTAGTGCAATTTTCTGTTTCCTTTAGCAGTGCAACGTTTAAATAATCCCATTTCTCTTGGACTCCATTTAAATTGCTGCAGTCTGATAATGACTCATCTACACATATTCTAATTTTAGAAAAGTCTGTTTTTTTAAAGTCTAAAACTTTTGTTTTTGTGTGGTGTGACTCAGTCACTGTTCTTATATTAAACCACACTGACTGATGATCACTGGATCCTAAACTTTCACCTACAATAATATCTGATACCAAATCTCCATTTGTAAACACTAAATCTAGTATGGCCTCTTTACGCGTTGGTTCCTCAACGACTTGTTTTAGAGACAATCCCAGTAGGGAGTTTAGAATATGTGTGCTCCTGGCACAAGCAGCTAAGACACAAATAGAATCTGCCACCAACATAGCAGAAGCAAACAAATATAGTGTTGTTTGTAGCATCAATGTGCAGAAGCAATATCTTCATGCATTATTTAAAGTGTTAGGGATGAGGGGTTAGATGAAAGGAAGGTGCTTGAATATATTGTTTCTGCATCCATTCATCTTTGAGAATCATAGAGTGATCGACAGGTAAGTATGTCTTTAATCTTTACATCTGATGCTGGTTTCCTCAGCACTATATATACATTCATACATGCTTACCTAGAGGTGAACCTGTTATCTACCACATATTAGTGTACTGTAGTGTTGTTATGGCAATGTCACCACATTTCTTAGAGTCCTGGATGAGTTGTTATGACAATGAATTGGCAAATGAGCCTTTTCTTGACATACGCTCAATTTAAAAAATGGTGAATGCTAAGTAGTGGTTGGTATCACTAAAGACACATGTGGGTAGCACGCATACATCAAACCCAGTGGTTATCCAGGGGAATCTGTTGGCATTTTTAGCAGCAAACATCTACCAGGTGTTGGTAATAACTATTCTAATGGTTGTCACTAATGACAAGGATAGGAACGAGGTCCTTGTTTTTTTGACCCTTATTATTATTGGTGTCTTTGACAGAAAACAAACAATAAATGTATGTGGAAAAAAAAAAAAACATGACCCATCATTGTCTGTGAAAATAAACAGCTCAAACACACAGACCAATATTCCTGTGCTGGAACAGAAAACAAATGTAAGACACACTGAACTAACCAAATTCTTTAAAGAGTAGACATTTCTTTGCTAGCTTTTAAGAAAGTAACATAGTTTATTTTAAAGAGGACTGGACAAATGGACTATGGTTGCGAGATATAATACAGAGAATATGTGCTCTCTAAACAGTACATAATGTACACTGGGCCAGACAGAGAAGCTACCGCTTAGCTATACGGTACGAGTTGGCATTTGGAAAATGTTAAATATATTGCAGCTGATTAACTACCACTGGGACAGTTGAAAATATTGTGATATTGACTATATTGGGAGAATAAAAAGTTATTATCAAAAAGGATGAATGATTGAATATGCATTGTGAGCATATCAAGCAAGCTTTCACTTCATTCAAGCTTGCAACTGAGTTTGGCATCTACCTGGGTTCTGGAGTAGCAAGATGATCCTGCCAATTAATCATATTGTGTATGTATATACCAGTTATAACGGTACACTTATTGAACATAACCTGTAATCCAATCAGTCATTCTTGGTCAACATGATGGACAGGTTACAGAGCATTTATCTTAGTGTTGACTGAGAATTACTTGACGTTGGATTGCAAACAATTTTTTTATGAATCCTTACCTTCCTCTTAACAAATGCTACTTCTGTAACCTGACTTCTTGGGTCTTCAATTTCATGTCTCTACCAGCACTAAGAGGACAAGCAGAAGCAAGTGATTTTGTGAACTCAACAAGCCATACTGTAGTTCTTAAACTCTATTTTTCTTAGAGAAAAGTATCCTTCTAAATTTGATATAGTGCCTGGTATTGAGCAAAAATAGCTTGTGGGATAGTCTACATCTGCATATCAATGGTATACGAGAGACCCAATTTCAATAAATCCCAGGTATGTAAAAAAATATTGTATCTGTAATTGACTGCACACATTTAATACATACTACCTTACCTACTCTCTGCAACTTCTGTGACCCTCCTCAATCTATTACACATGTACATTTTACTAAACTTAGCTGAAGACAAATTAGCATGCCTTAATGGAGAAATTCTAGGGAAAAGTCCTAAAAGCAATCAGCAATAACTTGTCATGTTATTACCGTACTTTTAGAACTTTGCAGATGGGAGGTGGGGGAATTTTATACTTAAAATAGTATATATGGAATTAAGTTATCAGATAATTAAGAGACAGACAGAGACATTTAGTAGAGAGATAGAATGTTCCACTTAACAGTCAACATGGTAAGAGACATCACAAAAACAGTCTGAAAAGTCCAAAAGCAGCCAGAAAAAGTCCTGGGTGCTGACACGGTGTGAAGTACAATATTACACAAATGAGTAATATTGTAAAAGGGTATTATGGGAAGAATCCTGGTTTTAAGAAAAAGTGAGACATTTAGGTATTTACGCATGTGTGAAGAGCAGAGTTTACTGTAGTGATATATATGTGTTATATATTTGAGGTCATTGTGTGAATACAATGTGATATATTTTTGTTGATCATATTGATTTATATAATTTGAGTAATATATCTGAATTTATCAACTTGACATATTTGAGTTATAAAATATATACGAGTTGACTATAATGATATATTTAAGAGCAGAGTTGAACATTTGTGAAATGATAAATCCCTGGTTGAAGAACTATGAGAAAGATAAGTGTAATTAATTTGTACACAATATGATGTAACTCAATGTTTAAATACATTATATAGTTAATGCAATAAAAAAAAAAAACTAAAACTAAAAAGAGAAGAATACTTGCCATTAAACACAACAACATTTGCACCCAGCCCCCTTCAGCACCAGAATTAGAGGCAGGAAATAAATATCTGATAGGCTCATGAACTTATCATTCTGGTCTATGTTGGTTTTTCCTCTCTAATAAACCTCTGTGTAGCAGGTGTTTAATAGAGATGTAGTTTAGTCTCCAGTTGATAAACAGATAGAAGGCATCCCATACCTGCTATTAACATATTCACATCCCATATGATGGTTTTGTGGACCAGGCTATTTGCGCCATTCTCTTAAGCTGGTCACTACACATGTGCACAGCAGTGACTTGGGCTCTCTCCAGAAATGGGAGGACAAGGGTGTCCATGAAAATTATGCTCATCCCCAAGTTGCATCTTGGACAGCAAATGAGGAAGTAAAGTTTATCTCTGATGTCTGATAAAGTGGAAGATCTGATAGTGTAGTAAGTTATAAGCCCCTGTGTGACACAGTGAATGGAACCATAACCTTACATATAGTTTTAAAAAAAAAACCAATTATCTGCACAACAAATTTCCATTCTTAAACCCGCTTAGCTTCCTTTTTGCAGCATTCATTGGTAAATTCTGATATTGCTAGACCCCAACAATTGGACTATATCACTAGATTGTTTCACTGTCATGTTGAAGGAAAAGAAAAAAGATTGAAAGCTTGAATAAATAATGCATGCAGATATAAAACAAATACTAAGGTATAGTGATGTCCCGAACGGTTCGCCGAACGAACGGTTCGTCGCGAACGGTCCGCGAACGGTTCGCCACGAACGGTCCGCCACGGACTCATCATGAGTAAACTTTGACCCTGTACCTCACAGTCAGCAGACACATTCCAGCCAATCAGCAGCAGACCCTCCCTCCCAGACCCTCCCACCTCCTGGACAGCTCACTAAGAATGCAGCTGCAATGAATGTAAAATGGATGCTGTCCAGGAGGTGGGAGGGTCTGCTGCTGATTGGCTGGAATGTGTCTGCTGACTGTGAGGTACAGGGTCAAAGTTTACTCAATAATGAGTCCGCGGCCAACCGTTCGCGAACCGTTCGGCGAACCGTTCGGGACATCACTACTAAGGTATAGTTAGTATATTAAACTTAATACATATACAGTCCATTGAGTAAATAGGGGACTAAGCACTATATTATAGGCTTTTATATTTGTAAGTTAATTCTTAGTTATCATGGACAACAAAGGAACTGATAGGATTTCTTTGCTCATCATCATAATTAGAGTCAAACTGATTATCTGGCTAAAATATAAATGCTAGTAATAATAGTATAAAAAAATAAAACAAGGGTAATAGTCATGCAGTCAAATTGGATTATACTACTTAATGAATACAATTTTTTCAAGGGGATATAAACACATATACATACATTTGAAAAGGATGTGGTCCTCCCTTAGCAAAGGCAAACATCAAAAGCTAAAATTTAGAGTAATAGAATGTTGCCTACAGGCATTAATGAGCACAGTATTTTAATAGGCAGCCCCTGAATGCATTTATGCCATAACTAGAATAGCTTTCCTGTATTAGAGTTGTAATGAATTATACGATCAAAATTTTGTGAGATCAAATACAGTAAACCACACATTTAATCTTCATTTTTTAGATTAGTTATAGTAATGACTATTCACTGAAATTGTTCCCACTGCAGGGGAAGAACCTCAAGTACAAGGAGAGCTCTGTGGGACATGTGACAGAGACACAGTGGTTTATGTTGGCATGTGCACTGGTTGCCCCAAGGTTGTAATTAAGATAACACTTCAGTGAGCATTTTTACTTTACTTTTAATTACATAATCAAGCCTCGTCGTTAAAGGCTTATAATCCAGCATGACGTCCAATTAGCAACAACTTACTCATCAGAGTCCTTCTTGCTTTCCTCAATAAATGCAATAGATTCAGATCTGAGGCGATTTGTAACTTCATATGTCCGAAGTGTCACTCCAAAAATGTCTTCATGGTATCTATTGTCATCCTGAAATTGGAGTAAACACTTAAACATAATTATCATGAAAAAAAAAAAAATTTGTTTTGCTTCACTTCTGCAAAGAAACATGCAATGTGGGAAAAATGTTTTGTTAAATCAAAATACTCTCTTGAATTTTCACTAAACACTGAATATGTGTGCTTTATTTTTATATGTATTAATTATAAACTATTTAACTCCATCAGGACAATGTATTTGGCAAATGCTATGATATCATGAGAATCCTGGCACATCATTTATCATGATGTGGTTAATAATCTTTATAGGTCCTAAAAAAATATATCAATTATTGTATTTCTTGGATTCATTTTTGTTTCCGCTTATCTATTTATAACTTTGGATTTATCATATCCTTCCCATACGTCACATAGCTGTAGAGGGATCTTTTTGTGTTTTAGGGATTTTGGATTCTTTATTAATTTGCTTAACTGAAAAAAATAATCATTTTGAAATAATTCCAAAGCATTTTATTGACACGAATGAATATGCACTTTGTGGGGTGTATTGACATCGAGCTCTGTTACATTAATATACACCAAGCATCCCGACCTCAGGAAAACAGCTAAATTCATGAACTTTTTGCTTATTACTCTACTTATTACAAGGAAACAAACTTCTCTTGTGCACTACTGTAGCTGTATGAAATGCACTAGCTGAAGTGGTGCTTTGACTCTTTTTGTTAAACTTGATAATGTGCAGATGCACAAGCTAACTGCATCGGTAGATAAAACGCCAAGCTATATAGACAACTTCAATGACCAAAAGCAGTTAATGAAGGCATTTTCCTCTTTATTATTGGAACCTTCTCTGTCGCAATGGTGCAGCATGCTTCCTCCTTTTTTCTCCTGTTTTCGACTTTGAACCCACATTTTAAAAAGGCGATAACCCTTAACTTTGACTTTGTCAGATTTGTTGTATGCTATGGTTTCATGCAAAACAGGATGCGGAGGAGATATTAAGTAATAGGGGTATGTATAGAAAGTAGTGTGTTCTGAAAAGTAGTCTAAAGTTCTAAAACTAGGGCAATCACCATGTACACTAGTGTGTGACCAGCAAGAACATGTCACACATTCCTCTACATATGCTGGCATTTTAATAGCCCCAAGGGGTAAATACATTTCATGGAGTTTAACTTCTGGTTATTCCTGCTACTGTTCATCTTTTGATTATTTGGGATTAAAAAAAACCTCTGGAACTCTAAAACAGTACTTGGTCATTGCATGCAGTTTGGGCAGAACTACTAAGCACTGATTTCATAGGCATGCTGAATATTTGCTAACCATGGATACAGGTAGCTTATCTATTTTGATGATTTTGCTCCAATTTTACACCTTTGCACCACTTTTTAGACCATGGCATGTTTTACATATAAACCCCAATGTTTCTATTTCTCCTCCTCATTTGCAATGTGTGCCCTGGCCTGGATTGAACTCCATTGTGATTTGCTGAATCTTTAAAATATATTTGAAATAAAACAGAGCAGTATATGAGAACATATTAACAGGTCACAGGTCAAAGTCACAGGTGACTTTCATGTTGTGATGTTTTTTTTTCCAATAAATTAAGTTAGTTTCTTGAGAAGTGATCAAGAGTACACCTTTTATAATTAAATATGTATATCCTAAAATTGTACCATTTGAGAAATTACATATAGTATCTAAATTGAAAATCATGCCCCTATGAGGCAAGTTTGATTTTAAAAATGGCGTGGTCCCATTTTTTCATGAAGAGAATCTTCGTGAAAGACTCATATTGCATGCATTACAATTTCATTGAAACTGCAACACGATCAAACTATCTTATAAGAACAATTTAAGTGTATGGGTTTTATTGGTACGAAGTGAATTACAGCATTGTTTTCCTGTCCTCATTTATAAAGTAACACAGCTCCAGACAAAACTCACCCTCAGTTTACTGATAAATGCTCCGGCCTCCTCAGCTGTCAGGTTTCCACACTGTTTCGCAATGGTCTGGAGGGTCTTTAAAACATCACCTGCCATATTGACATCACCACACACGTATATATGTCCTCCTTGCTCTCTGAGCGCTTTGTACGTTACTTCGGAGAGCTGTTCACGTAGCACATCCTGCACATATTTCTACAAGAAAATTAAAGTCAGGTATTTAGTAAGTGCTGAATCTGAAGGGTTGCTACATTAAAGGGACACTTTAGGCACTGTTACTATCTCGTTGAAGTGGTTATAGTGTTTGCAGTCCCCTGGTACTGTTATTCTGTTTTTGAATCTTTTAATGCTAAGGATTAGTCCTCAGCAGCCCACCCCATCCATGTTGCTTGGGCTAATGAGGCAGTATTAGCATGAGTTGCAATGGACAATAGTAATTGGCTGAGAGTGTCAGGTGACCGCTTTCAAGTTATCATAGCTGCCCATTGGTGGTGTAACCTCTACCTTAGCCATAACTTCAGTGGCGTTATGAGTAAGTGTGTTAAGTTGTTTAAATGACTAGGGTCTCCATGCTGTATGACCAATTCAATTAGATGGAATGGGTATAGCGCCTAGATTTTCTCTTTAACCAAATAAAATTATGAAAATAAGGATTTGTTGAAGTTCTACAGAAATCAAAAGCATTCTGCAAATATAGACTGTGATGTCACCATATGTGAGAGAATGATCTGAATACTACACTATACCATTATGAATATTTTTATTTGTGTAGCAATCTATGTAGCTCTAGAAACATTGTTGAATACGATAAAGAAAAGCATAGTTTGAGATGAAACAAACAGCTAATCCAGTAGGGTTTGGAAACCATGGCTGCAAGTTTTCAATCTAAAGTGGAGAGAGACAGGTATAAGAAAACATGTATAGTTAAAACAGGAGAAATTGCTTGTAGATTGTAGATGTAGATGTACAGTTGCAAGAAAAGGTATGTGAACCCTTTGGAATGATATGGATTTCTTCACAAATTGGTCATAAAATGTGATCTGATCATCATCTAAGTCACAACAATAGACAATCACAGTCTGCTTAAACTAATAACACACAAAGAATTAAATGTTGCCATGTTTTTATTGAACACACCATGTAAACATTCACAGTGCAGGTGGAAAAAGTGTGTGAACCCTTGGATTTAATAACTGGTTGAACCTCCTTTGGCAGCAATAACTTCAACCAAATGCTTCCTGTAGTTGCAGATCAGACGTGCACAACGGTCAGGAGTAATTCTTGACCATTCCTCTTTACAGAACTGTTTCAGTTCAGCAATATTCTTGGGATGTCTGGTGTGAATCGGTTTACTGAAGTCATGCCACAGCATCTCAATCGAGTTGAGGTCAGGACTCTGACTGGGCCACTTCAGAAGGCGTATTTTCTTCTGTTTAAGCCATTCTGTTGTTGATTTACTTCTATGCTTTGGGTCATTATCCTGTTGCAACACCCATCTTCTGTTGAGCTTCAGCTGGTAGACAGATGGCCTTAAGTTCTCCTGCAAAATGTCTTGATAAACTTGGGAATTCATTTTTCTTTCGATGATAGCAATCCGTCCAGGCCCTGATGCAGCAAAGCAGCCCCAAACCATGATGCCCCCACCACCATACTTCACAGTTGGGATGAGGTTTTGATGTTGGTGTGCTGTGCCTTTTTTTCGCCACACATAGTGTTGTGTGTTTCTTCCAAACAACTCAACTTTGGTTTCATCTAGCCACAGAATATTTTGCCAGTACTGCTGTGGAACATCCAGGTGCTCTTGTGCAAACTGTAAATGTGCAGCAATGTTTTGTTTAGACAGCAGTGGCTTCCTCAGTGGTATCCTCCCATGAAATCCATTCTTGTTTAGTGTTTTACGTATTGTAGATTCGCTAACAGGAATGTTAGCATTTGCCAGTGACTTTTGTAAGTCTTTAGCTGACACTCTAATATTCTTCTTCACCTCATTGAGCAGTCTGCGCTGTGCTCTTGCAGTCATCTTTACAGATGGGAGAGTAGCAGCAGTGCTGAACTTTCTCCATTTATAGAAATTTGTCTTACCGTGGACTGATGAACAGCAAGGCTTTTGGAGATACTTTTATAACCCTTTCCAGCTTTATGCAAGTCAACAATTCTTAATCGTAGGTCTTCTGAGAGTTCTTTTGTGCGAGGAATCATTCACATCAGGCAATGCTTCTTGTGAAAAGCAAACCCAAAACTGGTGTGTGTTTTTTATAGGGCAGGGCAGCTGTAACCAACACCTCCAATCTCATCTCATTGATTGGACTCCAGTTGGCTGACATCTCACTCCAATTAGCTCTTGGAGATGTCATTAGTCTAGGGGTTCACATACTTTTCCACCTGCACTGTGAATGTTTACATGGTGTGTTCAATAAAAACATGGCAACATTTCATTCTTTGTGTGTTATTAGTTTAAGCAGACTGTGATTGTCTATTGTTGTGACTCAGATGATGATCAGATCACATTTTATGACCAATTTGTGAAGAAATCCATATCATTCCAAAGGGTTCACATACTTTTTCTTGCAACTGTAAGTGTTGGGTTAGTAAAATAATTGAAAAATAAAGGTTCATGAAAAAATGGTGCAATGAAAAGTGTCAAAATGCTCTTAGTTAAAAAACTTTGGGTATTTACTTTCTATATTTTGCAGAGTTTTAGCTCCCTCTAAAAAGCAATTGAAATCCTAGACATGTTAGGCAGTTTAAAGGAACACTATAGCGTTAGGAATAAATAATAAATAATATAATCCTAACGCTATAGAGCAGGGCCCAGTTTCGCGGCAAATAAATAATTTATTAACCATTTATTTGCTTACCTTAATCCAGGGAGCCCGGCACTGGTGACCTCTCCTCCTCCATCAACATAAGGTTCCGAGTGGAGCCAAATGCGCATACGCGACCAGAGGCACACACATTCAAACCCGCCCATAGGAAAGCATTACTCAGGCTTACCTACGGGGATCTTTTTTGACACTGGACTCCGTGAGGACGCCCAGCATCAAATAAGTGCGATTTACTCCGTGTAAATCGCAGAAGCGGCCTCTAGTGGCTGTCAGGGAGACAGCCACTGGAGGCTGGATTAATCCTGCAGTGTAAACATAGTTTCTCTGAAACTGCTATGTTTTTAGCTGCAGGGTTAAAACTAGGGAGACCTGGCACCCAGACCACTTCATTGAGCTGAAGTGGTCTGGGTGCCTATAGTGGTCCTTTAACAATCAGGACCATTTAGAGAATCGATTTTAAGCTTGCTTTCTTTAGTTTGAAAAGTGATTTTTCTCTTCATTTGTTGCCATTATTTTAATACTTTAATCACAGTTAATATTGTGTTATTTATACATTTTGGGTATCGAGTGAAAGCCCCATTTCTCCATCAAAAAATTATATATATATATTGGTGCACTTAAAGATAGAGTGAGAAATTGTAGTAGAATTCATTCATTGCAAAAGTACCGAAAAAGGTCACAAATGTTTTGCATCTCAAAAAAACTTTTTTTTGGGGGCAAAACAGATTCGTTCCCTATGAAAAATGATGTAATTGAACATGTTCCTTCCCCGCCATTCTCCTATATATAATCCATCTAGTAACAGACTGCAGTCTTATCACGTTGACACAGGAAGAATATTTGGCAAGCTTCCTGATTCTAAAAGTAGATTTCAAAATAAACAGAGTAAACCCACCAGGAGCCTCTGCTTTGGAGAGACATTTATATAAATATATTCATTATATAGTGGCACAATAAACATTTCCTTAAGAGTAATTATTGGTACTGTCACCCTATGAAGCCCGAGCCTTTAATCACTTAATCACTCCCATTAGATAGCTGTAAACATTAGCCTAGGACCCGTGGGAGAGAAAGCTTGTCACTCTCATATGTCCTCAGCATTTATCTTCTGATTATAATCAGAAGGCACCCTAGGCAGGCAACATATTAAATGTATTGTCTGAAAAAACAGTTTTGCTCCATAACTCATTTGTTTTACCCCTCTCTCTCAATTATGGTACATGGTGTCATGAATTTGATTTATTGTTGTTCACTTTCTTGAAAGCGTACTACTGAACTACATCTCCCAAAAACCTTTGCTGTGCCCATAAAACACTTCTTAATCAATATGCTCATCAGTGCTAAAAAGTTAAAGGAACACTTCAGGTACCATAACTATTTCACTTTAGTGGTTACTGACCTCGTTGTCCCCATTGTAAGGAGTCAAACCATTTTTGAATGGTTTGACTTCTAGCCTTGGGTCAGAAAGGTGCTGCTCCTTGTCAAAATTGCTACAAATCTGCATTATATATTTTTTTGTTTTTCACATTCATGAACTTGACTGTCTTTGGCCAAGGTTTTGTACATTTTAATTTTTATACTAAAGCTCCCTCCATATCTGCAAGTATAGATGGTCATTGTTAAAGGCATATGTAGTTTTATTTCATAATAATTTCCCATTTTACATGCACACATCATTCACATGAACCATAAATGAAAGGTATAAATATCCTAGGGCATTAGCCACTATGTTCCATATTCAGTCAGTCAGTGAATGTAGTAAGATCCCAGCTGCAATGACTGAGGACCACACAGAATCACTCATGTTAACAGTAGTCAAGATATGCTCTAAGTACATGTCTTGTTAAATTTGTCTCTGCCACTAATCAAACCATTAATTCTTAAGAGAGTCCCTCAAGGGCCGCCGACAGGCCACTGAGGACTATTTACAATCAAATAAATCAATTGAATCTATGCCAGAGGTATGGACTTTTTGTTCACTCTGACAAGGATATATTTAAATCATGGACTGTCGGTTATGCAACAGGAAGAATATTTATTGTGATTGTCTTGTACTGAGTATATTTCCTAAACTTCAGGAGTTTGTTCAAAGCAGAAACAGACAGTAAATAAATAAGGTTAGTAAATAAATAAATAAAAAGGAATTGAAATCAAGAAGCATTTTAATATAGTGTCGCTTAATAACTATGTAACAATAATTGCTAGCATATTTTTAAAATATTCATATTTTTGTTTTCACTATTTTATTTTATACATAGAGGTAAAACGACATTAATCACATGCTGATGGAGGCTTTTCAGCATGCTGTTGTCATCACTTGGTGGTGGTATCAGACCATGCACTTGCATCCACTATGGAAGACACCTTGGTGGTGGCAGCAATAAGCTGCCGATTAGTTTATTTTTGACCTGTACACTTCCTGGAGACTGCCTGCATATTTCCTGCATATTTTATGGATTATATATTTAAACATACCCACACATTTTGACCTCATTCAAATGTACCAGTTGAGAGATTCACTGTGGTCAAAGTTCAAGCATACTGGCTCCATGAACGATCACTGTATTTACAGACAATGGTGACATGTATGCACAAAACAAACAAAAATGGCAAAGGCCCAATATTTCAGTGAAAATTGGAACAACAACCTATCAAACCTAAGAAACTTTGGGAAAATCATAAATAGCATACAAACACCCACAATCCACTCCCAACCATCCACTGTCAAAATGGACAACCAAACACCGCAACACCCCATAGATGTAGCAAATACCTTTCAGAATTATTTTGTTGAATGTGTCACCACCCTGGTTGCTAAGATAACAAATGACACTCAGTTTCAGACCACAAATAAAGATCAGGCTCTGCCAAATCTTCAAAATCCTCATATAGAGAAATTCAATGTCAAAATCAATGACATCCAAATTGGCATGTAACAAGGAGCCCTAACTGGAGCTATTTTCCTTGATTTTGCCAAGGCATTTGACACAGTAGACCATGGCATTCTTTTGCAAAAACGTAAAAACTCAGGCATTGGTGATCATCCGCTAACCTGGTTTCGATCATATGTTTCAGACCGATTGCAAAATGTGGCCATTTCTGATAGCGCTTCCCTCCCTTTTCCAGTCACGTGTGGTGTTCCCCAAGGCTCCATACTTGCCCCCCTGTTATTCACATTATTTATAAATGTAGAAAAGGTGTAGGTAGTGGAGCGCTGATTGTGAATAAAGGTAGATGAGAATAGGGTGCACAAATAGGAAACCTAACAACCTATGCAATACTAGAAGGTTTATCAATTATTTATAAATGATCTGCCTAACGTCTGCAAATCCTCAACTGTACACATTTATGCAGATGACACTGTAATCTACGCTAGTAAACCCAAGCTACCGTAGCTTGAGGCTGTGCTCCAAAACCAATTCACAGAGGTAGAAAAGAGAATAGCAGATAACAAACTCTTCCTAAACACATACAAAACTGTTACAATGATCTTCGGAACTATACCTAAATTACGTAAACTACAAAATCACCAACTGTGTATCAGAACAAATTCAAATAGCACACTGACAGCTATCTGCTCTTTTAAATATCTAGGTATGTTGCTAGACCCCAATCTATCCTTTGGCCTTGAAAAAAATCTCTTCAAAACTTTACCCAAAACTAGGTGCCCTGTACAGAAACAAATCCTGCCTAAGCCCTACAGTAAGGAAACAGTTAGTGCAACAAATGTTAAAGGACCACTATAGTGCCAGGAAAACATACTCGTTTTCCTGGCACTATAGTGCCCTGAGGGTGCCCCCACCCTCAGGGACCCCCTCCCGCCCGGCTCTGGAAGGGGGAAAGGGGTTAAAACTTACCTTTTTCCAGCGCTGGGCGGAGAGCTCTCCTCCTCCGATCCTCCTCCTGGGCTGAATGCGCAGCGCAAGAGCTGCGCTTCCCGTCGGATAGAAAGCATTTACAATGCTTTCCTATGACGCTTGCGTGCTCTCACTGTGAAAATCACAGTGAGAAGCCGCAGCGCCTCTAGTGGCTGTCAATGAGACAGCCACTAGAGATAGGGAAGGCTTAACCCATTCATAAACATAGCAGTTTCTCTGAAACTGCTATGTTTATAAAAGAATGGGTTAACCCTAGAAGGACCTGGCACCCAGACCACTTCATTAAGCTGAAGTGGTCTGGGTGCCTAGAGTGGTCCTTTAATGCCGGTCATTGATTATGGGGATGTAGTGTAGACACCCGCTCTGCAAAGCCACCTTAATAAACTTAATACTTTATATAATTCATTCTGCTGCTTTGTACTAGAATGTAATTACTTTACCCACCACTTTGACATGTTAAAAGAGCTAAACTGGCTATCGCTGGAATCCCAAAGTACTCTTCATCTCTCCAGCCTTGTGCTTAAGAGCATTTCTGGGAAGCTCCCACCCTACCTGAGTAGAATGCTCTCCCCAGCTGTTCCCACCTCCTATAACCTCCAATCCAGTACTAGCACGATATTTCGCATACCTCAATACAAAAATAAATTGGCTCGGTCCTCATTTTCCTACAGACCACCGCAATTATGGAATAACCTCAGACACACAGTCAAATTTACATTTAATCTAAAAGCTTTTAAGAGATCTATGGCAATATACCTTAGCATAGAATGCACCTGTCATGGTTGAATATATATATTGCCTGTAATGTATTAAATCTATATATGTGTGTGTATATATATATATATATATATTGTTTTTATATTGTATTTTTGTAATATTGTATCCTATTGTAACAGTGCAATGTTTTGTGGACCCAGGACATACTGGTAAAATATTTTATAACTAAATAAATACATACATTTTAAATTGAAATATAGTTTAGGTATTTCAGCAATCTAACTAGTACAATGTATACATGGAATTTTCTTGACTAGACAGTGTCACCATTACATTTCTGCAAGCTAGACCTCTAGTACATGTGGTAATGATTATTTCTTGAAATTGTCAATCTTCATGGATTTTTTTGAATAGTATTTTTGTTTATTGTCATTTTATATTCTGCATTAGTTACCTTTGGCTTATTGGGTTCTCGGGAATATGCTGTATACAATTCTTTAAACACCCCCTTGTTCTTGGCTAGCATGGCCTCCTCTTTGTAGATGTGGTCAATTTTGGATTCCCGGCACCCAAATACCAGGATCATTGGACAAGGTTTCAGCCCTAAAAGATACATTGAAGTGTCATTCCAACAGTTCAGCATTCTATATGATTCACACAGAGAAAGTACCTTTACCATCTATCAAAAGTACTGTAAGGAAGATCGTTCTAAATCTCAAGAGCCAACAAATGAACATTACTTGAGTTGTAATGAAGTTCTATACTGCATAGTCTTTCTAGTTTGTAGTTTGCTCTGACATTAGTTCCACAATAACATAAAGTAGAATCTTTATGGCTTTACCTTTGTGTTGCATATCATAAAGACGTTGCTGCCAGAAGCTTCTAAATGGAGCAATGCCAGTTCCTGGTCCAATCAAGATGGAGGGTACATGCTGATCCTGTGGCATCTGGAAAGTCGGGGCTCTGGAAACGAAATTTAAAAATTCAAAGCCATGTTTTGATAATGCAACATATATACGTGTAAGATGTGCAAGGTGTATGCAAATGAAACTGCAAACACATATACTAATGCAAACTGCTAATATAGGGTTCCTATGGCCATTTATTTCTTATTAACATCAGGAAAGACAGCAGGGTCTCATAACCCACTAGAAGTGAATGGCCAACAGCTACAAATGTGTAAAAAGAAACCATCACAATAGATTACAATTAAGTAATCATCTTTTTCTTGTGCTTAATTTTAGCTTACAACATACAGTAAACACTCAATGTGGACACAAATACAAATGATAGTAAGTTTCTACCTTTACAATAGCCTATAAGGAAGTACTTTGTCAGTGCGAAATGCGTTAGGCAGTATGTTATTGATGTAACATGCTTTTTACGAAATGAATGAACAATATATAATCTGGTTCTAAAGGACATTTTTTTGTCAAGCTAGTCTGCCATGATCAAATACATTTACTTTCTACATTACATACGGTCTTAGTGTAAAGTCCTTCATTGCGGGCAGTTTTGAGGTGTAGTTCCATTAATAGGTGCCTCTTGCCATAAACCTACACATCTTAACCCTTCATCTGTATATAATTTACTGTCTCAAACTGGCTGGGAACTTTAAAAACACAAGCACTTTTAGACTTATAAATAGAATTCTACCTATTTTTCTGTGAAACTCCAGCAACTGTGGTTACTCTGGCAACCAAAAATAGGGATTTTAAATAAACCATATGTAGGCTGGCATTTCAAAATATATCAAAGCAAATTTATAATCCTCTACTGAGTAACTGGACCATGGGGAAGACTTTGATTGCTAATAGTCCCAGAAAGAATAAGCAGGAACATAAGTAATATTAATTAAAATGTATATTTGGGCACGATATATCCAGGGTTCACTTACCCTCTAACAAAACATGGCACCACTTCATCTGTCTGTATCCTGTTTAGCCAAGATGAGCATACACCATGATGGATTGGACCATTTCCATCTGGCACAAGGAAAATAATAGGGCATTAAAATCTTTTACGAAGGCAACGTGATGTAGTCATGATAATCACGACAATATTGGTCTGTACTTTGAACTTTAATATTATTTCCTTATATATGCATATATACTTCAATGGGCAGGTCATGTTTTCTGTCCTACGGCAAATGGTTACATTATCTATTTTATTTTTTCCCATAAAGAAGCACCATGCACAACAGTTTTTTGCGATCTTGGGCGTTACATTTGTGAGCAACATCTGCCAATGTACTTCAGCTGAAAAAGCTTCCACCCAAAGTCCAACTAAACATGGGGGAATTATTCCTATAGGTTTAGGGTTATAAGGTAATTAGGGCTAGAACTGAGATTAAGACTTTGTTGTGAAAAACTTTAGATTAGAATAGTTATTTTTGGTGTTAAGGTTTAAGTCCTATAATAGTGTGGAGCTCCTATGTATACAGAACTATTATAATGTAACTGTAATGATCAGGAACACCTTAATGTCAATGGTTTTACATTGAATTGATTTTTTGTCACTTTTATTTCTCACCATAAACTCCAGTAAATGTCTGATGAAACACCTTCTGTAGATTTTTCAATATGAATGACAACTAACTTTAGAAGCAGGACTGTTTAATCCTACTCTTTTAATAAATAAGTCTCAGCTAAAGGATTGACCTTGCAGTCCCCAGCTATACATTGCAGACAGCTCTAAGATATGTAAATTAAAGTTCATTAAATGTTTTTGTGGGCTACCTTTTGTTTTGTAAGTCACAACAGCAACTGTAAGATGAACCTCATCAGGATACATCTCGGGAGAGGAGCTGATGGAGTAGTAACGGGGCTGAAGTAGGGGTAGCTGTGTAAGCAGCAGAGATGATGGCATCTGAATAGAGGGAAATTCCTGAAGAACTTCTACAATAGTTGGGTTTTTATACCATTTCCACTGTTCATACTCCTGCAAACCCTGAGTAGCAAGGAAACAAAATACAAAGATCAGGATAAGAATCAACATTATTTCTGCTAAGAATCTTTGTAAAACCAAGCTATCTGTCTGCTAATCTATTCATCAGCCATTGTCCATTTGTTATTAAGTATACCATTGTTTTTTACATTGAATTGTCTTCTTACACATCTACAATTAACATGTTATGTATTAGTTGTAGTTCATCTACTACATGTTTCTTTAGACAAGCATCCATGTAGAATTCTTTAATGGATTAATAGTATGACTTGTGTCTAAAATACTTTATTACACCCTTTCAATGTTCAGATATGCGCTATAGTTTAGTACGTTTTTGGTATAAGCTTTTTAAAAATTATTGTTTCTCATCTTCTGTACTTCAACCAGGGTGAATTCAAAGTGAATTTCAAATTTAAATTCAAAATAGTCGCACTGAAACCTTTTCCATTTGGCTATTTTGTCCTTAAATGTTACATGCACATTGAATTCACCTTGAATTTAAGAGCTTAATCTCGGTATTTTTCCCAAATATTTTATTAGTTTTTAGGTATAGTGGATAAAGCATGGTGGGAATGAGGCTACAAACCAAACATTAATTCTATTTAATAGAAGTCATGGTAAGATAACATTAAAATAACAATTTGTAAATAAAACAGATAGAACTGGATAAGTATTGTTGATACATAGGACAATCACCGTAACAACCAATAGAAAAATTCTATAGTGTTTTTACCCTGGAAGCTCGTTATATATGTGCTTAAATGTATAAATTTTCCCACCTTGCTCAGGATCTCCAGTTGTTCTCTCTCCTTCTCATTGGTTGCAAGCAGTGTAATCTGCTGCAATAGGATTGGGGTAGGAGGGGTGGTGATATCTAGAAAATACTTAAAGGCTTGGAATATGGTGCATGGTGGGATCCGCTCCTCCTCTGTCCAATTACTGATTACACCTGCACAAAAAGTATAAAAAGTATATGGAATATTATAACATCTTAGTAAGTTACAATATGGACATGTTTTCCATTTGACAATAGAATAACTATTCATAAAGTTAATTGTCCTGTATCATTTCCCTATATCTACCATTGCATTTCAGCAGTGTAAAGCTCTCTCCTTTTATGTCCACTTGTCTGGGGGCTTTGAAAGCTTATTATTTCTTCAATGCTGACATCACAGGGCATAGCTGAGAATTAGTTGGCCAACTGGTGGAAATTTTCGAGAGCTTTTTGTGGTTTAGTAGACATTGAAAATGGCTACTAGAAGGAAGCATTTAGACCATAAGTGAAGGTGTTCCAGTGTAACTCTTCCATATTATTAGAATCTCTGGATGGAATAATTTTTTTTCATGTAATGAAATGTTACGATTTTCAAGAATGTTTTAGTCATTGTTATATTGACTTACCACTAAGTGTTATACTAGGAAGGATACTGGATATCTATATGTCAGTGAAGGTAAAAACATCTACTGAGATGTCTCAATCAAACTATTTTATATATACAGTCAACATACAGTAAATATATGGTATAGTCAACATGAGCTTGAGAAGACTTGGTAGTATCAGTAGTTAAAGGAACACTATAGGGTCAGGAACACAAACATGTATCCCTGACCCTATAGTATTTAACCCACTAATAAGGTGGCTTACCCTCCCTTAGCCAACCTATTAAAGTTTAAAACTCACCTTATTTCCAACGCTGCACGGGTCCGCCGGTGCTGGCTCTGCTGGTGCTGGCACCGCCCCTTTGGTGACATCATCAAAATGGCTAAAATCGGCATGGGGCGGGGCCAAATGCCATTTTGGTCAATCAGGACCTCCTCATATGAGGAAAATTCTGTGTCTCCATGCAGAGCTGAACGTCAGGGCTGCTTTTTTAGCAGCACTGAGCCAGGAAGCACTGGAGAGTGGCGATCTAAGGAGTGGCCACTTGGAGGTGTCCCTTGAGGCAATGTAAACACTGCCTTTTTATCTGAAAAGGCAGTGTTTGCATGAAAAAAGCCTGAAGGGAACTATTATACTCACTAAAACAATTACCTTAAGCTGTAGTTGTTCTGGTGCCTATACTGTCCCTTTAGCCCCTTAAGGGCCAAACTTCTGGAATAAAAGGGAATCATGACATGTCACACATGTCATGTGTCCTTAAGGGGTTAAATATGTCCTTAAAATTTGTATTATACCTGTTTATTTTCATATTATTTTCAAATTTCTTAGGTTATATTTTACCCTTCCCATTCAATGGACATATGCCTGTGGACACTGTAAAACATAACTATTAATTTCACTATAAACCTACATGAGTACTGTGTCAAAGATTATTTTTTATACCTAAGGCAGTATTCCTTTCTTCCAGCATTTCTACCCTCACTAGCTGATTGACTGGAGGTGCATCTTCCAGTCGTTCAATCAAGGCATTGACTAGTTCTTCATGGTTTCCAGCAAACACTCCCAAGTGGTCTCCTGGCTTGTACTTTAGCTCTTTGTGGCCATTAGTGTGAAGCCGAAGGAATATGGTGGAACGACTGTGGAATAAAAAGAAGTTTACTTCAGACAACACGTCTATCCATGGCAATGGTAAAACTAGTGACAGCATTTTCCTTGAAATATTTGAGGTTTCAAAGAGTTCCCAAAAATTCTGATTTTGACAAAATGCCCTGTGCATTTTCTCCTAACAACTCATATAATTCACAATGGGAAGGTATAGTTTAGTCAAGAAAGGAAAGATTGGTGGAGAATAATAAAAAATGCTAATGGAAAAGTGTAAGAATGTTGTAAAAGTGAAGCTATTACCACGAAAACCTAAGTTTCCATGGTGATTGGTTCACTTTTAATATAATGCCCACATTTCTTTCATCTATATTTTTAGAATCTTTCCCATTAATCCTGCAGGGTGCCTAAAACATTTGAAAATGAGAGAAAATGGACCATTGCATCAGTTTTCATAATGGTTATTTATGTTTTAATTGAAAGCATGAGGCACACGAAGAAAACAGTATTGGAGTTATAGCATGGCATTGATAATTGTCAGAAGAGGGCCAGCAACAACAACTTGAGTTGTTGTAGGAATATACTGTGCTAGGCAAAGCTTCATAGTTTGTAGAATTTCTAGTCTTAAGAAATATGGCCTACTGTCCCATAAAACAAATGTCTTTTATTTTTATATTTTCCTGAATTCCAGTTCAAGAAATGAACATATGTAAAAACACATCCCATGTTTTCTAAACCATAAATTGCGTTTTTTATTGATAAAGGGTCTTTTCATTAAATGGTTGGCACATCACTAGTAAAGAATATTCCACCAATGCTGTACCTGGATTTTGAACTTTGTAAGTTTTGTCGACACAACATACGTGCTCCATATACTTTCTTTCTGTGAATACTGTAGAGAGCTGTTAGAAAAGAGATATGTTTAAAAAACCTATACAGAGTAATGATCACGTGCTTTGCTACACAATAGAGATAACAATAGGACAGAGAAGTGCAAGATGGTTTAACATTTCAGCATGTTAAATCTAGCAAATGAAAGTAATGCCCAAACAAAGGCCCAGTCAAAAACCAAATGCCGTTATAGCACTTGCTGGCATAATCTCTCTATCTGAGTGGTGTTATATGGACAACTAATAAAAGAAGCACACAACTCATCCTTCCAGCAGATGAATGCTGCTTAAAAGTTTTTCTTTGTATTACCCCAATCATGCTTCCAGGCCAACCTATTTATTGATATGTACAAAGAAAGAGTTTGAGAGACATTCTATACCTTGTGTTAGTTCTGGTGCCTCAGCCATGAAAGTGATTCGGTACTTGCTCCTCTTCCAGCTGCGATCATTGCTGATCAGCGAGTTGTTGGCTTTCTCAATATTTACATCATCTCCAACACAAAACACGTCACAAGCAGCCTGCAAAGTGACAGAAACCCAATATTGCTTAGTGATTCCATGAAAGCAGTGTCGTATCTGCATGAAATATCCAACTCAAAGAGAGAAAAAAAGAAAACTAAAAAGGTGCTTAAAATTAGAAGATAAAAAAAAGTTAAATTGGTCATATTTTTGAATCCTAAGAGAATTATGGTCATATTTTTGAATCCTAAGAGAATTATCATTTAAGCAAAAATAAATTCCCTTGTAGAAAACTGGTAACTAGGTGGAAATGTTCGCACTAGTATATTTCACAGAAAATTATTTTCCCTTCATAATTCCATACACTACTTGACTTCTGTTCAATGTTCCTCAGCATTCCGAGCCCTACAAAAGTAATTAGCACAACCCATAAATTTTCTTGATAATTCATACTTTTTATAATACTGGTCTTTTAATATCACTGTATAATTGTAGCTTGAACCACACAATTTAAATATATTTTACAAACTGAATTGTGATTTAGTGTGCATAGATAGAAAGATACTGTACAGCAATGGCAATACCACTTTCCACATAATGAATCATACCTTTGAATAAACTAAAATTCAGTTATCTGTGCTACAATATTTCTAGCCTTTGTGTCATTACCATAGTGAATAAATCTAACCAAACATAATTTTACCTTAAACACTTTTTTAGCCCAAGTTCTGAAAGATTCTTCTTGTCCACAAAGTTCATCACCTTCCCCCATTTTCATAATTCGTTCCCCTCCTAGTTCCTCTAGTAGAGTATCCACAGCTCGGGCAAAGGCACAGAAATGGGGATATGCACGTGATCCAAGCCCAAACACAGAGAACCTACAATAGAATAAGATAATTCAATGACAATTCCATAATTTACAACATATATATATATATAAACAGCAAAAAATGAGAGCACTCACTGGATTTAACAAAATTGCTTGTATTTAAACAGTGAACATACCAATCAACGTTTCGACCGTCTCGCGGTCTTGATCTTGATAAAGACCGCGAGACAGTCGAAACGTTGATTGGTATGTTCACTGTTTAAATACAAGCAATTTTGTTAAATCCAGTGAGTGCTCTCATTTTTTGCTTTTTCTATATTTACACAGAGAAGCACCTTGGCATTTAGAACTATTTAATATTTTTGGGCAGAGTGCCAGAGCTTGGAAGTTTGTATATATATATATAAATATATATATATATATATATATAGCCAAGTCCGGCACTCTAGCTTTCTAAGTATACGAAAGATAAAATCCTTGGTGTTTCCTGCGGCAATATGTATAATTAATTAGTATGTTAATAGTCATCGTTGTTTTGCCTCTAGGTCATGGACTCAATGCATCTCTAAAGGGATCATTAAGCACCTACATGTTCAACGTAAGGATGCAGAAAGTGAGTGACAGACAGTAGTGCTGTTAGGAAGCAATGTAAACACTGCCTTATCGCAGAATAGACAGCGTCTACACTGCTGAGACTGCAGGCATAGTCTCTTTGCTCCAGAACCACTTCATTAAACTGTAGTGGTTCTGGTGCATAGAGTGTCCTTCTAAGGAGTAGGTCAAAACAGAAAATCAGAGAGGAGCTGAGTGGGGTATTGCATATGTCAACCATAATACCTGTGAATGGTAAATTAAATAAAACTGTTTGCCAATCACTAGTAAATAAATTCCACAGATTGTCCTTTTAATTCCCATTATTTGTCATTGACTTCCACAGAACTCTAGTACTAATCCTAGATTCTAAATTAGAGGACAATGTTGAATTTTGATTGATGATTAATGTAATCTTTTTACAACAAGGCTTTGGCGCTTTGAGCTTCATCACACTGCACAGTGTATAGCTAAAGTATTAGGGAGATGAAAGACTTGGCATAGAAAGACTATTAAACTACCTTTAACCCTGTCAGTACCATTGGGCGAGTACACTGCAATTTGTATGTGATCCATCTAGTAAATAGTTTTAATTGAGGACAGCTATTCTGTAGAACTGCACTGGGAAATAATATGGACAAGAGAGCCTCGAACTTCTATTGGTTTCTTCTTCAGGTATTGAAAAGTGCATGAAATAAACCATATTGCAGAACAATGTATTTTCTTTATTTACCTCACATTAGCTAAAGGACCTGCACTTCCAAAATTGTCCCTGGGTCTTGTCTCATCACCAGAGGATTTTTTGGCATCAGAAGAAGAGGAAACACTGTTGAAACGAACCTTGTAACTCCTAAAGACAAACAGATACGAGGATCAGCATCAAATGAAACACAAAAATTTAGTGGACTTAAAGTATTTGATGGAAAGTTATAATTTTAAAGATAATGTAAAGAAATCCCCCAAATCTAGCAAACAATCTGCAATTTTTCCAAGATGTTTTCCCCAAATGCCAAAGCCTGTTCTTGAGTTGTCGGAGCTGATGTTCAATAACATCCTTGGGGTATCAGCATAGCACCTTTGCACTTTTTTTCCCAATAATATTTATAAGGTAGTTGAACAGTAAGAGAATTTATTTATTGTAAACATAGTAAACGTCAGTGTTGTGGCCCTCTATATATTGCCATGTACTGTTTGCACAACGAGTTGCGTCTATATTTGAAGTATTGCCAGACTGAATGTATATCAATTTCTGAGAGTTTACTTACGTCCTCTCTTCTAAATTAGAATTGGGGTGCCTCATCTCCATCATTGCGCATCCAAATTTCTGTAATCAACAGAAAAATACAATTTACATGCATTCCATTGCCCTTATTAGATGGATTAGCTATAAGCATCCCAAGTGAAAATGAGCAGTATTTACTGCAAGGGGCAGAAGCTGGATTGATTTGAAAGGAGGAGAAATTAGTCCACAAGAGATACGCAACCAAAAATGCATTCAGCACATTCTCAAGTGTGACATTTTCGCTATGCTAAAATCTTTATCCTCAGCAAAACTAGTGGTTATTCAGGTTATTTAAAACACTACAAACATAATAGTTTTTGTTAAGTGGTTTTCTCCTACCTCTCCATTTTCAGGTGGATCACCATTTCCAAAAGTGCTGGTAACCACTAAGACAAGAGTTTCATGTTCTAGGTGTACAATGTCATACTCTTCCATAGGCATTGTCTGTAGAAATAAATTGTTGCTATAAACATCTGAGTTGTTACGAAAAAGTAAGTTCCATTGGACAGTTCAGAGATAATTGCTTCTATGTACTTTCAAGTTTGTTTCTTACAAAAACAAGTGGGCAAGAAAACACAATAAAAATAACTTTTCATATATTTTATTGACAGTTCTTAACAGTAACAAACTTATCATATTTAACATATAGCAGGTGTTTTGGCAAATTGTAAGACTTAGAGGATAAAGACTTCTAGTGGCAAGGTGTACCCGGTAGTAGAAGAATATAATGTGAAATTATCAGAGTACAGGAGCCATATTTAGTGATACTGTGTTAAAATTTAGTTCATATTCCCTCGTACCTTGGCATCAAATGCATGCTTGAAAATTTCACATAATGTTTTTGCATAGACTTCTGACTTTCCAGTTTCCGTGGCATAGAGAATTGTGGCCTTAACTCTTTTAGCCATTGCTTGTCCCATTAACTTGGCTGAAAACTTTACTGCTCTGTGGAAACAAAATACAAAATATCCTCATGAAACAATCATCAGCTGCACAAAAAAAAACAAGCCTGCTAAACTTCATCTGATGGAGAAAACAAACTGCATATGAAAGAAACTCTCTAGCTCATAACTGTAAAAGTATTACGTACGTTGTAGCACATCAAAATCGGTCTCCTTTCTATTTGAATGTTTTCAAGAGTTTAGTAATTGAAATATTTACTGAAATGTAACACTTACTTGGCCAGCTTTTTAAATCCAATAGCTCTCTTCTTGGTTGGTGTCCCGTTAACACCTTTCCATATGTGGGTATTCCACGGGTCTGGCTAATAGTGTTAGATAAGAAAGCAAACATAGGTGATACAATTTGTAATTCAGAAAATTTAGCTCAATACCAATATTACCAATAATGGATATAAAATGGGGCAGTGAGGTATGAACCTTTACCACAACTTTTTTGTATAACCTTTTCTCATGGTTTTAATAACTTGCAAAGAAAATTAATTGATGTTGCATCCTTGTATTCCATTAATTGTAAAATGTAAAAACATTTTTGTCCACTGGTTAAAGGACCACTATAGGCACCCAGACCAATTCAGCTTAATGAAGTGGTCAGGGTGCCAGGTCCCTCTAGGGTTAACCCTGCCTGCTGTAAACATAGCAGTTTCAGAGAAACTGCTATGTTTACATATGGGTTAATCCAGCCTCTAGTGGCTGTCTCATTGACAGTCGCTAGAGGCGCTTCCGCGATTCTCACTGTGATTTTCACAGTGAGAAGATGCCAGCGTCCATAGGAAAGCATTGAGAATGCTTTCCTATGGACTGGCTAAATGCACGCGTGGCTCTTGCCGTGCATTCGTATTCAGCCAATGACGACCGAAGGAGGAGGAGAGTCCCCAGCGCCGAGGTGGGGGCACCCTCAGGGCACTATAGTGCCAGGAAAACGAGTTTGAACAAGGATCAGCAAAGATCTTTGTCTTTTGTCATTAAATAATTTGCAGTCCATGCATGCTAACATATCAAATACATTAAAACATTACTTTCGAGAACAAAAATATCTAGATAAAGGATAAATACCTAATGAAAACAAATTAAAATTGTTATGTAGCTACTGATATTAATTGTGCATGGAAAATAAAATAAACTACAAATGCAATGACTTTTGTTTTATTAAATTTTAAAAATAATTTCTAGTTTTATATCTTGTTCAGTATTATTAGATGAAATGCTTTTCCCATACCAAGGATACCCTGGTTTATTGAACAGCGATCAGCAGAGCTGGCCTTATTAATTACTTTTGGACTTAACACAGCTTTATTTAAGCAGCACAGCAAACTGATTTGAGTTCATTGATGGGAAACTGCTGTCAAATTCCAGAACCATTGCTATAAGTCTTGTGTGTATTTCTTTGTGTGTTATAAATTCTTTCTATTAATCTTGATGAACACTAAATTATCCTCAAGAGGGCTCCCATCAGTACACTTTAGGCAAAGATGAACTGCTTATGTCTGTGAGTAGTAAATTATATTTGAATTATATTTTAATTACTGGCCAATCGTCTAAAGAGCAAACAATTCCACGATGAGCTAAGTTATAAACTATCTCATTTAATATATATTTTTAAAAATAATTGAATTGTGTTTAGTAAATGATCTATAATGCATTCCTTTGGCATTCTCTGTACTCTTTGATTACAGTATTTTATAGTGTTGGCTACTATAAATGCTAGGAGCATTGTATCTGTCAATACAAGATTGTTTTCATGTTTTGAAAGCTACATTCTGAGTGAAAGCAAACTGACTGAATATTGGGATTTCTACAACAAGATTTAAGCAGCCATTGATGTTTTAGTGGGAAAATACAATACCTGATATTCGAAAGATGGGGTTAGACGGTAATTAATCATCTCCTGGTGGAATACAGGGGTAATGCTCCCAGACATTGGTGGTACAATCCAAACCCAGTCAGCTGGACAACCCCCTCGACAGCGATACTCATTTTCCATGTGTTTGATAAACGATTCTGTTGCAGAGTGGTGATCAACAATTGTAACTTTATCACTCTGGAACAAGAGAGCAAAAGACAATCAGTGATCACATCTCTTTAAGATTAATTAACATAGAATTTGTAATGTATCATTTTATATATAAAAAAATACATTTAATTACACAGATAACCACTTGTCTATTGCATTAACAGATCTGTAAAAAAGAAATGAAAAACTGTAGAAGCCCAACTAGCATATGGCGTATCATATAAACTCTCAATGCTGATAACATTCAGGTTTGCCTTTCCTTTCAGAAATCAGGACACTCACTGAAACATTCCAGGAGAATCTCTAGTCCATATTCACAAAGTAGAGATGTGATTTCAGTCATGCCCTGACATCAGTAACAGCTTTGCTAGTTGCTCAGGTTAATGGAGAGTAAAGTGAATTATTCTGTAATATTGCCTGTGCTCTTGAGCTATTTAATTCCAATAGTTATTTCCATTCGTACCTGGAAACTGTAGAGGACTGCGATGTTGATTTCCACCAAAGCTTGGTCTTTCCACAGTGAAGACATTTTTCTTGTGTCCAGGTTCATTTTCTGGGCCACTTCCTAGAAATTGTAAAAAATAATATTATAATATTACACTCAGACACATAGATTCATTGCATCCTAGATCCATGAGTCTTCTGATCAGGAGAAATTGTATTTTTCACCCACAACAAAAGACCTATTGAAAGTCAAATTTCCGCCAGACATCGCAAACCAAGGATGTTGGTGTAAGAGTTCGGCCCAGGGAATCATTGATAAATTAAAGCACTAACTCACATACTGTCAAGAGATGGAAGATATGTTAATCTGGAATGTTGGAATTGTTGGGCGTTTGAAGTAGATTTTGATGTTAAAATGCATTTTCGCACTAGAAGCAAACAGGTATCTTTTAAAATTTTATCGTTCTACAAATTCCTGAATTGTCTGTTATCTTACACTTATTTTAATAGTATTTGTGAGTGATTGGAAAATCATTTAATATTCTAGGTCTGGAAGAAGATACTTATTCTCACAGTGATATTGTGGGATGTTTGCTGTTGACAAACTGTGCATTGACTTTTTAATATTTGCAGGATAATTATTATTTATTTCTTTAATAAACAATCATTCTATTAAAGCTGCAAAATAACTCTTCTTTATAAAGCATTTCTTGTGTATAGCTCATGCCCCTGCAGTCTCACTGCTCAATTCTCTGCCATTTAGGAGTGCAATCCCTTTATTCCTACAGCTCTAATCAAACCTCCACTGGGGTGACACGCAGTACCCTTACATACTTCCTAAAAAAAGTTCTAATTTTCAAACCTAATTTAGGAGACTGTGTTTATTTTAGATGGTGTGTGCAAAGCAGCCTCCTTAGATAAAGTTAGATAAACAGGGTTATTCGCTAAACGAATAACACTCTAAATGTTCAATAATTAATTGTGAATGGCAAAACTGGGGAAAAATAGCCATGTTGTCAGCATAAGTTGATTTGTAGAATTTTTCCAGCTATTTTTACATCAGTTTTGTCATTCAAAATGAATTCTTAAAAATTTGGAGTTTAGTTAATAACCCACAGAAGGAGAAAAAAAGATTAACAGGAAGAAACAATTCATTTTGAAACGGAAACCTGCCTACTTGTCAGCATTATCAAAATGCATATAAAAATGCACTTTTTGCTGAACTGATCCTGATGAAAGCCACGGACGATGGCTGAAACATTGATTATGACTATGATTATGTTTTAACAAGAAATGGAATAAAGAAAGACATTTTTACAAAAGAAAAAGACAGTGAGTGCAAGCCTTTTTTCACTATTTTTTCTATTATTTTTGGCTGTGGCTGGAATGCACCCGGCATTTGGGAAAATCTGAAAGTGTGTGTGCAGGGAAAAAAATGAATATTATATATATATACACACACACACATGCTTTTACTACTATTTATCTATTTATTTTAATGTAAGTTTTCTAACACTCCTGGGAACTTGGGAGTTTATGACAGCATAGTTAAACAGATATGATTTTATTTATTATGCAGTAATCCATTCCTGCCAAAAGGAGGAGCTCTTTACCAGGCCACAGTACCTCCAGAATGTTATAACGAGAGTTGTCACAGTAATCTCGAACACCTATTTCAGTCCCCATGTACCATCCACTGAAAGGACAAGCACTGAACTCCAAGCCTCCAATCTCTAAGAGCAAATTGGCTACTGCAGGCAATCCGTACCACTTCAATTCCAAGTCCTTAAACCATTCAAATCTGAAAGTAAAACAGAAATGGGGAAATTTCAAATGTGATACAAAATGGTACTTCTGCCGCATTGAGAACATATTCGGCCGTAATAAGAGCATCCTGACAATCCCAAGAACTGATGAGTGGTCAGTTATAATTACACAAAATCAGTTTTAGATACCCAGATAAATATATAATTATTATTAAAGGGTTATTCCAACCCTTATTAATATATGTTACAAAATAATGAAAAATGCCCTTATGGGGATTATTCTGGAGGTCTTCCTCACTCCTGATCGCTGTAAAATTGTTTTCAAAGAAAATTAACTTACCTTTCTCCAGTGCCAAGCTCCTGGTGGCTCTTTCAATGCCCCCATCTGATGTCATCGACGGCCGCAAGCAGTCCAATCAAAAACATCTCACAGTTAAGCCTTTCATTTGACTATTTAGCCGGTTCAGAGCACATGCCCGTGCTCTGTTCCAGCAAGGGAAGTGGAGTGGGAGTAAAGAGTGAGTTGTCTACAGGTCAACTTTCTTGAACTAGTTAAGTAGTTTTTATGAAAAAAAAAATATTTCCTGTTACTCCATGTAAAGTTTGAAGAGGGGTGCTGCCATCCCAGACTTGTTGGGCTATACACACTTAACCCCATAAGATTCCATGCCATTTTCAAAACCAGCTGAGGAGAATGGAAACTGCAGATACAGTCATGACAGACATGTTTTCTCTAACACACACTTATCAGTAGTCGTTACAAAGCCAATAAATGTGATTTTTTTTTTATTTGCAACAAAAACTGTGAGGGTAGGGGCAGAATCCCACATGCTCATATAAACTAGACTCATTTGCTAAAGTGACTTATTTTATTTTGAACATGTAAGACATCAGTTGTTTCAATGTATTCCAGAAAACACGGTATCAAAGCACCACTACACAGCAATCTCTTCGACTCTTAAAAATCTTACTTTGGATGCCTGATCTGGACTTCCATAATCATCTCAGGGGGGATCTCGAACAGCTCAGGATCATTGCCATCCGCTTGAAGTACAAGTGGAAGGACATCAAAGCGACCTCGTGGTGCTTTCCAACCTTGCTGAATGCAAATCTACAAGAAGAAAAAAAATGTTTCATCACCAATATTTCTGAGAGAGTTCTGCTGTGAATTCCATATTTATTGACCCATGCTGTCTATCGGTCTAAGGACTCATTCACGCATGCACAGATCCCTGAAGAAGTGTTACTAGCTAGCAAGAGGTTACCTCTGTTAATTCCACATTTGCAGGATCTCCCAACACCGAGCCATCAGCCTGTTTGTATCCTGCATAACGAATAAGTTGAGCATTCCAGACCCTGAAATCATGCTTTCCGTCTGTCCTTTGGGGGAAGATAGTGATCGCTGATCTGTGAGGAGAAAGGGCAGCTCACATTATATTTATAAAAATATTCTGAATGACTGCACAATAGTGTTCCAAACAAACTTTCAAGCAGTGACCATCACATGTCCTAGGTTAAGTCCCAGATGAAACATTATTATTTCCAAGGGATCATTATATATATATATAAATATGTTTTTTCCATTATCTGTAGTTTCTATATGCTGAAGTTCCTATGCCAAATTCACGTTTATGATTCATTTACTCGTTAAACGCTAGGTTGGAGGTTACTAAATAATAATAATTATAATAATAAAAGTTGCTAGTAAATGACTAGCATTCTAAACAGAGGATTTATGAGGAATATTTGAGTTATTGTAAGCAATGAGTGGGAGATTATTCAGTGAGACAAAGCAGCACCAAACAGGGGACACCACATGAGGTGACATGGGATGAGGAAGTTGGAGACGGAATGGAAAAATGGAAAATGCGGAGGGTTTAACTGCAGTGTGGGGATCTGATATGTAAGGGGATTTCATTGGTTTTATGTTGGTGTTATTGTAGGCAAATAAAGAAGTTAGCATACTAATGCATCTTATGTCCTAGTAGGGAAAGATAGATAACATATTGCCCTAAAGGAGAAGCTTCATTATCCAGTTTAGGATATAATTGGGGGTTTGGTTAATGTTAATTGAATGCATTATAACAAAAAATTGCAGAGACATAGCTTTCTATGCCTAAAATTGACCATTTATTTGAGATATTTATAGTCATTGAACTGTTTTGCAGGATGCACCGTTCACTAGAATCATTATACATGTTTGTAGAACTTTGTGTGAGATCTTTGTAAGTGCTTTTAAAGGTGCTTCTCGAAAATGTGTTTCCTTGTGCACATTACCATTTCTATCATCATTAGAACTCCTTATCACCCTGGAAATTTGGACTAATAAAACAATATTTAAAATTTGAATGTATTTTTTTCTGATCAGTAGGATATTTTACATAGTTACATAGCTGAAAAGAGACTTGCATCCATCAAGTTCAGCCTTCCTCACATATGTTTTTGCTGTTGACCCAAAAGAAGGCAAAAAAACCCAGTCTGAAGCACTTCCAATTTTGCAACAAACTAGGAAAAAAATCCTTCTTGACCCCAAAATAGCAGTCAGATATCTCCTTGGATGAAGCAGTTATTATCCCACTAATTAGAAATTATATCCCTGTATGTTATGTCATTGCAATTTTTTATCCAATTGCAGTTTAAACATCTGCATGGACTCTGATAAAACCACCTCTCTAGGCAGATAATTCAATATCCTTACTGTAAAAAATCTCCTCTCTTCCAGCCTAAATGTGTGACCTTGTGTCCTATGTTTAGCCCTGTTTATGAATAGATTTCCAGATAATGGTTTGTACTGGCCCTGAATATATTTGTATACTGTTATCATATCCCCTCTCAGGCGCCGTTTTTCCAAACTAAAGAGATTTACTTTTTTTACCCTTTCTTCGTAACTAAAATGCTCCATTCCTTTTATCAATTTTGTAGCTCGTCGCTGCACTTTTTCTAGTGCCATGATATCCTGCTTTAGAACAGGTGCCCAAAATTGCACAGTATATTCAAGGTGTGGTCTTACCAGTGATTTATAAAGATACAAAATTATATTTTCATCCTGAGAATTTATGCCCCTATTTATACATGACAAAACCTTACTGGCCTTAGCAACTGCAGGTTGACATTGCATATTGCTGCCTAATTTGTTGTCTATAACAATTCCCAAATCCTTCTCGTGTGTGGTTATCCCTAATTCACTACCATTTAAGGTGTAAGTTGCTTGTGCATTCTTGACCCCGAAGTGCATAACTTGTAATCTAACGTGCACATTAAAAGGTCTCACCTTAGGTTGCCTTTATTGGTGGCATATTTAATGTGGTTACAGATGTAATTATACATTCCGTGAGCAGTTGTGCAATCTCGAGCATCAAAGACCTATAACGAAAAAAAAACAGGGATAATATTAGCTGGTAAAAAAAGAGATTGGGCCCATGCCTTTAATTACAACAACTCCACAGACAAACCATAATAAAAGAACACACACAGCAGTAGAACATATGCAGAGCCTACATAATTCATTAACTTTGTATCTTGTGCACATATAACTTTATCTTAATTAACATGTTCCATCACAATTTGGAATGTGACAGAACTGCACCATAATGTGATCTACATGAGAATAAACATCTAAAATCTATCGATTCTAATGCACAGGGATGCATTCGGCATATTTCTTGGAAATAGAACACATTTTACTTTTGTTAAGTTTTTATTTTATTTTTATTATACCCATATTTTATATGGGTATTTAATGATGATTTATAGAAATAGAAAGACAAACCAATTCATCATTGTCTGGAAGAAACAGTCATAGCGCAATTTAGCATTACAATAGCCAATATCAAGGCTTTACAACACCATTGCTCAAGGGCCAATGACAGGTCAGTGTATTACTTACTGACAGAGGGAAAAAAATCAGATTGATTAATTGCATACTAACTGACAAAATGCTCATACACAGTCAGGTCAGTGGACCTCTGTGACTGAATGAGACAACTCTGATTTAGATCAAATCACTTTTGGTCGAGCTAGCAGATCATTCTGTTTGCCTTCAAGGGTGACAAATAGCTTTCGTTTTTACCAATTCTTAGGGGTATGGGACATTCCTGGGTCACTAGATAAAATTGCCTTGAAATCTAATTAATCAGATGCATGCAAATTATACTCAGCGGAACTACACCAACCATGAAAAAAGTTATGCACCAACATTATTTAAGACTATATTCACTGAAGCTTAGCTATCAACAATATGCAAAGAGGCAATGACTCCAACCCTAAAAATGAATGGTCACTTTTCTGTGAGTGACAGTTCCTGTCAGCACCCCAGTTAACACTATCAATGCTTTTACTAGATTGAAGAGTACATAGGAGACAAGCACACCTTCAGTGAAGTGCTGCCGCATTCTATGATTACCTGCATGCACATGTAAAGTCGCTATTCCTCTAACATGGTAAATACACATGCATGTTGACATTAAATATAATTCTTAAAGGGACACTCCACTGCAAAATTACAAAAATAAACAAACAAACAAACAAAATGTAATTGGAGGTACATGTAAAAGCAGCTTGTAAAAGCTGCAGATCTCTTGTCAGCAGCCTTTGTAAGCCCATTAGATCTTCCCTAGGCCAGACATTCTGTGACTGTCCAATCACAGACTTCCCAATGCAGCTTAATGGGGGGTCTTTGCAAGGAAGATGCTTTGGGAAATTGCTGCTTCTTGTTTTGCATCATTGAGCTAACTAAGCCAGGAAGTAATAGAACAAGTTATCTGATTGACAGCCCAGGTGGTGTAACCAGGTCAATTTATTAAACTACCATATTCTATTGAAAGCAAGCTATAGTGCTTTAGGTGTTTGGAGTGCATCTTTAAAAAAAAAAAAAACCTTCAATTTCCTCATGAAGAACAAGTATTCCCTCTAGTGAATCTCAAGCCAAATAATTACAATTCAACATATATTTATTGATAGACTTTTTTATGTACAAATATGTAACAGATGGCATCTCAAGAGCTTCCTGACCTGCAGTTTGGACCACTGGATTCTGCCTACACAACGGGCTGCATTGCGCCATGCATGCTTTGCTCCATATATCAGCTCAGTGTCTTTTAGCTGGTAGGTATCTGTTTCTTGAATCTCCTTTTGTACTTCCTCCAGTCTGTCCATGTGAGCTTTGGAGCCAAATCTTCCAAGAAAAAAAGATAAATCCATTAATGTAACATAAACACAATTATGCCATGCATTTAATCATGACTAGAAGCATTTAGGCGCCAACAACACAATATTCCAGCATTCTCTTGGTTCAGGCTAATGCATGATAACATATATTTAAAAAGGCACTCTGATAACAGAATGAAATCATACAACCATATATAAACACCATGAAAAAAATCTGTACTTACAAGCAATTATTAAATGGCATGGACAAACAGTTGCAAATGCTGCAATGCAATATTACATTTAACGAGAAAATAGATCTGCTAATTATGCAACATTCATGTACAAAACCATATTTCAGTAAAATAATTAGAACAACTTTGAAAGTATATCATGCATACTTAGTCTATTATATGCCTTAGTATCTTTTTTTTGTTTTAACAAAAGTGATAACATAATAAAAAAAACAGTCCTATGTTTTAATACACAATAAAGTGTAAGGTCCAGTTAAGGGGCAGTTTTAGTGCTTGAAGCTCATAGTATAAAATTTGCATTATAGCCATTGATTTTACCTCTTAATTGAAGAATAATATTGGTCAATGAATTCCTTGGCAAGAGGTAACAGTTCCTCTTTGGTTCTGACATCTTCTGGTTTGCGCACATATTGAGGAGGGGTCATGACTGCCCCCAAACATAACTGCTGTGAACAAGGTGTTGGCTGAATAACAACAGGATATAAAAATAGTTATTGGAATTAGTAAAAATATGAAAAAATGTAATTTATTACTAAACAAAATGTCTGACAAGTAATAATATACAGGTGGACACTGCATTCGGTATGTTTAGTATAAACGGTTCCCCATTGTCTCAGAGCTCTGTTCTAATAGGGCACCATGAATCCCTTCAATGAAGCAAATGTTAGAAGGATGGATTCACACCAGATTTATGTTAAGGAAATCTTAATTTTTCGCTCAAGCACCAGGCATAAATTAAATGACTTATACCACCAAGACCAGAGTGATATCATCCTTTAATACATTTGTTGGAAACAAGTGTCCAAAATGAATCTGAGGTTATGAACTTTGGGACCGAGCAACATACCATGGATGATTTGAAATGGAGTGTATCGTGTAACACAGCGTTTGTTTCCCAGTTTCGAATTTTTAGATAGCGAGGACATTTGGAAGGACTTCCATTTGCTTGGGTTTTTGCAGGGGAATGTCTTCCTGAGGCTGAAACCTAAAGAGAGACAGAGCGTAAATTCCAGAGAAAGGAGAGAAACATATAGAAAAATAATAAAGATGACAAAACATCAAATAATGTCTAGAACAGGGTGACTTTGAAATATTTAATGCTGATACATTACAGACAAGATTTATTGGATATCAAAGGATATTTACTTGGGTTGGCGATATCTGTTCCTACTTGGTTTTAAATTGATTGTGATAGTTGATTTTAAAATCTGCTGTACCATTTTCTTTCTATTATATTATTTTTTTCAAATCAAAATCTAGCTATATGTTGTTTTATATAATCTTAAAATGTATTTCATTTTAACATCATTAGGTAAAGCTGGGGCAACTTTATTATTGGCCCGTCTTCCTTAAAGCCAACGAAGGTCAAAGAATGTTTACTTGCTCCCAGTGTTTATAAGATAGGAAAGTTAAAATAGTCTTACCAATAGTCTCTACAAACATAACTTTGAAATGAGACAAATTTAAAAAAAAATAATAATAACATAAATATGTAAAGAAAATCAAGACATGTAATAATCAAAATAGAATCCTCATCATCCCCTGGGTAACCCAGTAATAGCTGCAAGACTAAAGATACCTGGACTGTAATCTGTACAACAGATAAAATGCTGTAAACTACACTGTTATGAGAACACAGTTAGAAAAGCTAAAAATTCTAAACATTCTTATTGTGTGTCAATCTATCACATCACAACAGGAACCATTTAAACACAAATTTGTCTTCCTGTTTTATCCCTCCTATAATCTTTTTCTTATCTGTAGTCTCTTTCTATTTTGCCTTGTCCTCCTAGTGTGTTAAAGCCAATCCAACGAGCAGCATGTCCCATTTCACTTAGTTCCCTTTGTCTCGGTCCTGAGCTCTCTTTTACTCACCCCACTCATTACCAATTCTGTGTGGCCCTCTCTATTTAACAGTGCATTTCTATTGTTGCAAACCACCTTAAAACCTCATTGTGTCTAACTGAATTTCAACTGTTATATATATACACACACATGTGATTGCTGCCATGGATAGTGCATCCTCAGAACTGCACAGGGATAAACTCTTCACAGCCTTCAGGCTTTTACATTTATAGAGTACTCCAGTAAAATGAACCAAGTCTACAAGATTTCATTTTTAGATCCCATTCTCTCCAGTGCTTACGTTACTGTGTTAAACAAGGCTAATAATCTGCAAAAGGACTTATTCACCATAGCACTGCAGATGTTTGTGAACTACATTTTCGATGATGCACAGCAGGTCTTTCATCATGGGAAATTTAGTTTGCAAACATATAAAACACAAAGCATTATAGTTATATAGTATTATTCAGCTAAATATTGTACTAAAAATACAAATTAAACATCTATAGGTTTATGCACTAAACCAGACATTGTCAGGGAACGGCACATTTCATACCCCCCAAAAAATCTATCTATATTGGAAAGAAAAATCTTTTGCTCAATAATGTCTTAGTTTAGATATTTTAAATTACAATTTGCAATTCCATTGTCAATTCTCTGCAATTATACATTTAACGAATAAACTCCTACGTTTTTGAGTGTCATCTTGTTATTTTGTCATATTTCTGACTTCAGATAAAAAAATCCAATAAGCCTCTGCCTGTAATACCCAATACCATTAGTACATCCATGCTGATATCATATTGATTTATTATGATGCCTTCTGTTTATCAAAGATAAAAAGTCCTATATTTGGTAAATGACTTAACTAGATCCATTATTGCTAGAGTCTTGCAGATAGAGTTGTCACTTCCCTAGAGAGCATTTGACTGGCTCCTCTTTTAAAATCACAATAGTCTAGCTGTATGTAAAAGAGTACTGGAACTTTGATTGAACACTACAAGCACCATCATCACTACAGCCTGCTCTAGTGGTTATACAAAGACTGCCTGGCGCTATCTCAGAATATGTAGTCAAATGTTTTAAGAATGGTTTGATAACTTTCTGGGGTCCTGTCAGGCTTACCTCCCACATGGAGTTTATGTTAGCTCCACTTAGCTAAGCACTGCCATGGACAGCCGGTCATTGGCTGAGAGTGTCAACTGACTCTCTGCCAATCAGCACAGACCTATAGAGCCAGCTAAGTTTGGCGGCAGAAGTATCTTGCAGAGGCGGTGGTGTCAGGCGCTAGACAAGTTTTCAAACTGTTCTTAAACATTTAGCCAGGTACACTTGGAACTATAACCATGATAGGGGTCTGTCGTGGTTATGGTGTTTGGAAAGTCCCTTTAAAAACACCACCTAGAGACAAATTATGTCTAAAAAGCATGGTATCAGTAGGTGGTTCCTGCTAAAGAAGGGCTGTTATAATGTATTTCCCAAAGTAGACTCACAGAGTGACAATACTAGCAGCTCCTTGATCCTGTATTTTTTTTGCTGTAGAGAGCTTTGACACTAAGTCTATTTGGAATTAGGAGCAAAGTATTTGCCATTCTGTTTGTAAAATAGTAACGTGTAGATGTGACAAAACGAGAAGGGCACTGCACAGATTAAAGGAGCAGCTTCTACTTTCTGGGGCATGTGTAATTCACAATGGATCAGCATCAGAATGGAGGGGAAATCCTGCATTTATGTCAGAAATCTAAGTTAAAAGCAGATTAATGTTGTGACTGAAGATCAGACGCTCAGTGAAAGGGATTACTAGAGTCATGCAGCTTAGTGAGAAATCACAGAAAAAGAGAATCTCTAGGCACGTATGGTGGGGGAATCCCATAATCTGTCTGTTTATATGCCGAGTTATTTTACAAGGAAATCCCAGGTGTCCCGTGCATCTCTTTAACTATCACAATTCATATACATGTCAGATGTTATGAGAGTGGTCAAAGATCACACATTTCCAGGGTCATCTCTTTGTATTAACACGTCCTTCACCCCGGGTTCTACTTTATCACAACAATATAAAGATGTGTAAAAAAAAAAAAATAGAGTGTTAAGCGTACATTTGAATGTACTTTGCAATCAGCCACACTGCAAGTTTTGCTGTAATTTCTCATTTTTAAAAAGACTGCACGGTTTATTTCTCTTCCTACCCATGACCTTTTGTTGATTATTATGTTTTGCTCATGTTGTCATGGCAATAGTACTGCCCATTTTACATCACCTGTATCCCACGTACCACTTTATATATCTTGGTTGATTTACAATGTCTCTCATGCTTGTGAATGTCTCATGTTAATGTCAAAATGTCAGCTATCTTGGCTCAGTTGCAGGATAACTCCTATTACAGGGAAACGCTGTGCTGCTATTTTTTCTATAACTATGATTGTGCAATGTATTCTACATTTCCTATAGTATAATGAAATGACTCTAACCTCTGTGCTTGAAATATCTACCATGTGCCTACTCTTACTCATACCCGTTAATCTTTTTTTTTTTAGACTTTTTTTGGGTTGCTTCTTTGTCTGAACACTTGTTTTGTGCCTTACTTAGATTTACAAGATGCACAATATATTTATATATTTAAAATGGCTTTATTATTTCAATCAACAATTTGCAGAAACATTATTAAGACAATGAGGGAGATGTTTAGGTGTATGCAGTATAGCTTAGGTGTACTTCAGCTTAATAAAATGTCTTTGGTCTATAAATGCTCCTGCAGTCTCACTGCTCATTTCTATGCTGTTTAGCAATGAAATAATGGTATTATTTTATCTTCTATGGTTGTCAGTGATCCTATCTTACATTCTGGGTCAGTACCACTGTTTACATTAGAACATGCAGAGAATGGGGGTATATTCACTAAACTATTGTTTACATCGACAATCATAATACTTTTCTCCCTGTGTCCACAGTGCAGCTCTGTGAGAAGTAATTGATTGGTCATTGCCAAGCACCAATAAGGAAGTTAATACTGGGCAAAATGGGAGTTGACTAGCTTAGGTGTGGTAGAAGTCTTAAAGGAACATTACAGGGTCAGGAACACAAACATGTGTTCCTGACCCAATAGTGTTAAATACACCACTTAGGTTGCTTTCCCCTCATAGCCCCATTAGAAGGGGTTAAAACTTACCTGCTTTCCAGTGCCAAGCGGGTCAGCCGGTGTTGTTCCCGCCCCCGCCCCGATCCACCTCCTTGGTGACATCATCAGCATTGCCATTTTTAGTCAATCCAAGGGTTTCCCAAAGGGAAAGCATTGGATTGGCTGTAATTGGCAAGGAGACTGGGCCAAATTCAATTTTTTGCCAATCAGCAACTCCTCATAGAGGTGCATTGAGTGAATGCATTTCTATGAGGAACATTCAGCGTCTCCACTTGGAGGTGTCCCTAGAGGGCAATGAAAACACTGCCTTTTCTCTGAAAAGGTAGTGTTTGCATTAACTTGCCTTAAGGGAATGATTATACTTATTAGAACAACTATATTAAGCTGTAGTTGTTCTAGTGACTGTAGTGCCCCTTTAAATCTAAGGATATGAAGGATTCTAAGCAATTAGGAACAGCATTTTTAAAACCTAATACAAAAATATACATTTTGTAAACTAGGTATTCCCTTTAAAATCATGAATAGGCTTTGTATCCTCCAGATTGTTACTGATTTGTTATTCTTCCTCGGAGAGCTCAAAAGTCAATAAATGACAATCAGATGCAAGTTTTCTTTGAATGGTTCAGCTTGCATATTATCCTATCATCTATAACTAAACATTTGAACAATCATTCTATTGTCCTACCAGCTCACTCTCCAGATACGGATTGTTCAAAACCACTGGCATGTTGTTATTGTTTCTCCATAAATCATTGTAGGCTTGATCATTTCCGGGTTTCTGAGATTTACTGAAAATAGAAGAACATAAAAACTTAATATAATCAATGCAATTTCATGAATAATACTTTTTATGTATATATAATAAACCTGCATTTTATTGTTGTTGTAGTTGTTTTTTATAGCAAAGGCATCACCCTAGAAAAATGTTTTGGGAAATTGGCACCAGCAGCAGAAGGAATACTCTCTCCATGTCTTTACATGTAAGGGAACATAGATACATAGAATGTGACAACAGATAAGAACCATTTGGCCCATCTAGTCTGCCCAATTTTCTAAATACTTTCATTAGTTCCTGCCTTATCTGATATGTAGGATAGCCTTATGTCTATCCTACGCATGCTTAAACTCCCTCACTGTGAGCCTCTACCAACAGGGATAGAGGATGCCAAACCATTCCTTAAATGAGAGGAACAGGCGGGTAGCTACTTGGAAAGAACTCAGATTGGGAAGCATTTGTATTAAGAAAGTAATCAGTTACAGAAATGTACAAAATCAACTGCAATGATGTGGTTATTGTAGACAATTGACATGCATTATATTGAATTTCAGGTAACAAAAAAAAACATGCTGAAAACAGAACTGTGCTGGAGAATTTATCCAACATTTACATTTTTGGATTTCCCCACTATTCCTAGTCTAGCGAGTAACTTGGAAGATGCATATAAATGGCAAGATTGTAAAAAAAAAGTATTACTAAAGTAAAGCTATATTTTAAAATTATAGTGTAGATTGTAGGAAACACCGAACCTTTATTTTTAACATTAGCTTTTTCATTATAAAACCCACCATTAAAAATCATCATAGGCAGTATGAGAAAAATAATGGAATATACTTATAAGTTACATGATACTTAAATGGAACCTATAGTCCTGAAATAATATTTTTCTTAATTTTTTTACAAGTTCCCCTGTATTGCTCAAATCTCTGTCCATCCTTTTGATGTTAAAAACCTTCATAAAGCATCATAAAGTTTACTTACCTCATTTCTACACCTCTGCTGCAGCTGCCAGCCCCACCCCATCTTCATCAACAAGCCTGCTGATGCCTTCCTCGTTCTTGTCCAATCCACTGCTTCTCATAGAGAAGCACTGGGGACAAAAAACACATGCACAGCAAATGCCATGCTCATCCAATCAAATGCCTTCTACGAACAGTATTTAAATGATGGACTGAGTCTGACTCGGTTCTCACGAGGAAGCACCTCAAGGGGATGTCAGGAAGACAGGCACGAGAGGTGTGTTAACCGTGCCATGAAAACATTGTAGTTTCTACACAACAGCAATGTTCTACATTGTAGGTTTAATAAGACAAGGACATTGCACCCAGACCATTTCACTGAAATTAAGTATTCTGGGTTCCTATAGTGTCTCTTTAACCTTGTAGTTTCCCTAAATCAATATTTTTGGCTGTTGTCGACAATGTTAGACTTTTAATATGCAATAAATAAAAATTCATAACTAGTTGCACTATATCTCTTATATATATAAAACATGCTATTGACAGATCGGAAAGACTACTTTACAGACTAGCATGGCAATGCAGTCAATAGTGACATTGAAATTGTGAGGGCACGTCTCCAGTCTCCCACATATTAGGCTGTGGTTGATTACCTATAAAAATGCACTCCAATTTTACAATAATACTTGCATCACTAAATGTGTTTGTACCTATCCTATTGGTTACATGCTAAGAAAAAAGTGGGGTATATTACAATAAATGAATTAATATTAATAAGATGTCCCTTTTACAACCATATAACTGTGCAACATTCTTAGGGTCAAACATTTCCCATTAGCAGGGTACTTGTCTAGTAGAATGTAATGTAAAGGGAGCAAGTAAGAGATGATGACACAGTCCACAATGAACACAAACAGCACAGACAAACATAGATATTGAAACACCTGCAGGAAAGTCTTAAGACTGTAGTAACCCCCTTGTGACTGGTCATCAGAGTTCAGTACTTCAGTTCTCCATATTATCACACTACTTACATATTGATAGTAACAAAAAATGTTTTTACTCACGGTGACAGTTCATTTGACAGACTATGGATTATGCATCAATAACCACCAAAATCCATTTTATTGTTCAGTCAAAAAGATTAACTAAATTAATGAATCAATTTAGTTAGCTCAATGGGAAGCAGAATAGGATTTACAAATATAAATTAAACAATTCCCAACTGTGAAAACACTGAATCAATGTTTTATCTGACAAACATGCCCTAAAACCAGCTAATTAAAAACAACAACAAAATAAAAACCCACAAAAAACCCCACAAATCAAATACAGTGTCTTTAATAGATCCCTTTATCACGCACATACATACACACACACACACACACACACACACACACACACAAACACAAACACACACACGTACATGGACTTGCAGCACTGTGGAACAGGAAACACATCTATTTACCTATGCCTCTGTGTATTAAACTAATGATCATGTTATAGTGGCTATAATTGAGGTTTGTGAGCAATATCTCATATAGGCACATCCTGCAAAGTGTACCAGTTATATATGTACAAGTCATATTTGCAAAGTGTACCAGGCATACCACGAGATGTATACATGTAGACATGTACACTTAATCAATGAATCAGCTTGATCCTCAATGTACTAGAAGTATTAAAACAGAATTAAATATCCATAATATGGGCATAAAACAACTGCAACATGAGCTTGCTTTATTTTAAAATGTGATATTAATAATAGAGATTTATGGAGACATTTCAGTTTTTGGGTGGATGTGGGTAATTCACAGTAGCTTGTAAGCATAAAGGCATCGATTTAATATTTTTGGATAAGCATTTCAAATGATTTAGGATTTTTGGATACATATTTCTAATTATTTAATATTTTAAAAGCATTATTTATTATTTTTATATTTCTCATATGATATATATGTACATTTTCTGTCTGTTTTCAAATTGAAAACAATCATCATTTTAAAAGTTTATCCAAAAATATGAAAACAAGGCCAAATATAGAAATGAGATGGAATAGTTGTATGTAAGTCGAAAGCAGATTAATGTTAGTACAGATACTGTTTACTAAAAGGGATTTAGAAGGACGTAAAACCTACTTATTGGCTAAGCAATGGCTTCATCGCTGCAGCAAAATTCTTGTGGGCATTTATTAAATATGAAATTGTGGAGAATTGACAAGAGAATTCCAAATGTTATGTCAAAAAAGCCATGAAAATCTCTCCAATTGAACTATTTACAACACATATTTATAGGGGACTATTTTGAAGAAAAACACACAGCCACATCTGATTTGGAGGATTGGGATTACAGCCATGTGATGTCTTCTATTTTAGAAAGGTTGCTGACTACCCCTATAAGTTTCTTAAATGTATGAATTACCCAAACTAATTGTCACACTGAGATGGCCTCAAATAACTTAAACCATTGCATTTACATCATTGGCCTTGATTTAATACTTTTGGATAAGCTTTTTAAATGATTTAATATTTTTGGATAAACTTTTAAACTGATTTAAATTATTGTTTAAATATTGTATGTTTTAATATTTTATTTTTTTTCCCATTATACTGATATACTTTTTATATAGGATATATTTTTTGATATTTTAATATTTATATATATTTTTTAAAGTTAATCTAAAAATATGAAATAATTTCAAAGTATATCTAAACGTATTAAGTCGAGGCCACAGTCTGATATTAAAATTCCCTCAATCTTGTATCTCTTGTTATATGTTGGCTGTAAAAATAGAGAAACACATCATTATAAGAAAAAGTAATGAGTTATGACTGCATGAAAACAAGTTCCCCAAACATCAAAAAGTGAGCAGTATTTGTAACTGATGTCTGCCCAACCCACCTGCTTTGAGCTAGACTGCACCGACAGACCATTTTCAAACACCTGTCATTAAATTATGATCTCTCTCTGATTCGATATCTGTTTATGATTTTTTCTCCAGTACTTACACTGACAGATAAGCACAGATTCTTATGATTGGTTGTGTTGCATTAATTGCCAGGGAATCTAGGATTCAGAAATATCTTTAAATTAATTTGTATTAATGTTATTATTAGTCTCTGTAAAAGGCAAAAACAAATTGATGGTACAAATGTGAATTAAGTTAATATATGCACAGTTTATTCGCTATGTATATGCTCAATATATCTTACATTTTGCCCTGCTGTTAATGGACAATGTACAGGCTTCCAGCATGAATCAAAATTCTTTGCAAATCTCTACTTTCAAAAAAAATGTGAATTATTATGTTTTTTGTTTTTTAAATGTGAAGAATACAATGATGAATTGTGTTGTCTTCACCTTTGCTTTTTATTTCTTGTTTAGGTCGAGTACTCGCAAAAAGGATGCAGTGTTGCTGTGAGTTTTTAATTGTAGCAAAATGTATACAAAAGGAGCAGGTACTCTAAATGCCCTATAAACCCAATATGAGCTGTAATAACATTTAAGGCATACACATCGACATGATGTTTTCCATCAGTTCACATCTCCAAGATAGCTGTTTCTTTTGAGAAAAGTGCCTCCAGACAGGCAGCATAGTGAGGTAATATTAACAAGAACAGACTGACATGTTTTAACTTATAGCTGATTATGAAGCTCCTCCAACAGGATGGAAAGAAAATGATCCATAGCATAGATGACAATGAGCATAATCTCATTGGCCATGCCAACATCCAGACATCCATCCCACTAATAATAAAGTTGCTCGGGGAATTTCTATAAACTTCCTGGATACTTGTGATACTGGATATCCTAGTCCGACTTATTTCACTAAAACTAGGTCATCAACAGCAAGTGTCAATAGAGGTTTCTATTCAGTGACCCCTCTGTAATGTACTAGGGGCTACTGGCTGTACCCACATCCCACTGGTGTCACATGCTGCTTGCATATGGCCTGTACACTTACACAGCTCAGAATACCCACACACAGGTGATACTTCTCACTGACAGGTGTGTGTTTGACTAGGCTGCCATAAAGATTGCCATAATTTGTCATATTATTGGCACATCCCATCTGCTAAGCCTTCCAACTCAACAACATTGGACTTGAGACTTTCCTCTTCCCATCCACAATGACAAACATGGTGTCATTTTCATAGCAGTGCACAGACAGCATTTCACCATGTTAGAATGTGTATTAACAATATGAAGGCAATGTTCACATCCTCCAGGTATACTTAAAGAGCTTGTGCTATCAAAATACAAGGACAAAATGAAAAACCATCTTAATCGCATGGGACTGCTCATGTCACCTACCTAAACCTAGACCTAAATAGGGCTGCTGATAATGATTATACCCAGGGCAGATCTATATACATATATTATGCTCTGAGTGACAGCACAATATGTTGAAGGAATATACAATGAAGATGGAAAGTGTAAAACCAAAGCTTGCCTGTGGAATTACTTGGATTGTCCCAGTCTATACTTTAAAAACAGTTCTGATAAAGGTGATAAAGTCAGAATTTTGGAGCTCATAAATTTGGTTAAACCCAACCCAAACATTTAAAAGAATTGTATAAAGTATCAGCAGAAGGCATGAGATTTTCTGCCATGGAATTGGTGAAAATGGGTCAAAGGAAAGGTGACGTGGACAAAAAACATAGAGGATGCTTCTGGATCCACAAACTAAAATCTGTCATCATGTGGATCAAATGAGGGTTTTTCATTATCTCCTTTTATTTCAGAAATATTGTGAAACATTACTCATTTTCAAATTATATATTTTCTAGAGTGCTATTAACTCTGTTCCCAATTGAATGCATATGAAAAAAGTATGTATAGTCAATTTTATAGAAGTGATATAGGTATGTTTCTATATGGTTTTAGTCACGTTTGGTTTTTCCCATGTATAATATAATCACGATGCATTAGGTGGACCACAGATTCATACAATTTGAACCACTCCGCAATGAGTAGAACATGGTCTAACATACATAAATCAGGATCACTCTAAGTTAGTATAGTAACAAGTTATACATGTTACAGGCCATTACATTTTCTTTACAACTTGCATGAATAAATATGCTCATCAATTGTTTATTTTCCCCATATGAATTTACATTTGGTCTATTACTCCTTTGCATTCCCTCAGTCATTTTAAATTGGGTTTTCACAATATCAAGCCATGTGTCCTTTTCAGGTACATCTCAAAACCCCTATGAATGTTCAATAGGGCTATACATCTGACCATCTCTTTATTACTTTACGAAACATGTCTGGATTGTTTGCCCATTAACAGGGGTAGTTTCATTTGGACAGGGGGATTACTTTAGTAATTAAGCATAAATGAGTGTTTTTGTAACCTTTTTTTTTTAATTCGTCCTCCATATATGTAAATCCATATGATTAATAGAATTTTTCGTTACATATTGGTGGGCTGACTTGGTGTTTTGTAAACATGGTCTTTCTGTGGCCACAATTGTTTGCAACCTTAGTGGATTAAAACCTAGTAGCAGTTTAATCTTCATTTCAGATAATTCCCATATACACTCCTCCATGTTCTGTATGTATAACATGGATATGAGTAATGCAATCTCGGCAACATGTACCTTTATGGTGATATTGCAATATATATATAATTTCTTCCAGTAACGATTAATTGTAATAACACACCAATATATATATATATCAGTTGTAATGCAAGAATCTCCTTATGAACCGTTATTCTGTAAATCTAGCGCTGAAGATGTTCTTAAGGACACATCCACCACAACATGTCTATTCTTGAATAATATTGTGCTTTCAGTATATTGATCTTTCTGCAGCATAACACTCTGAGAGGGCGTGTCATGGAAGTGTGGGTTCCTCTCATTAAGTACTGCCTACTGCGAGTTACACTCACAGATATAGACGTCAGTAAGAAGGGAGGAGTTAAGAGACGGAACATGTAATATTGGAAAAGGCAGGCCCTTCGCCCCTTACCAATCCTCTAGGGGCATTCACCTTTACATGTGGATGCACACAGTTGATCATTTCGTAGTATTACATGCAATGACATCAAAGATGAGGCTCCTACTCCTCTACGATAGCCTATAGGCCAGTATACAATGGGTGGGAGATACGGGCTGGCCCCTGACATAGGTGCATTAGTAGCACCAAAATGTGCATTGGGTTATTTGCCTCACATTTCACGTGCACTTCCCACACTCTGCACTAGTCACTTTGAGACCATTTTCTCTTTCTTGTCTCCTGTTTCCATTTAGTCAGCTTTAAAGGGAGAGAGGGAGGTGGAGTAAGCGGTCTGCAATTGCTGCTTATAGCTGAGGTATTAAACCTGTCTGTTATTCTCTGTCTATTATAGGTATAATGCATTCTTTGCTTTAACAAGCATGTAGCTTCTCTATTAGTAGCATGCTGTAATGGAAGTTTAGTATTGAATACTTTAATTTAGGGTACATGATAACCCAACCTCCACAATTATTTCATATCTATATTTGTGTAGATTGTTTTATACTTATACTTATACCTATAGGCACGTTTACATGCAGTTTTCTCAATATTAGCAACATACTAATGTCAGGATTAATGTCAGACTAATAGATCCAGCCTCAATTACCAAAAGAACTAGACAAACGTTATGTCTATTGTCTACAAGCTCTCCATATATTACCATATACCATTATTCCAATTATGACTTACTAGCTATTTTATGAGTTGTGGAGTTTAGCTAACATACGTAACCACATGGGCACTTTTTAATAAAGCCTGTAAGTGGTTTATCTCATATTGTTATAATTTTCATATTAGGCTACTTAGCACATGTGTTTGTTTTTGCAATATTTAATCATTTAAATTTATAGCAATAGAATGGTTTTGTGAGTGTGTGATATAGACTTTTATTTTCTGTCTATGAACTTACAGCTGTGTTTTGCAGTGGGTAATTCTACTGTAGTTTCAAAGAACACATATGTAAAAACACACCAGTTTAGTACTATTACAGCTTGTATTCTGCTTAGAATTATAAAAATGGCACATTAAAGCAGAGTAATTTGGCAGCCTCTGTATGTGTCAGCTTTGCAATGTGACTGTGCTATGACTTGTGATATCAGCTCTGTCTTGGCTGTTGGTCAGAGGCTTTGAACCATTTGAGTACCTCCTCCAGGGGATGTAAGTTTCCTTAATTGGAACTAATATTCTTCACAGAAGGACATTCACAGATCATTGTTAGGAAGTGGCAGAGCAAAGAAAGGGATTTGTTCATTTCATGGCTTGTTACACTCAGATTCCTGCTCTCCGTGCTGAAGAAGGTCTGCATTGTGTTTATTGTCAGTGATTGGCACTTGTCTGTATGTTGTATGTATGTCAAACCTTAATCAGCACTTGTGCTGATTAAGGTTTGAATTGGGCATAAAAAGACAAGGACTAACAACATGTTAATCGCTTTAGAAATATGTACTGTACTTCTAAACAAACAATTAGACTTTAAAGACAGACCTTTTATAAACACGCTAATTGCTTAAGCTGCGTAGGGGTGAAAATAATAGAAAGATATGGAATAATAGAGCTGAAATCCACAATTGGCTTGCTCTGAATTCTTTAATAATCCATTCATACAATAGATAATCAGATTATAACTTTGTGGGGGTTTTTTAAAACAACATTATAATTGTTACCTATGTAAAGATTTTAGAAAATATCTTTATTTAATTAAATTACATCTCATGGAATTGTTCAACTTCTATTGGCTACTATTGCAAAGTAATGAATTATATTCCATGAAAAGTGTGCAACTGACATAGACACTGGAATTGACTTTGCAAAACAGGTGCTATCATGAAGTAATTTCAGTATGGAAGCACTGTCTATGTGTAGTCTTAAACTGGTGCTCATAAAGAGAGGCAATGGATTAAACTAAAAATCACAATTTCGGGTCTATACGTTTCTATCCCCATTGGCAAATATAAAGTATGTGCAGCATTTCAAACTGAAACACTACACATACAGGCTTATAGCACCATAGGAAAAAAAAATTGCTGAAGTGGTCAAGGTGCTTGGAGTAAGCCTTTAAAGGTATATCTATAAAAGGGTAATCTTGGTTTGTACATGTGAAAACAATATCCTTTTCTATTTCATTTGACCTGTCCTCCATGCTGGTTCTGGATTTAGCACAGCTTTTAGTAAGTTCTTTCTTTAAAGACCTTCATCAGCCAACTGAGAGATGGATTAATACACAGGGTTCCGAGACTTTACTGCAATGCAGCACAAATTTGGTATTTAACTGTAGAGGGCTAAATTAATTGCTCACCAAAAAGCTAATGGGGCTGAAATGAAACATTTACACAAAAAATGGTTTGGAAATAATCTCCAACTCATCTAATGCCATAGTTTGGTTAATTGACCACCATTTGTGGTTTAGTGCATTTTTGTTTAAACTATTTCAATCACAAAGTGATTATGCTGCGATATAAACACCTTCCAGTGTAGATTAGCTCTGGGGTTTAGTTAAAACTCAGCACTATGCACTATTTTTTCGAGTTTGGTTATTCTGGGCTAAAACTTCTATTTCCCTTGTTAATTGGGAAGCAATGGATACCAAGTTTTTGTTGTCCTGATTAATTCATTATTGTTGTTAGTGAGAACCTAACATGACCCCAACATGTATTAGTTTTTCAGATTGTACTTTCACAGGTTACACAGGTTACAAATTTTAAATTGCATTTTTACAGGTTACAAGATGAATTAATGAAATTCACGACGGAAGAGGCCTCTAGCCATTCCTCTGCCACCTTGAATTTTGGAGAGAGCACTGTGATTGGTTGGCCTGGAAACCAGCCAATCACAGTGCTCTGATTGCCAAGTCTCACTTCATGTGAAACGTGCATGGCAATGGTACATAGATGAGTCAATCTCGCTTTTTTAAAATTTATTATTTATTTAGTTAATAATTAATTTTCGAGAGAGATGATAAGCTCTCCGAATGTAAGGAATTGGCTCTCTGATGTCATGATAGGATGTCATAGACCTCAAGCATGTATTAGTTTTGAACTTTGACTTTTACATTCAGTGCCACAATGCTCTGTTCTCTTCTACAACACTGAAATGGTTAAAGGAACACTACAGGCACCCACACCACTTCATCTTTGGGTGCAGTGTCCCTGTTGCCCTTAGTCCTGCAATGTAAAACATTGCCGTTCTTGAGAAACTAAGACAGCCTCTAGTGGGTGAGAAAACCATTTTTATGACAGAGGGAAGGGTTTTGAGGGAGGGGTGAGGGGACCAAAGAGTTCTATAGTGTTAGAAATACTACTTTGTACACAGCTTGACTGTGGTTACATGCTGGGGTTGTTATTTGCTGCTATAATTAAATGTAATTTACTCACTTTAGCAGGTTTAACAGTTTCACTGCCATCTAGTAAATTGACTTGTCTTTATCATGTTATTATAAAGTATGTACAACTCCTAGTGGCTATTGTCCAGGAATTCGCAGAATTATCCGCAAGCCAACAGCAATTGGTCAGACACCCCTTGATTAGAATGTTTATTGGCTGTTCTCACAATTCTGTGCAGGGTTATTCACTAGACTGGGAATTGCAAATTACAGACAATAATAAACAAACTACAAAACAGCTATTCTTTCAAGCGTCGCTATTTTGGCCCTAAATCTGAAGTTACCTTACTAGATCATGATGGTTCCTGGATTATGAATGACCCTGCTAGTTTACCTGTCTGTTGTTATTGCTGACCTCTTGTGAATAACACAGATCACTGGGGTTTATACTATTGAAAGGCAAATACTGTCGCCTATGCTATTCTCATTAAAATCACTTAAAGGGACACTGGTCATTTCTTCTCATTGAATATATTAGAAATATATATTGTGTTAAATTATAATCAGGCTTCCAAGCACCACTTGTCAAATAACAATATTTAAAACCCAATATTTATATATTTAATAACAATTATTATTTTGGGGAAATAACTTATGGGGTTCATTCAGTGAACCATGAGTGAATGGTTTGTCAGTTATTTAAGCTTAGGATTTGTTATCAAGGCAGCACAATTTAAAGGTCTGTACAGTAGTTAGTGAACTGTTGTGAGCTGAATTTATATTGTAAATATTTGGCCAATATAGCCGTTAAAAATAAAGAGTCCCCAACTGTATTACTTAACACTTTACATTCAGAGTAGTGGCTGCTGGGGGTATAATTCAAGATTTTTAAACAAATCTGCTTAAAAAATCAGATTTTTTTTCTGCATCAATACTCACTGTTTAGTGATTTTCCTCCATGTTTATTAAGAGTTTTTGTTTTAGCTCCCTAATGTAAGAATTGTTTTAGCTCCATAATGTAAGCTGTTATTATCAATAAAAACAATATCTAATTGTCGTAAGTTGACATTCATTAACATTTATGAATTTAATTATGAATTTACTAATTCCATGACTACATTGCACTAATCTTATTTATTTTTACTTGCCAAATGGGCAAAGGAAATATTCACTATGTATACTAACTAAAGATCTGTTTGAATTTTTGTGTACACTAAGCTTGGGGCTCATTCATTTTAATATTAATTGCCATAATATTTAACATACCATATTTAATTTATAATATAAGCATGTTTGAGCAAGACCCATAGAAAATTATGTTTCTGCACATGAAATTTGACTTATTTGTTAGTCCACCTATTGTACAACACTGTAGGATATATTGGCTTTTTATAAAAAACAGTAAATGAAATCAAGATGCATGACCGTTCATCCCATGAATATACAAAGTGCTTCCTAAAATATAATAAACAGTTTGTAGATCACAAGTTAATCTGGATATGAAGGTTTTAGTTTTGAATAAGTCTGAAATAGATACATTCTAATAGACTGATAAGAAGCCTCTGCCTGATTTTCACTTCAAAGATGTAAATGGAAGCATTTAATTGAATGGTACCCAGATACACATTTCCATCTTGAAAGTGTGAACCCAGAGATTTCATCTCCCTCTTCATCTCTTCTTCATTTATCCTTTCTGAATAAATGCTTTCATTAGACAAGGTTGGGGAGAGGATTGCAGAGGGGGATAAGGAACTCCTGCCGGCACAATACAACAATACCCTAAATCCTCACCTGTTTTTCTCTTTCTTTTTAAAGTACCTCTTGAGGAAATGTTGTAAACTCAAAATCTGATTACTTTTCACAGCTTTTGTAAGAGACTGCTCTATTCCCCGTGACAAAAGCATCTAATTATATCTAATATGTAGGGATAAAATTTTATCTCTGATACGACTACATAGAGGTCTTTGATTTCATTCACAAGCCAACATATAATATAATTATGGTCTCTATTAAACAACTTACTTTTCAACTTGAACTTCTGCATCTTTTTGTTCCACTTGATGCTGACCATCTTTATGTAACTCCTCGAGCCTCGTGTTCTGTAGAAGATTCACTACAGGCTCTATCTCTTTCAGGATGTCATTGCTTTCAGCTCCACCATTAAGGCATGGACTAATACTTATATCATCACCTTTAACTCCATCGAGTCCATTTAAATTATTAAGCTGATGGACTTCCTGCCAAGAAGAGCCAGCGGAACTTGTTGCACTGTCCACCATATTATGCTGATCTTTGCTGTACAGGCCCTGACTTGAAAGATCAGTAGACTTGGATTTGGGGCAAAGTGGTCTGGTGACCCTAATAGTCTTGGGTGTTCCATCTCCTGTAAAAGTGGTCTCCAGATGAGTCGTGTATCCCTCAGGGCCTCTTAGGATAAGAACCACAAATGTCTCTGAGGCAATACTACGTAGGATCTCCAGAGCATTTTCATAGCTGAAATCAACAAGTGGCCTATCGTTCACTGCCAAAATTATGTCACCAACCTGCACCAAGCCACTTTGCTCTGCTGCCCCACCTCGGATTATATCAGAGATAATAACAGGTGGTTTGTTCCTTCTCTGTTTAACAAGGAACCCCAAGCCACCCTCTTTGCGCTTATAGAGACGGACAGATATGACATTAGGTTGCAGTTGTTTTACACTAAATTCAAATTCCTCCATGGCAATGCTTTTTTAGTCTGTTGAAAAACAATATATTTTCAGGTGTCTAAGCTTTCTCAGTTTCCTTAGCTAAAAATAAAAAGTAGACTCTGAATTTATTTCTTGAAATTGAGGTTGGAGCACTAGTAGATTCCTTGGATGTTTAACGAGTTCTGCTTCAGGTTTAAAGATATTAAGAATCACACTTGGATTTCAAGTGAACTTACTCTGACTTCCTCTATTTCATCCCTCGTCCTATTTCCATGAAGCGTGATGTGCAACCAGGTTACGATTTCAAGACGAGAAGTTTAGCTTTTCTGGCGACACTAAATCTCAATCAAAATCAAATGTGTCTCTCAGAGTTCTGACAGGCTTCTAGTACATCTCTCTGTATCTGTTTCTTAATATTTCATCAGTTATCCAGCATCCTTGATGTCAGGTGCCCAATCTTCTGGATTTTAAAAAGCTGTTAAAAGAAAAACATATGTTGTTTTTAGTATCACTGTAGAGTTTTAATATGCTGTTTAGCAGTTCCATATCAATCTGATCATTTTGTTCAATCATTAGATTTTGAACATGGACTAAGCTGATGTTTTTTAACCTCTTCACCAATAATGTGTGCACCTGTGTGTTAGAGTAATACCGTCATCATGTATTCATGAATGGCACTCATGTAAATTAAATAATGAGTGCATTGCTAATAGATATTAGCATTCACTCTCACAAACCAATGGCACCAAAAGCAATAGTCATGGGTCGAGTCTCCAGCTGTAGACACACATAGATAAGTAATTTTATTCACATTTCTCTGTATGTTGTGCTTAAAGGTTTACTCCAAACACGATGGCCACTTCACTGTTTTGAAGTGGTTGCGGCACTTGGATTTTGTATGTGTGACATATATATTTGAAACAGTACACATACAGAGATGTAACTCCACCTCCGGTAGCATCATTAGTCACCCCTGAAACAAATGTTAAATCTGTGCACATTTGGCAACTGCAGCCAGTATGCACAGCATGCAAGCAATAGGTGACCAATGGAGGCAACGTTTCTTCCAAAGGACAATATACGAGTGTTGTGAAAGTCTTCTCTCACCACCAGAACTTCCAATTGGCAAACCATGAGATTAATCCACTCTGCATTGTGTATTAATATTAAATGTAATATCCTTTTGTCACCTTTTCCAAGAACTAATATATAACTTTATCCCCATGTTCAGATAAATCCATGTCTAGTACTACTAAGGTATTCTACCTGATATTACAATTAAACAGTCAGCACCACGATTCTGACTGGAGAGAATTTCACTTAGAATATGCTAGATATAACAGAAGAACAAAATAAAAAAGTTACAGTGTTACAGATTTACTACAAATTCATAACACTCAAACATTCCACCTATCTAATAATATCAGTTATATTATGTATGTGCTGCATGGGTGAGACATCCAAGCCTAGTCTAATGTGTTCTGAGTGTCTTCTATACTTAAACGAATTTGTTCCTAAATTGAAAATATCTGGTCTAATTGATATGCACATTTCATATTCTTTCCCAAGGCACGAAGTGTTGTCCCTCCTATCTCTTTATTTATATTCTGTCTCTTTATATATGTTCCCACCAGTAAGAGAACAATAGGATAACACATGGGAAAGGGGTAATATGAAAATATTTGGAACACTGTGTGCGGGAAAAATATAACATATAGGAAAATATGTATAGGGCGATGTTACATATATAAGAATATATAAAGTTAAAATGTGCTGGATATTAGCTTAGGGTTTATAGCATACGTCATGACAGGGAGAGGAATGTAACATATCTGTAGACAGAGTAAGGCGCAACCAGGCACACTGAGTTGGACACTTAATGAAATGTACTTTGTAAAGCTCCGCACCTTCAACCCTTGCTCAAGCAATATACAGGAAACTATATAAACAGCAAATTAGACATACATTAGGCAATTTAAATATAATAAAGCTGCTTCTAAAAGTTCAACCTGCAAGTTCTTCAATATGCACTTGGCTATTGTCTTTTAATATTTAAATATTAACAAAGTGTGATTTTCTTGTAGGAGATGTGGAATAATGTATTAGTTGAATAAGCATGTGTCTTGGAGAAATGACCTGATAAAGAGATGCATGCTGAGAACAAAATGACTGAGACATCTAGAATGATAAGGATGTGGCTGTAAAGAGCAGATCGATCTGATGGCTGGTGAGATAATATCTCGTTATTCTAAGGGCTTCTATCTGATTTGAACGGAAAAAAAACTGACAGAATAGAACACTTCCAGAATAAAAACTTAAGCAAACTTTCTCTGAATATGTGACAGAGTGAAAATGGAAGTTAGAGGAAAATCATCATGATTATAAAAAGCATTAGCTAGGTTAGACTGCAATCATTTTAAATCAAATCTGGATTGTAATGGGATTTTGGAAAGATATAGAACATATTGATTTGGGTCATTTTATTCTAAGTGACAAAGCATATCTACCACCCTGCCCCCTTTCCCCCGTAATGATGTTGCCAGCCGGGGTGGAGCCAGCGTGCTCAGGGACATAAAGTGTACTAAAAACTTTAGTTCCTTAAAATATTAGCAGTTTAGCATATATATATATATATATGCACACACATATATATGAATATAATTATTTACATGATGGAGCCTACATATTAATATATTCATTAAAGAACATAAAGTGCTCTCAAATATGTGCTTTTACTTATCTGCATTCAATCTGTCATGGAAATTAATGCTTTCAACCCCCCTTATTACTTTAAAGAGAACATGAATGTTTTTTATAGTGTCTCCTGTATATATGAACTTAATATCTATTTAGTGTGTATCCTGGCTCATCAATGTCTTGTTACAAAACCGCCAAAATGAGACACTTACTCGATAGGAAAATAACAGGCCTATTAAAAGTGATTCATAGTATATTTTATATAAAATATTTGTATAATGCAAATACACAACCTATAAATCTTTTATAGCCTTGGTTACATTATTGCCGCTGTCAATAATGAAAAACTATTTGGTAGTCATGAGGTGTGCTTGTATTACCAAGGAAGGTGACAGTGTTATAGTCACATATTCTGATAATGACTCTTCCACCTCCTCCCACCACTGTGCAGGAAGAGAGAAATAGGTCAAGGTTAGGCTGTAAATCCAATAAGGCATTTGAAGTGACTAAATTAAAGCTCATTTTTTATTTTATTTTTTAAATAATTTTTTTCTGTGTTTTATTTATAAATGCCGCATTATTATTCCAAGGCCAAAAACAGTGAAGAAATTGTTGCAAAGTCAACGAACTATAGACAGCTACTTAGTAAGAAGTTACTGAATTAACATCAGTGGGACTGCGCAAGCAACGAATGCTTTAAGCAGTGCATTTGTTTTTATTCATATTCATTAGGTGTGTTAGAACCACTAACTCAATGACCAGTTATAAAGGACATTCCTGATAACATTAGATGTATGAAGCAGTGACTATATGTTACGTCTACAATTTGTTTATTTTTCTAATGTTGTGAGTTTTATTCAGAATTGCCTGCTAGTGTTAATTTCTGTAAATGTGTACATTTTTTTATTTTAATGGTACCAACAAATTCCATTTAATTAAATTAAATACATCTATTAAGAAAAGGTTTAACAATACTTAATTTGACCGACAGAAAATAAAGCAATTCAGGAGGTTTTGAGAGTTCTGCCCTTCGTGATCGTTATTGCAAATATTTGCAGTGGCTGGAAACGTTTAAACATAAACTTTCCAAGGTTTCGAAATGTCCAGAGGAAGATAAATACCAGTTAGCACAAAATATAAATGGCAAAAGATCAGATGTAAAGGGAAATACTGTATACAGTGCAATGCCTCTGAAACGGTCTATAGAAATGGTATAGTGTATACCAAGTGTGGATATACCTGGCATCTTGGATGCTTCTAAACTGTTTTTATCATGAATAAAAGCTTATAGGCTGGCTAGACTTTATGGAAAATATTGTTTAGAAATGGATGGATTGCCAAGGTTAGGCACTGCTCTATACACAGGACGGCAGAGTAACTCCATGGAATTAAGCAGATCCACTTTAGAACTAAAACGAAATCTGAATGAAGTTACCCCCTGGGAAAGTCATTTCTTATGACACAAATACCTTGGAGCTGTCACTAGACAAGAATAACATGGGAAATGATTCCATGCAAATGCACGGAGAGGAAATTGCTTGTAGAAACCACTGAATATATTATAGAATTAATAAACATCAAAAATAGTCTCACTTGTCATAATAAAAGCTGCATCATCACAATCATTAGTGCATCAATTTCAAGCTAGAACTAGGTTTAAAGAAAGCATGATATTATGTACACCTACAAACCTACAGTTTAACTATGTGCTGGGCAAATTAAGCAGGAAAATCCTACAGCATTTGTTATTTGTAATGTTAAAAGGATAGTGTGTGCTATTCTACTATCCGCATCGGGAATGTCCAGTCCCATGCTGGCATACATTTCTCATTTTTGTTTTCCGCCAGCTCCATATATATAGTCCAATTTATATCACATTTTGTCATAAAAGTAAATTAAATGTTCCTTGAAATGGGAAAATACATAAAGTTCAATGAGGTGACAACATCATTAGTCTTGCCCCATTTTACTATTTGCTAAAGTCACATCGGTTGTGTTTCTCCAATTTTATTTTATTCCACATAGTCAAGATTAATCGCTAAATTATGACTCTCCTAGAATCCATAGCAAAATTCAAAGTGAATTTCAAGATTTTAGGCCAAAATAGAAAACTAACAGAGATTTTTTTCCGGTTTGGCTATTTTGGACTTGGCATTGACTTTGAATTGACTTTGAAGTCCTGACACGTCACACTTTGATGAATAATCCTGTATCTGGCAATTAAGCGCAAACTGTTGAAGTCATAATGCATAGACGCAGCTGAATTATTTCACTTCATGTTTCGTTGGTTGTTTTTAGCCGATGATAGAAAGTGTTGTAATCAACTTTACCTGGTTTATTCACTATATTGAGAATTGTCAGATATCACATTATTTTCAAGAAAACACACAGTTTTACATAATGTAGCAATAACAGTATTCTGGAATAATAGTCTGTAATACCGTTATTTAAATAACAGGGTATAGATGGCACTGTTCAGTCTAGGGCTCAAATTGACATCATCAATCTTGTTCATATAAGACATTAACATGAATACAACGTCTATGGCTTATTGGCTAAGCCTTTCTGCATTTCATAATAACACCATGGTTGGTAAAATATGGGATTATTTATTTTCATATACTGGCTTCATTAGAATTGTTGTTGGACAGCAAATCATAATTAATCTTTCCAGCTTGAAACGGCAACGGTAACAAATAATTGATTGGGAATAACTTCACGGTGGTAGTATGTTTATCCCTTATAAACATTATGTTTTACTGTGCTATCTCTCTTTAATTTTGCCTGTTTCTTATAGGTCTAATGCCTTACTCTTATTCTCATTCTCTTCAGGAATTGCTTGGGGTAATTTGATTGGTACCGAACAAAACTTAAATATAGTTTGAATTGACGTTCTCGTAATACATATATTAGACTATTGTTCAATCTAAAGAGGAGAATTTATTGAGTTAAAAGGATGAGCTGAGCTTGCTTGCAAACAAAGATTCATGATATGTTAACAAACCACTGGCTATTCAGAGGAATTCAAACTTGTTTTGTTTTAATATTTAAATCTGATGGTTACTCTTTTTTTGTATTTCACTGGTTTCGTCTAGTTCATATAAGGGCTTTTATATTCGAATAACTTTTCAATGAAATCCATCCTTTAATATAGCCAATGTAAAACGTATAACATGCTCAAAAACTGTTATTATTCTATAAAATAGGACGGCTATTCTAGAGTCACGCAGTGGTGCCAATTTCCTAAAGTGCTGCTTATAGGCCAGTCATTTAGAATGATTTGTCTGTTTTTCTAGATCTTGTAGGTCTTAATAGCAACAGAGACTCTTTTATAATACCTGAGCTTGTTTTAAGCTGTTCTCTCGATATTTATTTCAATAGTTACACAAGTTGAACATCGATAATATCAATTACTGGTACAATCTTTGTCTCTGTTTAAGGCTGGGCAATGTCTCGTTCTAGTTCATTGTTCTGTTTGTTTGTTTTTTTACATCAATTGAATGTTTATTTTGTTTGAGGTTCTCTCGTTTCATTATGCATTCTACTAAGCATCATGCCTTTGATTACACATTCTTTTTAGATCAATCCAATCAACACGTGAAAATATTGGACAAAGGGTAGAACTGTTTTGGTATTTTATATTGCAAAGGCGTAGATTTAAATCACACCCCTTGACCAAATGCATATTGTATGGACCCAGTGGAGAAGGAAAAAAGGTACATATTTTTATTTATTTAAAGGACCACTCTTGGCACCCAGACCACTTCAGCTTAATGAAGTGGTCTGGGTGCCAGGTCCAGCTAGAATTAACCCTTTTTTAAATAAACATAGCAGTTTCAGAGAAACTTCTATGTTTATGTTAGGGTTAATCCAGCCTCCAAATCCTCTAGTGGCTGTCTCATTGACAACCACTAGAGGCGCTTGCGTGATTCTCACTGTGAAAATCACAGTGAGAGCACGCAAGCGTCCATAGGAAAGCATTATGAATGCTTTCCCATGAGACCGGCTGAATGGCCGCGCAGCTCTTGCCGCGCGTGCGCATTCAGCCGAAAGGGAGGAGAAGATGAGGATAAGAGGCAGAGGGCTCCCTGCCCGGCGCTGGAAAAAGGGTAAGTTTTAACCCCTTCCTCTCCCCAGAGCCGGGTGGGAGGGGGACCCTGAGGGTGGGGGATCCCTCAGGGCACTATAATGCCAGGAAAACGAGTATGTTTTCCTGGCACTATAGTGGTCCTTTAAGGCACATAGGGGGATGATCTTTATTGCACGATTCTACCAACCCTGGAAATCAATGATAGGTGGAGACCACTGGTGGTGCTATAGCCAGGTGGTCTCATGCTTCCATTGCAGTATTGGTTGGACGGAAATGGACTTCAATCGATGTGGAAATGCTTTCACCATTATTAGGGCAGCTGAAAAGCAGGTGTGATTTTTGTCAAATAGATTCAATACAAATTGACAAAATATAAATAGGTTGGTGCTTACAGACTAATAGCACCCTCACCACTACAATGAGCTGTCGTTGTTATAATCCTCAGAGTGACCTTTAAAGGGGACCTGGTACTGCTCCAAAATGTACACCATTAAATCAATCATAGAAAATCACTTATAATGTGCAATAACCATTTTTTCATGAAATGCTCTGCTTTCTTTTACATTTATATGAAAGATTTTGCAAATGACATCATAATCCAGCTCAGGCAAGGCAAATCCGGGTCAAACGTTGTAAATGAAAAAGACAAATATAAGGAATGTTTTATTTTTCCTCTACTCTTTATGTTTTCTTAATGCTGACTGCTGGAACATATAATAATGATTGACAGGGAGCTAAGATAGTGGCACCCAAATATAGGATGAATAGGATATAGGATTCCGTTTTATTTCATTTTATTTTTCATAGCTCGCATATTTGTTAAATATAGGGACAAGTAAACATTAGTTTTAAAAATCCTTGAAAATGACAGCTCCTCTTTAAGGTTACCTGAATGCAAGAGAAACCTAAACTATAGTGTATTAACTTTTTTTGCATTTAAAAGAAAAACTATTATTCATATAAATAACCTGCTTCTGTTTTGTGACAAAATTACCTTTTTTTCTCTAATTTGTTGTGTATAAAATATACATTAACGTTTTAACACTGGTGATATATTACTGAGAATCTAATCATTTTAGGATTTTTGCTAAATGTATGATAGCACAAAGTAGTACTGTTTAACTCAGCTGTAGGCAACCTTCAGCACTCCAGATGTTGTGGACTACATCTCACATAATGTTCTTGCGGCTTTAGTGCTGGCAAAGCATCTAGGGAGGTGTAGTTCAAGACGTCTGGAGTGCTGAGATTAACTAATAGAAACATCAAAAAGACATTTAAGTTGGAATTTGGAAATGAAGAAAAAAAAAAAAAAAAACATTCCACATTGAAGAGTTTACAATTTGGCTACTCTATTTCAAGCTTTCTGTGACTCCTCCATTGGATTAAATACATTAATACAAAACTAATGTAAAAAAAGATGATTCCGGGGGCGGAGCCTGGCTGTGGAGCTGATCAGACGTGGATAGCACGAGCTCCCGTCTGAAACTACAACTAATGCCAAATAACCTGGCTAACAAGCTACAAACTCCGATAAAATTGCACCACCCATGTAGAGGATGCAAAGGAGATTACAATGAAACCGCAAGTACGACTCTAGGACACCGGGAACTCGAGATATATCGCTGGGGCCTACTGCGACGCTTAGACCTGCAACCTGGGTAGAGACAAAGGCGAGGGTGAGGCGGCCGATCACCCAGCACGAGACTCCCTAGAAACGGACCCTAAAGCTGCAGAGGACCACCCACGAGCCTCCCTCTCCCCCCCCCTTGCCGGTGAGGGATATCCCGGCACCAACAGCATACCGAGTGTCTGCCCCAAAGACTACCCGACCCAAGGACCACCGACTCCAATATGGCGGATGCCACGTGCCTATCGGCAGTTACGGGGGCCAGCGGAGATCCAGCGACTCACTCTCTGTCCAAACTAAACTGGGCTAAGATAACAGAGAGACAGCTGCACACTGCTTCAACTATGCTGACCACTCTTGCAAATATACCCCCAGAGACCTCCAGCCCTACGAGTGGACGCAGAACGGTCACTACCGGAGGCTCCGCTAAGAGGCGCAGACGGCGGCACCGGCAGAACAAGCGGCAACGAAGAGCCAGATCTCAACCCCACACTCACCTCCGCTTCAAGCGACCACGACTCCGGACGGTTGCCGAAGCGACCTGCCCAACAGGGAAGCGCCAACCCCCCCAACATGCAAACCTCTATCACCAAGGGTCGGAAGCATGGCTTCTACACGCACGTATGTCCTTGACACCACAGGGGATGGCGACTCCCAGGGGCTACAGGGCGAGCCCAGAGGGGATCGGATGAAGGTGACCGGGACAATTGTCAGGCATATCGCTGGACTTCCCGACTATACCCCCTGACGCACAAACTGCTTTCTGATTGCTGACTTAACTTAAAGTAACGACCATTAATCTGTTATACCCATACCTTTTGCTGAGGGATCGACAAGTAATATTTTAAGTACTAGCTAACACAATCTAATGGGGCATCCTAAGCATAGTTAAAACTCACTTGATGGCTGTTGGTTTACCTGCATGAGAACACACTAGCAACTATGAATCTTTATACACCTTCTCACACATAGACGTAAAAGTAAGTTTGCAATATACATGCTTGTCCTAGTATAATCTGTGTGAAAATATGCTCCAACATGATAATCTTCAACATATATATAACTACATAAAATTGTGCATTGTTAGCATATACCCCTGTTATGAATGTTTTGAAATAAGCACGTGGAATGCCGTCGGGGTACCACCTGCATGCTTGTTATACATATATGCACTGCAAAAAAAAAAAAAAAAAAAAAGATGATTCCAACATGAAATTGCCTTACATCTCGTTTCAACATCTACTTTTAGATATATAGTTGCAATGGTTTACTTGGATCTCTGCACTGCTGCTATCTACTTGGCGGCGAGAAGTGATTCATATGGAGCCAACTAAGTGAGTCCTGTTAAGGGTTAATTAGTTGATAGAGATTCACGGGAATACCTGTTCCTATTTCATTAGAGTTATATTCTTTCAGATAGAAGCATTTGTGTTGGAATCACCTAAGAGGTTTGCCTTAATGTTGGCAGATGAGTTTACACTCTAATGACTATTGCAGTGTTAATAAAACCCTCTGTTATTTAAATGTGCATAGGGATTTGGTATATGATGCGGGTAACTTGTATTGGTTTTGTTTTATATCATTGAATACTATAGCCCTTGCTGCTGCCGAATATTAGTGAGGGTTTGAACAGAGGGCTTATTTCTGTATGTTTCAATGGTAGTGCCTTAGAAATAAAGTAAAACAAATGAACTTCCACCAGCATCCTGGATGTTCAAATATGTATTTTACTATCCACGGTGGGCATAGTTCATTACAAATTGACTAACTGTCACTCTGAATATTTTTCTGGCATTTCCAAATGCGAAGTTAACAGTACTGGGTGGCTTAAATACACTTGTATCCACTTAAGATAAAGCAGACTCGGCTCAGATCAGCTGTAGAGTGATTTTCACACGGCCAATAGTAAAGTCACATAAGTGTTTACAACCAAATAGTGTTGCATTTAAACAGAGCAGTTTTGTAGCTTTCCAGTCAATTAGCTTAACATCCACATGTTAGGTAATAGTCCCAGACTTTCAGCGCACTTAGAGGACAGAAGTATTTTTAATTACATTTACATTTTGTAATAACATGAGAAGTGATACAAACAGATTTAAATCAAAGTTGGAAGTCGGAGTACTGTTCAGTAATGACAGAAAAAACTACTTAATTGAAAGTTGTAGATACCTGCAACAGCCTTCCAGTGGATGTAATTTAGACAATCTCAGTAAATGAGTGTAAGCCTGTTTGGCGTGTACATAAGGTACACTAGAACAAGATTAAATGAGCTAATTTGCTCAGAATCAGTGTCTGTGTTTTACTCTGGGAGTGTAGAATAATATATGATGGCCATAATTTAACTCTTAGGTGTAAAAAGAAATTCCTGTAGGACGTTATTCATCATACCAAATTATTTATTTTAAAGTTCATTTTGAGGCTATGAAGCTGTCAAAAGGTTAACATCAAACATTTTTTTTTTTATATTTTAGTCTGCTTGTGAATGTTTTCTATTTATATGGGAAGAAAACTGAGCATTTTGTGAATTTATATTTGCAACAAAGCAGATGTTATTTTTAATCTGCCTACTTGTTTTTTTCATCAAAGTGTCTTTTCTGTTTCCTAAGGGTTTATTTTTGAACCCTTTAAACATTTGTCTTTTTGCAATAAGAAGACTAGATTTTTGAATTGTATACAAATGCACCAGTTTTGTATGCGAACAGAGGAGATATTTAATGTACTGCTTTCCCATGATTGGGATAATTGAGAAGGAGCATCCATATTTCAGTCCCAAAATAAAATGCTCTCTTTCATGTATGATTTAGTAAATTCACACAAATATCTTTGATTTATGTGAATGCATATATGGCAAACTCAACAAAGCACATTAATATTTTTATCTTACACGTAAACCAAATCATTGTATTTAGAACACTGGTACTACTTTTTAAATGTGTTATCACATATTTTACACAATATGTGGGTGTGTTTTTTTTTGTCCTATTTGTGTGTTTAAATTTTCATCTCTAATTTTAACAAGGCTGAAATGATTAATGTATTTTGAAGATATAGACATTTTTATTAAAAAAAATTTATTGTCTGAAAAGAAACTTTATTGAAATGAAAAGTGAGTTACTAAATACAGGACAAAATAGCCAAGATGTTAAGCTAACCTGGGGATTTTTTCCAAATTAGCTATTTTTGCCTCATTTTAGTTTTCATTTGACCACAATCTGTTGCATCATGAGACGAATCATGAACATCCAACAAATTAAAAGAATATACAAGCAAAACACGTATTTTCTACCTTGAGAATTCAATACAAATTTAAAGTGAATTTCAAAATTGAATCTAAAGAAGCTGACCTGGAAACATAGCCAACTTAGGAGAAAATTCACAGTTTGGCTAGTTTGGCCTTAAAAATTAAAATTCATTTTGAATTCACATTGAATTTTCTATTTAGTGAATAACCCTGTATGTTTGAACTGCATGTACAGTGACTGCATAGCCTGTACTGTACTATCTTTTTATTAGGTGTCTGAATTGTGCACAGTAGAAGATCTTTTAAAATCATTGGACTGGAAATATGGGTCTCTCCAAGCAGACAACCAGGGGCAGACTGACAAACTGGGAAGATCGGTCATGGACAGAGTGCCAGAGGCAGTCAGGGGCCCGGCTGCACAGCCATGCTCTAGCTGAGATTGAACATCATAGATCTTTCCAGCCAAAGTCCCCCCCTCTGCCTTCCATCCACCCCACCTTCTGAGTGAAACCGGGCAGTGATCTTGCTCTTCTTCATCCATGCCATGGCTGTGTGGAGCTCCATATGAGGGGAAGATGCAGTGCCCATGGGATGGGAAGTGACATCACTTCCTGCCCTCTCCTCTCCTGCAGAATCTGCTGAAGCTAAGGAGCAGCGGCCTGGCAAAGACAACAGGTATGTAAATATTTTCTTCAGCCATTATACCCCCTTCACTCACGCATGCCTTATGCCTTTCTCTATCCACTATAGCCCCTAAGCCCCCAGCACCCACCACAACCTTTATGCCTTCCGTCACCCACTACAGCTCCCCTACTTTTTTGCACTTACTACAGTCCCCATTCTTCCCTACACCCTACTCAGTCTCTATATCTCTTTGTACCACCCTGTACACACATAATCCCCTATGCCTTCCTGCACCCACTACTGCCCCCATTCCTCTCATCCCTATCCCTCCCTGTACCCACCACAGCCTTTATGCCTTCCTGCACATACCACAGCTTCTATCTCTCCCTGAACCTACCTCACCTAGTACAGCCCTTGTGCCTTTCTGCTCCCACTACAGCCCTTATGCCTTTCTGAACCCAACACAGCCCTTATGCCTTTCTGCACCCAACACAGCCCCTATGTCTTTCTGTACCCAACAAAGCCCACTTCCTAACCCTTCCCTGTAACCACTACAGCCCCTTTACCTTTCAGCACCCACTACAGTCCATATCCCTCCCTACACCCACTACAGCCCCTATCCCTCACTGGACCCACTACAGTACCTACACCGATGAGCACCTGATACCACCCCTATCACTCCTGCACCCACTACAGCCACTATCCCCCATGCACACACACTACAGTCCCTATGTCCCTTTGTACCTACTACAGTATCTATGCTTGACTGCACCTACTACAGTCCCTATGCCCCCTGTACCTACTACAGTATCTATGCTTGACTGCACCTACTACAGCCCATACCCCCACACTGCAGCCTCTATCCACATACACACACACTGCAGCCTCTATAGCCACCACACACAGTAGAGCCTCTAGTATCCATACAAATACACACTATAGCTTCAGTATCTCCCATATGCCTACTACAGTCTCTATCCCACACACAACATCCCATATCTACACATACTCTGCAACATAACCAGCTTTCTCAACTCAAATACTGCACTGCAAACATGCCCATTCACACAATCAAACCCACTAGGAGCCCCACTGTATGCACAGAATGCCACAGCAGTACAATAGGTAAAACAGGACAAATTATTAATTCTAACCCAACACATTAACATACAGGAACACATCACAAGCAGCATCTCATATATGCACGACCCACAAGAAGCCTACAAACACATGAGTTTGGAAGGTACTTGTATGGAATAGTGTGGTTGCTCATGCGGTGGATGCTGCTTGGGATGTCACAAACACAGAGAAAGTGTGGGTTTTAATTTAATTTCTTTAATGTGGGGGGCCAGTGAGGCACGCCAATAATGGTTACTCCACTCCAAAACAGTGTGTAATTAAAACCCTGTTTTTGGTTGGATTAACCCCTTAATCATAATTCTTTCCCTGTTTGGAGGCCCCTGCTGGTGTGGGAGACATGATTGTTGCTCTCGCTCAGCCATTATGGGTGCTGGGCAGCACAGACATAATATATGTGTAAGAGCTGCACAAAGACCTTGCACCAAGAGCGGGACCCGTGATCTCCTATTGCTTGAGGGTCCTGTGAGTTTTCAGATGACTCGTCATTGCTGATCAGTTTTGATTTGTTGAAATCACATTTTAAACAACTGGTATGTTTGAAACTGCTCATTTGGTCCTTATGTTATACCTCAGCTTGACTGTCTCTAGATTACAAAACATAATAAGCAAGTATCTCACCCCCATTTGGCATGGTACTATTTTATATCATTGCCAATGTACAACATATAGTGTCAGCTGATCCCTGACAGTCACTATAAATAGAAATAAGCCATTCTATATTCTCTATAGATTTATTTTATTCTATATATATTCTATTGTGGTTATGATAACAAAGCATATCAAATTATTAAGAAGGTATGATAAATTCCACATTTCAACTCTATAGTGACAAAGTGATGACATATTGGACCAAATTTAATTCTACCTCTCTCAACCTGCAAACCCAATATTATTCACCGAGTATGAATTATACCATTATGTTTAATACACATTTTAATTTTATCACTGCATCTTTTAATGTTGTCTTCTCCTATATTTATGAAATATCTGAATATATGTTATTGTATCTTCCTTTTAATTGACAAGTAAAACCAGCCTTTGTCCACTGTGTATTGACACCATTCCAGGACTCACATATTGCCATCTGGGATAACTCATGGATAGTATAGACTAATCAATTTACCTATAATCATCATTTTACGAGACATGTGGATGAGGTAGCATTAATTTTCTTCTTGATGTAATATGTTATTTTTGGATCACTGGACAACATCAGGGTTGTGGACGGAGAGAGAGTTGCACAATCAGATGAGGCAGAGAATAGCCAAACACAAGACCATCCAAATAGATCGACCCTAGAATATGAATAATGTGCTATAGGCTGAAAAATAATGTTAGTGGAAAATGTATTTTTTGAATTGTCTAAACCATCAAGAAAACTAATTCAAAGTGATGTTATTAGGTTTTACCTATTTAACAAGGGATGGTTGAAATGATGTGCTCAATATGTACATACAGGTAAAACTGCAGCTCATGGGCTCACTAGGCTACCCTTATTTTAGCATATCAGAGTTTACACCAAAGGAATTAAAGAACTTAAAAAATAGGCATACAGGGTTAGGGGCTAACAGAACCTTAAACCATCTCTTAGAGAAACAACTGAAGAGCAGTTCACATTCTACCCCCTTTCTCAGAAATAAGAGGCATTATCTGCTAAGCATACCGTAAATACAAAAAGTTGTATTCATGGAAACAAAAATAAAGTAAAAACAAAAAGTTATAGCTCTGCAAACTTTTACCAAAATAAGGGATGTCATCCAGACATTGGCAAAATGATAATTTGATGCTACTTGAAAGGGATATGAAGCCAATTTAATTACCAATATCCCTAAAATCATTCACAAATTGCATTTTCCCAACAAAAACAGCAAAGCATAATTGTCATTTCTACTCCAAACCCCCCAAAAATAGATGTTATAATTTCCCTGTTGAATAAGTTTGTACGTTCTATGTTCTACAACATCTGTGATTAACTATTAACAAAGGTTCAATCCTTCTTCCTATCAAATTCCTACATGGGAAATGTTCTTCGGAGTTGTGGCTTTCTTTACTATCATTTTTTATTTTCAAAAATACTGCTGCTGCTTTTTGTTCATTCTAGCTTTTGTTAGAAATTATTTGTAAAGAATGGAATCAAGGACAGCACTTTGATGTGTTTGACTTATAACCTATCTTGTCTCCAAATGAAGCATGATTCATTCATATCAACGCTACACTATTTTTTACAATTTCTTTTTCACTTCACTATATTTAGTTTTGTAGATCGTATGTGCTCTGATTTTCGTATCCAAATACCAAGACTTTCTCCTAAACTCATTTCTTTTTTTTTTCTTTTTAATTTATATAATAACATACCATGTGGTAGACTATGAAAACTGTTTGCATAAGACAAGTAGGTGTAATCACACTGGTCTATATTGTCATCTACAGTTTGTTGAAAAGCAAAAACAGATTAGCTTGACATGACCTATTACTCATAAATCTCTCTGACTCCTACAATATGTTGTTGTAAAGAAATGTAACTCAGTGGTTTTATTCCCATGGTGCTTAACTCCATTAAAACTTGTAACAATCAATTTCATACAATTTGGTCCTTACAAACATGAGTGCAGGATCATTTAAGTCACCATCAGCATAAGTAGAACACCCCATGTTTATCAAAGGATAAAAACACGTGTGATTCAGAAGCTACCACCATGGAAACCAATACCATGGTATTTGTCATTAGAACTTTGCACCACAAATGTCTACCTCCTGAAGAAATCTACTTTCACCTTTCCTTAGGGTAGTGCTGCAAAGTAACAGTATTCTGTGGAACACATTTTTATGGCAAATAATGCATCAAGCAGCTTTAATTTCTAGCGCTCATAATTCGTTTGATTTAAAAAAAAAAACACACACACAAAACTATTTAATCTTAAAGAATTAAGATAATTTCATATAGTTTCGTTTTATTAGGTTAGAGACACAGAAATATATTACTAAACCTGGCCTGCAGCCATTCTGTTTCTGTTCAATTACATTGACTTGATAACTATGATTAACTTTACATCATGTCATCCAGTTATTCAAATGAAATGTCTCACTTGAAATATCCATCTACACTATGTACACTCTTTATAAAAGAGTTAAAACTGAGCGGAGTTACCGTACGTTAACCCCTTAAGGACACGGCTTCAGAAGCAAAAAGCCAGCATGATAGAACATTTTCACTGTGTGCCCTTAAGGGGTTAAAGTAAGTAAGCTTTGTGTTTCCAGCTGATGTTGAAGTAGAATACACTGCAATATTTTAATTGCATTCCACCAAAGAAAATGTGGTACAGAGTTCCAGGCATTGTCGGTGACAATCCTTGAATGCACATGCTAGTTTTCTGGGATGCGTGATTATCAAAGCAGAACATTTGAAGACCATATTTCTTAATCAGGAGTTTGACATAATATCAATCACAAAACAAGAATCCCTCGTATAAAAATACCTCAGCTGGTTTATGTACCAACTATAGATGATATGAGATATAATATGACATAAGATATGATCAATTTAGCTTTTATATTATTGAGGTTAATAAAAATGAGTTATATGTATTAAGTATCTTAATTATATGTAGTAAGGTACATCTGCCCTTTATAAGGATCCTAAAGGAAATCCGAGACAGTGTGAATACTCAGTATCATTACATTTTAATTTGCAAGAAACCTAGTGTCTGGTTTAAAACCTCTGCATGTTAATTACACCATATGCAATTAGTTCTTACACCAAGTGCCTTAAAAGAGAAGTATTTGGAATTGCAACATATACACACATAATTTATTTCACCTGTTTGGTGTTGAATTTGGCATGGAAAGAGTTATATGCGTTGGGATGAATCCATAAAACTGATGCAGTAACACTGATTTTTTTTCCTTAAGTGGGAACATAGTATACCATGTAGCGCTAACATGTTTTCACACCTTGACATGTATAGTTTAGAAAGTGAGATCTCTCTGTGTATGTACATACTTATATATGTTACGTGATCTTTCCATTTTTTAGTAGGCTTTAGAAACCCTTAGTGCACCTTATCCGTGCAATTAATACCTGTAATCAGTGGGGCAATTAACAGATAACCTTGATGCAGTTTAGGGGCCTTATCTAATCTAAACCAGGACATGCATGAGATTAGCGGGAGTTACATTCTTGAACAGAACCTACTGCCATTTTACTGATAGCCCCTAAGAGAGCTGCTGACCACAACGGTAACTCCCTCTAATCTCAGACAGCACCGGGACCCTTACATTATTCTAACACTACACAACACTACCCCCTACAATACACTGTCACTAGTAACACTAAACATTAACCCCTGCAGTACCCTACAACTAACCAGTAACCTCTACACTACTTTAACACACACTAATATTACCCTAACCTGAAAATATCATGTAATACAAAAAATACATCATTGGATGTATTATAAGGAATACCATCCCATAGTATGATGTCTCCTGAACATACACACACACACACACACACATACATACACACACATACACAAACATCCACAAACATACATACATATACACACATACATACATAGTGGTTTTGTTAAAAGTAACTTAATTCTCTATTTCATTAACTAATTTAATTAACACTATACTCCATGTACAGTAGTCTAATATAATTAAATTCATTTTCATGTAACTGTGGGTGATATAACACAAGAGCATAATAATTCTGAAATCCCCTAGCAATTTACCACTAGTTTACATGGAACCGATGACTCATGTTGCTAATTTTATACTTAGTAACAAGGAAGACAACATTATGTGCCACAAAAACATATTTTATTGGTAACTATGCAAACTAGCTGTTTTTAGTTGAATGTACATGCACATGCTACAGTGTCTTCCCCTACTGCTACCATTAAACCTGAACCCCCAGTTCCATTGTGTTAAAAAAAAATTGGAAAACTATTCCTGATGTATTCATATTTTTGTGTACAATGTGTATTTGCTGGTGACGCTGAGTTGATCAGTAAAGAGAAAAATGTACTCATCTAAAAGGGAAATGTTCAGAGGAAACCAAGAATGACTACATAATGTGTCAAAACATTGCAAACTAGCATTTTATAGTTACAGAGAGTCTCAAAAGAAAAGAAACAGATCTCTAATAACTAAAAGGAGCTACAGGAATCTTTTGAATATGTTGAAACTCATATGAATGTGAATCCCTATAGGTCTGTCTACAAATGTTTATTGGATGGAGAATTGGAGTAAATGAGGGCAACAGCTAGTTGTGCTTTTAACAAGCATTGAAACCCTCTAAAATGAATATGGCTATTATTTCCAAAATGTGTTATATGGATTAAATCTGGATTTGCTATGTAATTGCATGTAGTTCTAAAACACAAGGGAATTCATTTATTGTGTATTAAACCAACATGTTTGACTTGTTTAGTAAAAAGTTCAAACATTTTGCTATCCCGGCCAATTTTGATGGGTGGTTTCTTCATGATTAGCTGTTTAGAAAAGATCTTGAAAAGCTTCCATCGCTACCATATGCTCTTGATTTTCTTAAATATGGACTTCTTCTGGTTTGAAAAGTGAAGTAAACCCTTATAAAAAGGGTAAATGATGTCTAATGATATCGTCTTGTCTTGGTTTTATTACTAGAAAGCATGCAAGCATATACACACACGTGAATGTCTACACATATACATACATACACACATGCATACATACATTCTGCTTCTTCAGAGGTATAGGGAAATTATTTAATCCATAAAACTAATTAAATAAATATTCAAGTACAGGGGGTAGAGCAATATTATGAACTTTGTTGGTTTTGCTGTTTGGAGAGCTCAAGCGATACACTCATACCATAGATACATAGACATCCCTCCGATGCAATGTGGGGAATACATTTCAATTAGACTTTTTGGGGGGGATGGTTTAGACATGTTAGTCTACCCAAAATAAAAATTTCCATTGTTCTCATATAAGAAAAGATTAATTGCTTCACTGTGACAAAGCAGGTAAGAAGCAACCATCTGGCCAAAATTCCCATAAAAATTTGAAAGTAAGCATTATCTAAGTGAGTAACAGTTGGGAATTCCTACAAATTATTTCACAATTGCTAAACCATTTACCAACTATTCAAATCGCATTCCCATGGGATTACTGATGTGTCTACGTGACGCTTCATTATAAAAACATTGTGAAAATCTTCATGGAACTTTTGGGGGAAGTTACCGACTCTACTCATATTCTTTAGTTCTCTGTCATTTTATATATAGATAGTTTACAGAGTCCCTTGAGCCACGCTTGGGTAACAAAATAAATACAGCTGTTTGTTAAATACAATTAATAATCAACAAGGGTAATAACACAATAAAAATTTGAAGTGAGGTCTTTAAGAACCTGATATATGCAAAACTAGTCTACATTATTAATAAATATTCCTCTATGATGTAGAAAGTCTAATATGATGCAGAGGGTTCTTGTCAATCAAGTTCCGTATTTCATAATATTTCTTGAGTTCACTTAAGTATTTGCTCATAACAGGCACATGTAGGGGAAAATCATATGAAATGAAATAAAATCAGACTGAAATCTTACTGAATGATAAAAAAACAAGATTTGTAATTAAATGAAACTTCAATAATATTAACCAAGAAAAACACTGACATTGTAATATACACTTATTTAATCATCCCAAAACTTTATGATGAAATAGGAAACTACAATATTGAGAATTAGTGTGTTTAGAAAACAATAATGGCTATAATAGTTTTATCTTTAACCCCTTAAGGACCAAACTTCTGGAATAAAAGGGCATCGTGACATGTCACACATGTCTTGTGTCCTTCAGGGGTTAAAGGTCCCTTTTTTCAAAAATAACATTTTAAATAAAAAGAAAGCATAAAAATTGTTTAAGCTGTATATCAAAACAGGAGCGTTGTAGAGATTACCAGTCACAGTATTCTGAGACTAAGCTCTGTATTATCCACACATGGAGAGGGATTATCTCAACCAATGACTCAATTCTACTGTTTGTGTTTGTTCGTTAGATTGCAGTGAATGTACATTTGGATGGAAATCTGCAGTAATAGTTGCATATATAAACCTCGACTCCCATCATGTCCAGTCCTATTGCAATGTAGAAATAATTGACCAGTTTGGATACTTACTTACTTGGTAATAGAGCTTATCTTGGGCTTTGTTTATTGTGAGTATTTATCTAGCTACAGTTGTGTTTTATGGATTATACTGTTTTAGTGTTGGATGTTTTTCCTGATTAAAGTGACCTGTGAAATTATTATTCTAACTGCTACTATATTTCTGTTCAAATGAACCCGACTTCTTTTATTTTGTAGTCCTGCTATCATATTGAATTACAGTCTTCACTTAATAGCAAAAGAGATGCACATATTCCCATGTTTTAAACAGGCACACAGTCATTCTGTTGTCATAAACAGCAGGGACAATGGGAACCCTGCTGTGATCTATTCCAGTACACTCTATAATATGACCCTCACTATTTCACAAAAATCATTCCCATTCTTCCATGCTGCTGCCTAATGCAGAGTGTTATTCGGATGGGAACTGAGCCAAAAAGAATCAATAAACAGAATATATCTAATCATTCTACAATTAAAGCATTACTGAATTTATTCACTAAACACCTAATAGCAGTAAATGAAAAATTGCTTTCCAAAATGTATGCTAAAAGTGCATAATTTGTAAAAATAAAATAATAATAAAAAAATCTCAAATTCAAATATATTTTACAGATTGATTCTTTTTTGCCTAAAATGTGCTAATCATTTTCAATTCACTGCAATGTTTAATAAATAGACTCCTTTATAATCTGTTTGCTGTATTGCAGATGACATTGCTTTCCAATTTCATTTCTGATTGTGTGCATTAAGCTACTACCAAGTTTACTGTAAGTGCCTAAGGCATTCTTACAAGAGTACATACCTGTGGTTTAATGAAGGACCCCACCTTGTATATATTAGTAGAATTCTTAAAAACAGGTGAATAATCTGATGCTGAATAAAACCAAGGTCTAGGTGTCTTACAAAAATCCTTAGTTACAGAATGCTTCTCCTACCTACGCAATGCTAAGACATGCAGAAAAACTCTCAATGCATGTATTACCTCCATAGCAGTTCTATTATTGCACAGAAACCATAGCGACAGATAGGTACAACAAGCAATCTGGAAATGAGTTACATACCCCTGTCCTTGTTCCTCCAGAAGGCAGTTTGGACACACTTTATGTGAGGGCTGTATTCAGTTCCAGGAAGCTTTCCTTTCAGCACCTTGGAGAGCGCTGGGGAGCTGCATGCCTACAGAGAGAGCTTAGAGCTCAGTGATGGAACACTGGAACAGAGGACTCAGAACTTGCATGATCCAAGGAGACCTCTCCCCTCTTCCTCTAATTATATAGTCCCTGCCCCTGCTCCTTGCACATTCTTTTAATGTGTCCAAGCCCCTGCCGTGCCTTTCAGGAATTAAAGCTAAAGCATCCCTGTCTGCCTGGTTTATATAGCAAGCACTCTCTTTAACTGAATGAGCTTTTAGATCTTTTGTGCATATCAACAAATCCTAAACGCATGTCGATTTGCATCCCACACTGTCACAACTCTTACAATCAGACAGTAACACACATAATGCACACTTACTGATTTCAGCTTTAAAAAAAAAAAAAAAGAAAACAACAACAAAAAAAACCAAGCTATAAAAACCCCCCATTCTAAACCACCTGTGCTGATAACTGTTCAATATATTTTGTTTTTCTAACATGGTACTTTACTTCACATCGGTAAAGATCCACAGCACTATATCTGTTTTCATCCATGGGTATTGTTGGCAACGTGACACATAGAGGATTTATAATAAAAAGCCATTCTGGGGCAAACTTCTAAAAAGTGGATTAATCAGCATGAACATTCCACTGGTTTCCATGGTGACTGCAATGCTTTTAGAACTTTAACCCCACAATAGCTCTTCAGGTATAACCCCCATGATATGCTTTTAACCCAGTAGAATGCCTGTGTCCCGCAAAGCTTACAGTCCATTCTTCAAGCAAAGAACACTGTCAGAGACCGCTAGCCCCCAAATCCCAGGGTGGATTATCGCTGACGCGCTGCTGCAGCAGGGATCACCCAGGTTATCATACTTTCTAATACAGCGCTTTGTACGTTTGTAAGTGACTAATTTAGTAAGATCACATTAACATTGTATTGTATTGTAATTTTTTTTACAAGATATTAAAGTCAGAGCATTGTTTGCGCATAGGTTCTAGCTGTTTTGCAGTCTGTGTCAGATTTATTCATATGATCACCTATTAAGTCTCACTGTATACCGACTAATAAAAAGTAATACGAAGCTGTATCTAATAGCAGAACAGAGGGGAGTATTGAAAGTTATTGGGTGTGAAAGGATATGTAGAGGAGGAGAGGCATTCTAACGCTCTGACACCCAGGAAGCATGTGTAGATATGTTAGTTTTAAATAAATATTAAAATATATCGAGCTGGCTGAGCTCCCAAACATATGCAATATTAGGTTAGCCATCAATGAGTGCTAGGATACTGCTCATAGAAACACATAGCAGAGATGTACAGAGTGCATCCACTCATACTATTATCCTCGTTTAACTTGCTCATATTATTCTTCCTGGGTCTCTATGACACCAATAGATGTTCTGAAAGAAATACATGCAGCATACACACATAACGCCTGCTAATCTTAGTTTAATGCATTACTTATTGCCACATTCACAAATATGTCCCACGTTTTCCCGTATATTCTTATGGTATCCACATAATGATGTATTCAGATTGCATGAGAGGTTAGCCCGCATGCAGTGTGAGGGTTGTGAATTGGATGGTGGAGTTATAGTCTGTCAATCACTAGTCACTGTCCAAGACCTGTAATAGTGAATGGTGTTATTGCTCTTTACTATGGAACTCAGCAGAAATAAAGAATCTCTCTCTCTCTAATAGAAAATGAAGTGACATAGAATGGACCAGTAATAGAGCGTGGGTTTATATAACATGGATTGGTAGAGAATGGACTGATATCAAATGAAAAAGAAATCTAAAAAGCAGACCAATCATGGGACAGGACAAGAATGCAGATCAAATGCACACAAAATGTGTCTATTTCTGGGTACTCTTTCTAAAGTACATACATCGTGCTATGCTGTGTATACCTGAGAAAGGAGAAGGCTTTACAACTCTTCCTGGAGAGCACAAGGTACACAATACATTTAATACATCGTAGTCTGATTGCTACAATTAAACAGGTAGAGCAGATTTAAAAGGACAGGACATGAGATGACCTGGGGAAAGCGATAATCTGACTATAAGTGCAGTCCTCTGAAGGTACAATAAAGTGATAGCCAGACATATGTATCACATGGTCATCAGACTTACTGGGAGTTTAGCCTTTACTTGTGATATACTGTAACTGTCTCAGAAACATGGGATTTCGATCCACTGTTATTCAGGCACAAAGCACTCACTCATATATTGCATGGTCCAGGGTGGACATGTATTGAGAAGCATTATATAGTAAGTAAAGCTTATTCCAAAGCTACGGCACATACAGCTTGTCCCAAAGTTTGCAAAGAACATGTTATTACAACATATATTTACTAAATAATTAATAAACAGAAATGCACCTTCCATGATGAGATTTGTCTAAAAACACATTCCTGGATTTTATTTTACTTACCTACAGGGCTGGCCATCTCCAATACGTGTGTGGAGAGATCCTGGTGAATTTTGTGGAACCAAATACAGCTGGAAAAGCAGTTTAAGAACTTACCTGCTACTAGACCCGATAGCTTCTCCTGTTAGAGTTTTTAATGCTTCCTCTTTTGTGAAGTGTACACAATGGGTGCTGGAAGTAGCCTCATTCCCTCCCCCTTGCCTTCCTCCCTCCCTCTCTCCCAATTGCTCTCCACCCTTCTCCTCATTCACTCAGAGTAGGAGATGAAATTGCACTATAAATATGCAGAGTTCGCACAGACAAGGCATGGCTCAGTCAAGGTTGAGAGGAGGAATGTATTGCCCTATGTACCACCTTTATCATATCATCATTGAAAAGAACTAACATTGACATCCAACCAAGGTTTCATGAGTGTGGAATGAAACCAAACAGTCCTTATTAGTTTGCCTGGGAGCCTGGAGACAATAAAACCAGGCATCTATTATGTAACTTAATTTCCCACATCTCATAAAGCTTGAACATATCTCTGTGTAGTTAAATAACTCTCAACAATGTATCAAGTAAATGCTGCTCCCATGCATGTCCAGGTTCCTTCATTAAAAGGCTGGGAGTCTCCACTCACTAAGTACGAGGAAATTCTTGGAAATGAAAATGATCTAGGAGAACAGGATATTATTCCCGAAGACACCATGAGAGGCTCTATGTCCACGGACCATCCCAGGGATGTGTTTTAGCAGCTGACTTGTTTAATGTTTGATTCTGGTCAGTCCCTGCATGTAGACATTCTGCACCGTAAACAGTGGAGTGTTTGTCATTAAGCTGTGTTAGAACATATTTTTGCTGTCTGCATCCCACACGCAGACACAGTTTGAGGGCTGAGGACTGAGAGTTACTGTGCGCTTGGCTGGATTACTTAGGGGCTAGTTCAAGGGGTCTATTTAATAATCTGTAAAATGTGACTTAGGAACCAGCTGGTATTTTTCCATTTCTGGTATTTTGATCTGCTTTTTGCTAGTCGGTTCTCATGTCACTAGAAATAGCTGCTTAGTAAATCTGAAATTGATTGATAAGCTAAAGCTGCAGGTAGCAAATCAGAGATACTTTAACTTACCACTCCCTAACTCAAATGATATTTTTTTAAGATAGTGATAGTGGCTAATGAACCTGGTATTCTAACTAAATAATTTCACAGCATTGGATGATGCTAGTGATTTAACTACTTAGCTGCCAGAAGAATATATACAATAAAATTGTAGTTTTAGCAGATATGCAATTTGAATGATGGATGGCAAAATCACAGCAACACACTAGGTACCTCTCTACATGAAATCATTGTCTGGAAGAATGACAGGCAACACCCCATGATACATATTTCCAAGGGATGATTGAGCTAACAGACTGCAACCCATAGGAATTCTATCCCTTACGAACAGAATTCCCAAATTACTGCCCAGGACATTTGGGTCTCCTGTATTCTACCTAAAGGATGTACAACTCAAAAACTAGCCCTGGTGTAAAGCTCTCCAGAAGCTAAGAATGATGGGAGATGCAGTCCAAAACAACTGGCATTAGAGATAACGGTTTATTATCAGGTTGTATAGTTAAAGGCAGCCACTGCACCTTTTAAATGTACATTTCAATATTTAATGTTTAGGTATTTGTAAGAAAAAAATAAATGGTTTGAATAATTATCATTTTTGTGGCAATAAATGTAAATAAAATCATGTGAATAAGTTAGTGAGTGATCTTAGGGATTGGTTACAATACACATTTTGGCTCCAACACATGCCCTTTGACCCAACAGCATCCTGGTATTTTTGCTTTAGTCTTCCCATACCTTTCCCACCCCAACCCCCCCCCCCCAGTCAAAATGAAATCAACATTATTATGAACACTTGTCTGTCCTAAATAGTTACTTTAAAAAAACAAAAAAAGTTAAAGAAAACTGATGTTCATTTGTATTTCTTTTGGACTAGATGAAGCAAAAATATCATCCTGAAACCATTTCCTACTGTGCCAGTAATAGGACAGGGCATTAGACTGCAATCCAAAAGTCAGCTTGCAGTGTAGCAATGGATTTCTCACTAGTATCTTTTACTGGTGTTTTGTTAACCCCTTTCCAAAGTGGGAATGATTCCAACAGATCTGCTATAGTAATCGACACAAATTTTTATGCACTGTCCATATGTTTAGTAGAGAAATATGAAATTTATTTGGAAAAATTTCCAAGAGGCCAGACATTAATTGTATCTGATTTAGCATAGACATTTATGAATGTCAACAGGCCAGAATTTTATCTTTGTATTTGATCTTTTTTTTTTTTTCTTGAGTGCCACAGCACAGAATTTCATGGGAACTCTGTATTAGCTCATGCATTTTTTATGAGTGTAATAGAAATAATTCCCAAGCACACCAGAGATTTTAGTACAAAGATAATTTTATTTCTTTAGATATATATTTAACGAGAAAGTGCAATTGTGCAAAACATAGGTACAGATAATACTACCAAATGTACAAAACTGCATGCGTATACAACAAAGTGCTTAAAGGACCACTATAGTGCCAGGAAAACATACTCGTTTTCCTGGCACTATAGTGCCCTGAGGGTGCCCCCACCCTCAGGGACCCCCTCCTGCCCGGCTCTGGAAAGGGAAAAGGGGTTAAAACTTACCTTTTTCCAGCGCTGGGCGGAGAGCTCTCCTCCTCCGATCCTCCTCTTCTCCTCCCCGTCGGCTGAATGCGCACGCGCGGCAAGAGCTGCGCGCGCATTCAGCCGGTCACATAGGAAAGCATTTACAATGCTTTCCTATGGACGCTGGCGTGCTCTCACTGTGAAAATCACAGTGAGAAGCACGCAAGCGCCTCTAGTGGCTGTCAATGAGACAGCTACTAGAGGATTAGGGGGAAGGCTTAACCCATTAATAAACATAGCAGTTTCTCTGAAACTGCTATGTTTATTAAAAAATGGGTTAACCCTAGCTGGACCTGGCACCCAGACCACTTCATTAAGCTGAAGTGGTCTGGGTGCCTAGAGTGGTCCTTTAAGACATAAAGTACTTAAACAGGCTAGACTATGATGCTATAGAATCATTAGCCCTGCCATGTTTATTGAAATACCTGATGATTTGTAGGTGCACCTTCAAATTCTGGATATTTAGTGGGTTCCAAGCACAGATCTGAAGATATATTCAATACTTGCTTGATGTAGTGGATACAGGAAGTACAATGTACAATGTTGGTGTCAATAAACACTGTAACAGTTCTGTTTTATTTTAGTGCTCTATCTTAGTAACTATATCTCCCATAATTCTGTCATACTGTATTTCCTATACTTCTCAAACAAGATCATAGATAATAACAGGCATACTCTACATTGAGCTCTGCAGGCTAATGACCATGACAGGTCTTTCATGCTTCCTGTTACATGGTTGTCCAGGTTAAAGTCAAACAAGTTCAACAATGAGGACCATTATTTTTGATCCAAAAGAAGGCATAAAATCAAATAACAAAAAAACAAAACAAAAACAAAAAACAAAACAATTGTAGCCATTTCCAATTATTAGGAAAAGGGGAAAAAATCCTTCTTGACTCCATATTGGCAGTCAGATTTCTCCTTGGATCAACAACTTGATTACATACACATCAATTATATCCTTGAATATACTGTTTATGCAAAAATGCATCCAAGCCATTTTTTCCCCATTTATCTATAGCATCTGATAACACAACCTCTGTAGGCAGAGAACCGCATCTTTATTGTTCTTACTGTAAATAATCCTTTCCTCTGCTCTAAGCAAAACACATTTCTTCCAGTCTCAATGGGTGAACTCTTGTCTGTTATGTGTGCCCACTAATGAACAAGTTAGCACACAGTGGTTTATACTGACCCTGTATATATTTGTATAGTGCTATCATATCCACTCTGACATGCCTTTTTTTCTAAAGATAACAATTCCAGTTTTTCTCCCCTTTCCTCATAACTGTTTTCGATCCCTTTATTAATATTGTAGCTCACCTCTACACCTTTTCTATTTCAGCAATATCCTTCTTTAGAACTGGTGCCCAAAATTGCACAACATAGTCAAGGTGGGGTCTTACTATTGATTTTTAAAGAAGTAAAAATTATATTTGGATCTAGATCTGGATTTGGATATTGGGATCACATGAATCAAAGCCCATTTTTATACACAAAAGCACCTTACTAGCTTTTTCAACAGCAGACTGTGATCTATAAATGTTCCCAGTTCCCTTTCAATTAATGTTATCCCTAACTCAACCCCATTTATTGGATAAGTTGTTTGTGGGCTCCTTATTCCAAAATGCATAACTTTGCTTTGATCTGTATTGAATATATTGTTTTATTGACAAACCGACGCTGCTTGTAACATCTCTGGACAAAGGTCAAAATAGCCTTAGGATGGTAAAACTTGAGAAATAAACAATGTGTATTAACATTACAAAACAATCCAGAGAGTTAGTGGTGTGTTTTAACATCCTGGGAATGTAAATTCAGACCAATGTTTTAAATAAACTAACTGATCACCCTTTGGAATGTATCTCTGCTCCCAAAGCAACAGGAATGGTGACTGACACAGCATTAAATCCATTTTATGGGATAGGGTCTGAGCCTGGTAGAAAAGTAAAATTTTCAGAAAACTACAATTTAATAGCCAAAAAAACATGGCCATAAATGATGCTTTTATTCACCCAACCATGGAAATATGCTTAGACTAGGCTAAATTCTGTCTCAGGCAGAACAAAAAGAGGATCATATGTTTGAGTCAAACCAAAAAAAAATTCCATTGAAGGTGGGTGTGAAATGTATTAGTGTCAAAAATACTAATGGACTAATTTAACAATACACTCTCACACAACATACAATTATTATTAATGCTCTGCGGATTAATATGATGGTTTATTGGTGGGGGTGGGTCTGTTTTAAACATGAGCACATACAATGTATAACATTAGGAATATAACATATGTGCTAATTTCTTACTCTCTGATAAATAATGTGGACAATGTAAAGAATTATGACTCCTTTTAATATAGTCTGCATATAACGCCGTCGTTGCAGTGACATAGACACTCACAAATGTGTTCAGCTCCATAATATGGGTGGATAAATAACTAGTGCCCACAGACCCCAGGAGATATGGGAAAGTAATTTCCCACGAGAACCTCTTACTATTACATTCTGCTTACACTCTCAGCTTTGCCTTCATGTGCTTAGACCAGGGGTGTCCAAAAGGTAGATACCCAGATGTTGTAGAACTACAACTCTCATGATGCTTTAAATGCGTTTCGAATGCTTTAGAATGGCAAAGCATCATGGAAGCTGTAGTTTTAAAACATCTGGGGCTCTACCTTTTGGGCACCACTGGCTTAGAGTTTTGAGTACAAAAATGTCACACTTTCAAAAATCATTTGTAACATTTTTTCCCATGTTGCCACATTTGAAAGAAAAAGGGGTTATTTAATGAACACACATTTTAACTGGATGGACAAAATATAATTACAATAATCATATCCCCCCTTTTCCCTATTATTCTCATTATATTCTTTATAATATTCATTCTATTCTCATTATATGATGACCCATTCCATTGGTCAGGGGATGGGATATACGATATTAGATATTGGGTTTGGCTGAATCACTTTAAAAAAAAACAACAACTTTAGATCGGGAAGTCCGATAGTCGTCTTTGTGGTGGTTCGACTCATCCAAATATTATCCATGCAAAATATTCTAGAAAATGATTTAGACAAAACCAAAAATGCACAAAAAATGGCTAATTAATGTACTACAAAATATAAATAGTATGTGTGTATTTTCTAGTACACTGGTAGGTGTATTTTCGCACCCAAAAATAAAATAAAAGTAAATGTAGATATAAAAGATCTTATTTTACTGTTTTGTTTCACTCTCTTGGTCATTTCTCACTTGATCTGTGAATAAAATAACCATATAGTGGCTATTCTTTAGCTATCAATCATATTTTTTTCCCCTTTCCTTTTTTTTTGCGTCACGGACGTGACACTGCATTAAGAAACAAAAAATAAAAAATGCTTGTTTGTGGTCCGGTTTGTTTATTCAAGATATGTTCCTTTCGCGATTTTCTAAATTCAGACAACCCACCAATCACCTAAAATTCAGACGAATCCCAGTCCATTTAAGATTGAATGCACAAGTCTATGGGATATTAAGAGATGAGTAATCTCTGCTCATTACATAGGGGGTAAGCCCCCCCCTGTGGCATGTTGTGTGGGGGCTAAAGGGAGGGTAAAATCATTCTGACCCCTATATGCTTTTATTTTTCAACCAGAATTTCTGTGGTGGGCCAGCTGTTGCATACTTTCCTTTACACTGCTGAGAATTTCTATGATTCCAAATTGTAATTGCTTGTATGCATCTGTTCAGGCTAAAACCAGACTGCTTTCACACTAATTTGGGGCCTGCTCTGCAAAATTCAGACATTGATGAATACTGTGAACAATGTCCAGATTTTGCATTCCGAATTTTCCTGGATGGTCTCAGGTATTTTTGCTAATCTGGACCTGGGGCATTTGGACTAATAAAAATACCCTGTTTGAATATGATTGTTCTATTAAATACGCTTTATTGTTGTAGTTACAAGCAGTTGTTGCTATCAGTTTCTTTTTTCTTGGTCAGTGCAAAAAAGGATAAAAAAATATAATATAAAGAAGCGGCTAAATTAAAACAGTTCTCACTACTTAATAAAACTACAGCACCAATCAATCAAATTTTACCGCTAAAAAGAGACATCAATAAAGACAAAATAAACATAAAGATAAAAACAATGCTATCAAAGACATTTCAAATGTATACATGCAACTTGATACTTGTCAATGCATATATGCAATTTGATACTTGTTACATTGTTCATTGCGCTCTGAAAAATCTCGCTTTACAAGTTCAAGTAGCTGATACTAGTAAAAAATTATTGCCTAAAGTCACGTACAGCCAATAACTTAGAAAAACAATGACATCCGTTACAGATTCACACCTCTTTTTCAATCCAGCTTTAGCCTTACTTAATCAATCTCCGAAGTCCCTCTGGCATTTCAAGAGAACTCTTACAAAACACTTAATTACAGCAGCCAGGAGTTCAATACCACTGTTTTACAATTGGCAGTGCTTGCCAAGGGTGCAACTTTGCCTGAAGTGAGATAAGGAGATTAACTTAATGGGAACCATCAAAACAAACTTTGAAAAATGATTCTCTGGAATCCAGTTTGTTTCTTCCCCCTCTGCAACCCAAGCTGTAGACAACACTGATCTATAGATTTATTAATGGTGGGAAAATTTTTGTTTGGTCAAAATGTTAAAAACAAATTTGGACCAAAAGTGTCCGAATTTCATCTTTGGAAACATTTTTGGAAATCAATTCAGACAAAATGTTATAAAAATGGACCAGTCAAGCAAAATGGGCCAAACGGTGTACTGCAAAGAAATATACATAATATTGTGTATTATATACACACGAATATATAAATATTATGTATATATTTTTCAGCTCACTGATCAAATGGGAAGAAGTAGCCAATAGTGGAAAAAATGGAGGAACAGTAAATAAATCCATATTTATACATTTATATATTATATCATTCCTCCTTTTTTACCTCTATTGGTCGCTTCATCTTTTTCCTATTAATTATCTCTTTTTGGGTGCCAATGGCAGGACTCCAAATCTCAATTCAAACTGTTTTTTTATACATGTTGTTGTATATGATATTGACTGTGTGTAGATGAATGTAAGTATGTGTATATGAATGTTTGTGTGTGTATGAATGTGAGCATGTCTCTGTGTAACAAAAAACAAACCTATGGTGGGGGGTGCCAATTTACATGGTACATCATCTAGGTACGCCTCTGACTGAATGAAAAATGTCACTACTATGTAAAAATATCTGCATTAAGTGCAGTATGTGCCCACATACATTTCATACAGTTACCTGGTTACATTGAGGCATCTTTACTATACATGTACTGCGAGCTGCTACTGAAGATTCCATATTATTGTGCAGAGTTCTCCCTAAGCTACTAAAATGCATTCCTGGGTCTGAGGTACAGCATGTAAGTGGCTCTTCATTCTCTAGATTTTGTTTTGTTATCATATAAAGTGTAATCTATATGTATACATGGGGAGAAACAGGGGTATACAAATACAAAATCAGCCATGTTTCCAATTAAGTTTTTTTGGCCTAAATTTTAGTTGCCAAATGAACCTGCTGTTTTAGTGAATAAACCATAACAAATTTGTGTTTAATGTCACTCATTTTAATTAGCGCGCTCACAATGAATGCTCTGAGAACTATTCTTATATTTGAAATATAACAAAATTCTTTATTCATTCTTTGTATAGGCACACATTTTAAATTTAACTATCCGCATTCATTTCTTCCAAAGAAATAATGTAAGGTAAAATAGAACTGTGAGCTAAATGTCAACTTTGCCTTGAGGAAATTATGTTTAAGGTAGGGCATAAATATCCTCTAGACAAAAGAAAAAGGAACAAAAAAAGCCAGTAAGTATCAGGCTTATTGAAAGTTTCCAAATTTAGGTATGAGTTTGCAAAGACCCCCCAAGGTGACTTGTATGGTGGTGTATGGTGGGAGCCAGGTGGGAGCAGGTAGGGAGGTATACTGAACTTATGTTCTCTCCTACCACCATAATACACTTGCCAGGAGTGTCGTCGATAGATCAGAATGGTGTTTATATTTAATCCTGCAACACCCCAGGTTCTGTGCCACACTAGATGGTGTCTGCTCATGTATTATTATTATTGGTATTTATATAGCACCAACAAATTCTATAGCGCTTTACAATATTATCAGAGGGGGAGATTTAACAATAAATGACACAATTACAAAACTTACAGAAACAATAGGTTGAAGAGGGCCCTGCTCAAGCGAGTTTACAGTCTATAGGAGGTAGGGTGTAAAACACAACAAGACAGGAGGGAGCAATCAAACAAGGTGGAATGAAGCAGAGCTGGAGGAGAGAATAGAGTGCTGCCCTTTAGGAGAGAACAAGGGACAGGTACGTGAGGTAGAGGTTACTCTGGGAGACCATAAGCTTTCCTAAAGAGATGGGTTTTGAGGCACTTTTTAAATGATTGAAGACTAGGGGAGAGCTTGATGTTCATAGGCAGGCTATGCCAAAGGAAAGGAGCCACCCACGAGAAGTCCTGCAAGTGTGACTTGGCTGTACGGGTGCGAGCAGCAGACATTAGAAGGTCATGGGCAGAATGGAGAGACCAAGAAGGTGCATACCTGCGAATCAGTGAAGAAATAAAGGAGGGGCTAGCATTGGTCAGTGCTTTATAGGTGTGGATTAGTACCTTTAATTAACTCCTATAGCATACAGGAAGCCAATTTAAGGACTGACAGAGGGGAGACGTGTGAGAGGAGCAACAGGAGAGGAAAATCAGTATAGCTGCAGCAGGTGACAATAGGTGTTGTGACTGATGGCTGATGGTAAAAGGCAGGATTTGGAGGCAGAAGTTCCACCCATTGTCACATTTCACAAAAGATTGGAAAGTCAAACTGAAACTAAAATGATAATGAAAAAAAAAAAACATTATTAAACAGCAAATACTAGATCGTAGTGTGTGCAGATGTGCATCAAAATCAGAGTTATCCACTAAAATGTGAAGTGCCAGAAATTCATATATAATTCAGAGTAAATTTCATGTTCTGGTTCTCTTTAACTGAATGAGAAAAATTAAGTTTTTCATTGTGCAATTTTGGCCTAAATCTTAAGCTAATTTTGAATTTGCTTTAAACTCTGGACAATTCCCATTTTAGTAAATAACTGTACAAGTCTCATACACACTTGCTCATGCCATGATCTATAAACATTTTGCTTATTACAACCAACATAAACGTATTCACTATGGATTTGCTGTTTAATTATCATTTTGATTTATTTCCAGTTTGACTTCCTAATACATTTGGGGCAGTACCCAGCTACATAATCACACAAGATCTGGTGTACGGTTCTGGAGCAGGAAATGTGACAATCAGATCGTGTCTAGATATAATTAATACCAAAGAATATCCTGACACTGTAATTCGATAAAAGGAAAGCAGGCATGTTGATGTAGTAGAACTGTCTTGTAGCTTTAATAGCAAATTGAAGAAAAATTGGATTACCCTAGATATGTATAGAGAGAAAATGAAAGATTATTATAGAAGTTAAATGATGCCTGCTTCCAACTAATGCATATAAAATATTAGACAATGCTTCAAGAAAGATGTCATTTCCCTTTTAACCCCTTAAGGACCAAACTTCTGGAATAAAAGGGAATCATGACATGTCACACATGTCATGTGTCCTTAAGGGGTTAAGTACTTTGATGGTGATCCCTCTCCTTTTAATGGTAAGCTCCCTTCCAATGTATATATTATTTTTATAATTTTTATTATTTTATTATTTATATAGTGCCATCAGATTCCATAGCTAAAAGTTCTGGTAGCGAAATGTATACCATGTCTGATTTTACAAACACAGAAGTAAGAACTGTTCTTAAACTCCCACTGTTCTTGGTTTGTAGCTTTGGCTATAGTATTCCTCAGTCCAAATAGAAAACGAAAAATGTTCTTGTACACTATGCTAAATCTGTATTTCCAAAGAAATGGCAGGGAATTTTAGTACCAGAGCAATGACAGTTAAAGGGTAAGTTTACCTGTCAACATCAAGGAAAATCTCATATTATCTGGTTTCAAAGCTAACACCTTCTAATGACACCAACAAATGTATTTTTATATATCCCTACACACTAACCGAGGTGAGCAGCAGCCCTGTAACATGGCTGTGTAATAGAAAAACAAATAAAATAGAAATAATCCATGCACAGAAATAATCCATGCACCCAAACTCCCACTAATCTTGGGTTCTTTTGTCTCATTAGAAATTTTGCATATTATTATTATTATTATTATTATTATTGCCATTTATATAGCGCCAACAGATTCCGTAGCACTTTACAATATTATGAGAGGGGGGATGTAACTCTAAATAGGACAATTACAAGAAAACTTACAGGAACGATAGGTTGAAGAGGACCCTGCTCAAACAAGCTTACAGTCTATAGGAGATGAGGTATAAGACACGTTAGGACAGGAAATATCAATCAAATAGGGTGGGAGTGAAGCAGGGCTGGAGGAGAGGGTAGAGAAAGCAATAGACAGGTATGTAAGGTAGAGGTTCCTATGGGAGGCCATAAGCTTTCCTGAAGAGATGTGTGTTAAGGCTCTTCTTAAATGATTGAAGACCAGGGGATGTGGGTAGGCAGGCTATTCCATAGGAAAGGAGCCCCCCCGAGAGGTCCTGCAATCGCGAGTTGGCCGTATGGGTGCAGACAGTGGTCAGGAGGTGGTCACGGGCAGAGCGGAGGGTACGAGGAGGGGCATACCTATGAATCAGTGAAGAGATATAAGAGGGGCTAGAATTGTTCAGTGCTTTAAATGTATGGGTTAGCACTTTGAATTGACTCCTATAGGATACAGGGAGCCAATGTAAGGACTGGCAGAGGGGTGAGTTTAATTGTTAGCATATGACTCATCTAAGAGGTTTGTAATGGTGATGGCAATTAAGCTTACAATGTAATAGCCAATACTGGTACTAAAACATATTTTATTTTACTGTACCCAGTGATCAGAGTTAGTGTGCAGGTAACCTTATTTTTTTTTACACATTTGGACTGATGAATACATTGGTCATTGCTGTTGTCTAAGAGCAGTGGGCATTTTTGTCAGTATTTGACAACTTACAGCCAACTAGCCGTTCGATGACATCACCACCCATCCTGTTAAGCATTTTTTGGTAACATGCTGCTGTTAAAACAAATAAGAAAAAAGCAAATTGACAGTACATATATATATATATATATATATATACAAAATACAAAACCCAGTGCACTCCCTTATTCACTAAACAATGATTTCAAATCTTAGCGATTGTAATAGTTTTATTTAAAAACACCTCACCTAGGCAAAAAATAATAGGGGTTTAGTTACATTATCTGATCATATATTGCATAAGCCTGCCACACCATCAATGTACTCCATTCTTGGCAGGTTCTACTCTAGCAGCCTAATGCTTGCTCTTATGAGATTAATCCACTTACTCACTTACTTGGGAAATACTTCCTTACTAGGACTCTCTGCAAGTCAAGGCTAAACAGGATCCTGGAATAATGCACAGGGGTACAACACAACATCCTAACTAACTTCCCTAACCACGCACCTTTCTTAGCATCATACCCTATTAAGAACATCCTTAAAGGTATTCACAAGGTTACAGTTCCCCCTGTCACTACCAGATTGCCAAAAGATGGTCCTATTTTCAGACTACTTAGTGACCTACTGGACAAATCACCATTCGACTATCATACTAACCTGGTTATAAAGGCAGCTATCTTTATGGCTTTCTATGGCTTCCTTAGACTTAGGGAGTTCACAGTTATAAGATACTACATCAAGTCTTCAACTATCTCATCTTAAAGTATCACTATAGTGTCAGGAAAACACATTTCCTAACACTATAGTGCCCTGAGGGTGCCCCCACCCTCAGTGTCCCCCTCCCATGGCGCTGAAGGGGTTAAAACCCCTTCAGTTAACTACCTTAATCCAGCGTTGGGCTCCCTTGGCGCTGGTGACCTCTCCTCCCCCTCCGGCATTAGCTCCCCTGTCCGACCTCAGCGGAGCCGAATGCGCATGCGCGGCAAGTGCCGCGTGCATTCACTGTGTCCATAGGAAAGCATTTCTCAATGTGTTCTCAATGTGAAATCTGCTTCCAGCATGGCAGATGCGCCTCTAGTGGTTTTCCGGAAGACAGCCACTAGAGGCTGGCTTAACTCCAAATGTAAACATTTCTCTGAAACTGCTATGTTTGCATCGGAAGGGTTAAAACCTGAGGGACCTGGCACCCAGACAACTTCATTGAGCTGAAGTGGTCTGGGTGACTATAGTGTCCCTTTAAAAAGGTTGATGACCACTATATAATTTCTTTACCTTCCACTAAGACTAACCACACCAATCATCCCACTATCATTCCTCTTTTTCCTACCGAGAATGCTTGGTGTCCAGTCAAAGTACTTGATTTATTTCTTGTATCTCACCACATACACTCACCGGACACTCCACTATTGCTACTCCAAGGGCACCCACTCACCACAGATTACTTCCCGTTAGGACTCTACTGTCAAGGTTGGGCTGCAACCCGGCTTCCTTCTCCGGTCACTCCTTCCTTTTGGCGCAGCTTCTTCCGCATCAAGCTCAAACACACCAGTCCACATCATTTAAAGACTGGGCCGCTGGAAATCATCCATTTACAATACTTACATACCACGACTAGAGAGAGAGCTTCGTCAAGCTTTCAGAAGTCTAGCTTTGTAACTTGCAATAAAGTGTGTTTACTTGAATCCTCCTTTTGCCCTCTTTTTATTACAGGCTTACTTGTATGTTGGTTTCGGCACACCTCAACCAACTTTGCATCTTCTGTTACATTCCATAACTTATTAGAAATTCCGAGCACAAGTTAAAAGGCCATTAGGCCTGAATTTGTGGGAGGAGTTAAGGCCCCCTACTTAAACCCCTAGCCCCTACTCACCTCTGCCGTTCAAGCTGATTGACCCCACCCACTTACACCCATCTATATATTACATTTCACCTTGGTGGGCCCTTTTTTTTAATTACAGGCCTACTCGTACGTTGGTTTCGGCACACCTCAACCAACATTGCATCTTCTGTTACATTCCATAACATATTAGAAAGTCTGAGCACAAATATATATATTTATACATACGGTTAATTTGCTTTTTTCTTATTTGTTCTAACAGCAGCATGTTTATATATATGCTATTAAAAACAAAGCAAGCATGTTTGTAAAATTGCTGTTTCATATTTAAGTAAGTATAAAAAGATAGCAGCACACATCAAAAACACTGGATAGATTTCAGGACTGGAAGAGAAGTTAGCCAAGCATCGTAAAATAGGACTGCACTGAAAGATGGGCCTCGAGTTTACTAAATATGTTATTATTTATTTTTGAACGTGTTAGTCCAGATAAAGGGTAGTTTTCATGTTCTTACACATTGCTCTGTGGTATTACAGCAGAATAACATTATTTGAAAATGATTACCCTCTATGTCCATTCATATCTATCAGCAGCAGATTGTAGACCTTAAATGCATTAAATATGTCATTTAAAGCACTATGGGTCAGGTTAATGGGAAAACTCATGGGGCAAAGCATTGCGAAATTTGACTCATACATATTATCTGTGCTTTACATAACTCTACCCAGTGCTTCCTATTAACAAAAATGGACCAATTCACTTTGATTGTTATTGATGGGATTAAAATGTAATAAGGCATATCGGACTACAAAACATTTGAAACAAGCTTTGAAATAGTAATGCAATATGGAACGATCATGGGTGAGCATGTAGGTTTTAAAAAAAACAACATTAAATTATACATGTGACAACCATAAAAATCAAGTTTAAAGTTACTAAAATGCTCACAAAATACAGCAAAGTATAAAATACATTCTATATAAAACCTCCAAGAAATAACAATCTGCTTACTATTTATCAAATAATAAACAGTTGGTACAATTTATGACTCTGTAATTGATGTAAGGAATGAAGCAGGTGTAATAAATACTTAATACTATTTTTAGAATGTACACATGCAACTGTTTCAATTTTCTAAGAGGTTTCCTGCCTGTAGAACATGTTTAATCCGTGGCCCAGATGTTATTGTGCTAGAACTACGATGATCTTTGATCTGCATGACCCATAAACATATAAAGCCAGAATTATAATAGTGGTTGTAGTTTTACAACAGATGGTTTTGAGGTTGTCTAGTCCTTTCATAACTATATTGTGCTATCTGGATAAATCTTACTTGGATATATTCTCCAATAAAGTTTTTTTTAGATGACTACAGGATGAAAAGTATCTCTGTTAGGAAATATTGATCAAATTCTCTAGAACAACAGGTAGCCAATCTAGAAGGAAAATAAGAGAACGTCTATATTTTTCCATATTGTGCAACTTTTTGTTTACAATTTTAGTTAGTGTTGTAATTATTACAGAACAATCCTCCTGCTAGGTTATTTAGAATGTGTGGCTGCAATAACTCAATATGTACTATTTTCCATTGCTCCACACACTAAACAATTGATTACTTGAGGGTAGGCATGGTAAGACACATTTGGACATTATGTCAAACTAGAACTTGCGCTTTGAAACAGATTAACTAATTTTACATAAGAGGAAACCCATTAGAGGTTAAGATGTTAACTAGGTGAGCAAATTTCCTACACAGAGGCAAAGGTTGGTTTAAATAGTTGCCCAAGAGAAAATATGTACTACCTTATTTTTTTATCAAATATTTTTAAAAACACTTCTTAAAGAGGCAAAGAGGCAATAAATATCTATATCTATAGATAGATAGATAGATAGATAGATAGATAGATATTGGTTGCAGGTTGCAGTGAAATAGTATATTGTTAAAATGGCCTCAGAGTGAGCTACAGCCATATGAAATATTCATAACTTTGTATATCGAAGTAACAATTTTAAGTTGTCACTGACTTTCTGGAATATGTGATTTGCTTCCATCTCATATCACAATAATGAAACATCATTGGGTAGTCACAAAGTCGGAATGCATTTTATCAACAGTGAATATGAGCATTCCTATTGTGTTGTCAGTAATGTCACATTTTCTAGTGACACGTGGTGGCAAAAAGTACATACCAACAAAAATTATTTTTGATCATCAACATTGTCTTACATATACAAGCATATATGTCTGCTGTGGTGAAATGACAGATTCTCAGAAAAAATGTCTCTAAGAGCAAAAATAAATTTGTACAGTGAAATCTGCAATATTAAATCTATATCACTTTACACTTAGATAAAGATGTATAGGTTAAGAAAGTAGACAATAGTATTAACTTTCTACTAGTTGGAATTTTGCAACAGGGAGTTCAATTCAATACTTTAAAGGGACACCATATGTATCCAGACCAATTCATCTCATTGAAGTGTCCTAGGTGCAGTTTTCTTCTCTCCTTTAACCCTGTTAATTGCAGTTTCAATTAAACTGCAATGTTTACTTTAAAGGGTTAAGGCTGCCTTTAGTGGCTATCTACCAGAAAGTCAATAGAGGACCTTCCTGGAGATTCACAGAATCTGACGTTTTGCACATCAAGCGTGTTGAAATACCCAGTAGGAAAGAATTGAATTAATGCTTTCCTATGGGGAAGGATTAATGCGCACAATAGGTTCCCTTGGATTGCCAACACCAGCGCTGCACTCAGGTAAGCATTTAAAGTTTTTTTTTAACCCTTTACGTGGTTGGGAGGGCATACAATCATTTTAGTGCATTGGGTCACTACACTATATTAGGAATTCCTAACACTATAGTCTTCCTTTAAGGATTATCAAACTGAAAACACTTAAATCAACTAATTTGTAGACTTGTACACTTGACCAAATTTCATAGACGCACGAGTTCAGCTTGTTCTAATACCATCCATGCAAATTATTCAGGAAAACCTATTTGGACACACCAAAATGGTGCAAAAAATTAGCCTGACACTGTACTGCAAAATGTAGAAAAAACAACGAGGGAACCTTAGGACCTTAAAAACAACGAAGGACCTTATTTATATTTGTTTTATTTATTTTTAAACATATTTTAATATTGAATTAAAGGACCTTATTTATATTTGTTTTATTTATTTTTAAACATATTTTAATATTGAATTAAAGGGACCTTATTTATATTTGTTTTATTTATTTTTAAACATATTTTAATATTGAATTAAAGGACCTTATTTATATTTGTTTTATTTATTTTTAAACATATTTTAATATTGAATTAAAGGGACCTTATTTATATTTGTTTTATTTATTTTTAAACATATTTTAATATTGAATTAAAGCCTTATTTATATTTGTTTTATTTATTTTTAAACATATTTTAATATTGAATTAAAGCCATCTTTCCAAACTTCACCCGGAGTCCTGTGTTGGAGTGAAAACATCCAGGGGATTTCCCTAGGCCCCCCATACTATCGGGGGAGGCATCTTACAATCTTCAATTTGTCTAAAATCCAGTGAGTGCATTTCATTTTGCGCAATGTCTATACTGTAAACTGTATTACACTATATTCTCTTTATTTACTTTTGTAGAGATTATCAGCCGGTTCCCTCGTTGTTTTTTCTACATTTTGCTGTCAAGTTGATCGCTAGCTGGGAAGCGATCTGAGGGAGGCTGTATTCAACCTTATTTGATAAGTATCTTTGCATATATATTAAGGTGTATAAGGTACATTATTATTGGTTGTTTTTTGTACTGCAAAATGTATACTGTTTGACTTGGTTCTCAATGTCAAAGCACTAGAAGCGTGCTAAACCTACAATCTAAACATAGCAGTTTGTATAAAACTGCTATGCTTTACATTGCAGGGATAAAACTACAGGTCCACTGCAACCAGACCACTCATTGAGATAAAGTGGTCTGGGTGACTTCAGTGGTCCTTTAAGAAGGCCATATATCTCCCTTGCTTGTTCCCATTTGGCTGAAAAGGCTTGTAAACATGTTTCCACATGTAACCACTAAATGTTCTTCTTAAGTGCTTCAGAACACGATATCATAAGATATCCAATTTTCAGCAGCATTAATGAAATACGTTGCGCAATAATTGATTTATTTTCTTCGGAAAGTGACTCTTGTCTATTTCAAGACCACCCATCCTTTTTAGTTTGAGTCGTAGATGCTTTAAACTGCTGGAGCTCTGTGTCCTCCCGGCAAAATGAAGCTAGGAAAGCTTATAAAATCATTTTACTGTTACGTTTTGTGATCAGCAAAATGATGAGTCTAATCTCGGCCATATAATGGCTCATTACATCCTGAATCCATGAAAAGCATTAAATATCATGATCATTGTGATTTTACTTCTCGACTTATAAAAATAGACATAGGAGACCTTGGGAAACTAATGGAGAGAACATGATGGCTTGGATTAGAAAAAAAACAAGTTCTGGTATGTTTAAAAGTCACATCTGATATGTTCCTGTGTGTAATAATGGCTGGGTATGGGTCACTGAGATGATACTCGGAAATAGGAATTAGATGAACAAACCAAAGTGATCTGTGTGAGGTTCATAAAGATGTATCAGTAGTTCAGGTTGAAATATTTTTAACTGTTTAAGGAACATATGTCACACTTGGCGGCCATTACAATCTACCAGCACAGAACGTTATGCTTATTTAGCTTTAGAAGCTCTCAGTAGCCCAGCAGGCATTAATTTAAAGCGTCATTCCATTTGGGAGTGGAACTCTTATGAATGGCTTGTTCTTAGTATAATATAGTCATAGAGAAATTTTTCATTAAAAACAGTTGTGGTACATGGCAACAAGCTTTTAGACAACTACAATTTAGTTTGCAGCAGCATTTATGACAAACATTCTCTACCTCTTCTGAAGTGAATATTTTATTTGTAATTTATATTTTGGCTATCACTTTCCTACAACTTACTGTTTATTAAATTGCCTCTGCAACTACAAGATCTACAACTATTTTCTAAGCTTTCTTGAGATACTTGAAATAAAATAAAAGTTCCTGTTTAATTGTAAAAACTATGGCATATGTTTTAAAAGAATAAAAAAAATAAACCAAAAAGTCATTATGAACAAAGGTAGCAAACAGGAGTCTGTGCTTCAGGGAAATATATTACATTGGCTTACATATCGACAGATGGTTTGCTAACACTGTCATCAGTATATACTAGTATTGCAGGGGTCAATAAATTGAATTTATATTATATGCCGTAGGATGTTCTCCGTCATATATAAAATTACAGTGCTAAAGTTACTGGCTGCGCCGATAAGCACGTAATGGCCATTTTTCATGCAAAATCGCTTAGAGGGTGCCAAAACTATAACTAGTTTGTGCTTGAGTTTGCAAAGTGAAATATATTTTTCACTGTTTGCAAATATTGGGTGCTGCAAGACTACAGTGCAAATGGACAAAGAGGGACACTTTAATTTTAGGGGGATAGAGTACAAAGGAATTAGGATCCAAAATAGGAACTGTTCCTCCTGAATAGGGATAAGTGGGAAATATGTATATATAATTGGCAGTTTTTATGTGGAATTGCTTCTTAGAATGTGCATGTGTGTGTACGCATGGTGCATGTGCTCACATGTGTGTCTTTCAATAAAGGAGCCATATTTTATTTTTACGACATAAGAAATACTTACAAGCAAACATAACATACTTTTAAAGCCGTTAAGAACACATTGTTGCTAGCAAACATGCAGAGTTTTAATGTCCATGATATATTACTGTGAAATCAATTAACTAATCTTACAAGTTCCTTTGGAATCCCAAATGTGATTAGTTAATTAATTTCACACTGAAAGTACATGAATTTCACATACTGCTAAGCAGCATATTCAATCACAGACCAACAGAATGTAAAGTGTATACACATCCCAAACAGGAAATCTTCTCTCTAACCACCAATATTCAAAAAGTAAAATTTTAAGGAAACTGATGCTTCATTTAGAGTATTCATATACATATAGGCACTTGGATTTCAAATTTCACCTTAAACTCTATAAATATCTGAAACAGTAGGAACATTTACAACTAAAAGTAGTTAGCTTTTAACAGGTACCCGTCGCGGCTATTTTAACTTATGCTCTTTTAAAACAGCATACAATTTAGCGTTTACACTGTTCTAGCAGATGTGCTAGTAAATGTACAGTGTGTAAAAATATATTTACAAACTAGGTTCTCCAGCTGCCAGTCAGATCTTCAGGATAGACTCTATGCCAAAAAAATGACTGTCATTGAGAGCATAAAAGTCCTCCCATAGGTGGTCCTTCTGTTGTCCATGCATAATACCCACACCACTTACCCCAAGCAAATGACAGAAGAGAGCAGGAGGAGCAAAGGGTGGATTGGAGGTGGGTGTTGTTATGAAGACGAGTAAATGGCAGCGCTGAAGTGGAGATGAGATATATATTTTTAAAATTGACATTAAATGCAACGTATCTTTGTAATATATGATGTATTCAATGTACATGGGGGAAATTTAGGCAGACTTGGTATAAGATTGACAGGTTCTTTTTAAACATTTAATATTTGTAACAAAAGCCTTTATTAAGTGGGATTGAAGCATTGTCTGTGTTGTCTTATATCATGCATTAAAGGGATCATTTTTAAATTTACAGTGATGGACATTTATATTTTCTGGTTAATGACTATGACTTTGAATGAGACTAATACATTAGTACACTTTTTACATCTGCAGGGTTGGTGTGTGCAGGACTAATGTACAAGAGAAATTAATAGTGACCCTTTGACACAAAAAGGAAGAAACTTGAAAACCTCTAATGGATAGCAACATGATTTTCAATGTTTTCCAACTTTTGTAGACCTTCTTTTAGTTAATCTGCCAAAAGGAGGTGAGGTAATTTTGGCACTTCTTGTGACACTTAGAGGCAATGGAGAGTGGTCAGTCCCATATGACCGTCTAGGTCCTTTACGTCATTGAAGAAACCTCCAGATTAAAAGAAAAGCTATAAGCACCCAAACCACTTCATTTCAATGAAGTGATCTGTGTGCAGTGCCAATGGGATTTTGCTCATGCAATGTAAAACATTGTCATTTTGGAGATAGGGAAGTGTTTTAATTGCAGGGCTAAACACACCTCTAGTGGCTGTTACACTGACAGTCACTAGATGGTGGTTCCACTGTGAGTACAGAGAGTTAGACTCGGTTCTTGACATTTGACATCTTCACACTTTGCATAAGGATGTTCAATGGTTAATGAATGCATCTCATAGAGAAGCATCAGATTCAATGTTTATCTATGAGAGGCATTTGATTGGAGGAACGTGGCACTTGCAATGCACGTGCTTCCCATCCCCAATGCTTTTCTCTTAGAGTCAAAGAGGAGACTGGACAAAATGGCGTATCTGAAGGACATTTTAAAACATAGGAGGAGGTTTGGGGTTCAAAACAATTCAAAGAATTAATTTATAGAAATAAGTATTATTTTTAAAACTATAATTTCCTTTTAATCGGGGTCCGCTCTAGTGCTTGATCACTTGTTACCTGGTCTCCCTGCAAGCTGTCTCAGTGTTTGTCTTCCATCCAGGGATAGGACAGGCTGATACCTAGTATCATTAGTTTTCACGGAGAAGAGAAATAAAGGATTTATATTTCTTTGATATAATTTTTGTTGCTAGCAAACATGTAGAGGTTTATTGTACGCCATATGTTGATTCTCTGCAGAAGCACTGTCATCTTGATTGTAAGCTTCATTGACCAGCACATTCCATACCTGCCTATTGATGTCTTTCACATTTTGTATTTATTGTTGTCACTATGTACAGCGCTGCTGAACATGTTAGGATATTGGATACAGAGGATAATAATGATGATACTTGCTTACTGATCGTATCACCGTGTTAGAAAAAGAAGAACATGAAACAAAACAAATGCTTCATAAAAAGTTATTCATTTCCACTTTCACCTGAGCAATAAAAAGCTTTGCAACAGTGATAGAATGAAGAGGCTGCAGCACTTGATTTTACTGCTACAATCACTTACCTATCAATGTGATGAAAGTCAGTATCATGAACTGTCAATACCAACTTGTGACATTGCCAATTAGGATTGGGAAAGACTCCATATTACCATGGCAACGGCCAAGAAATATTTCTAACCGATAGTGCTTGTATTTGTCCCACTTAAACATAATTTTCACACTTGGAAGGAAATACCGAGCTTGTGCCAAGTAAGGAGGGGTTGTATTCCAAAGCAGGGCTGGTCTGTAATGCAGTATAAAGCCCAGCTGCTATTGCACTACAACCCCTAAGTCTCTCAGACAACTGTAACCCAATATTTTCCAGGTGTGTGTGTATGTATGCTTCGACAGTTTCTTGAGGAGGTAAGATTTGCAACCAAATACTTTACTTTTACTTTACTTGAGTAACAACTATATCACTAGATCAGTGGTCAGCATCTTATTGCAAGTGTGCCATGTATGGCACTCGAGGTGCCTTTACACGGCACTCAAGGCTGCCAGAGACAAACAGGCTCTGGCCTATCAAAAGGCCCAGTGGGACTTCAGATATCTGCTAATAATAATAATAACCAGGAAAGGTACATTCAGATTACTCTGGTTTTCAAGTACTTCCTGAGCATGTTACCTTAGCCCAACATCCAGGGTTGTTACTATTACCCAATGTAATGCAAAACAAATGTTGATTTCAGGTGGCAAAGCACAATCCTCAATTTAACCATTGCATCTCAGATCACTTGTAAACGAGAATCCACTCTGGAGTAGAGCAGCCCACAGCAGCTATCACAGCCTCTCTACCTGACCACTGCTTGCCTTCACCTGGCCAGCAGGGCCGGACTGGGAACTAAAATCAGCCCTGGAAAAAAATTCCATACCAGCCCAATAATGCGTCACGCCAGCATAGTGTGCTGATATAGATGGTGAAAAAATAACTTGAAATTGAAAACTCTTACTCCAACGAACGAACGCATGTAGGGCTTCAAAATAAACACAAGAGCACCTTTCTTTTAAGTAGACATACATTTGCATGTAATCAATGTTTCAGTACAACTACTTTGGCCTATTAAGGACATTTTAGTAATGGTACTGAAATGCTGAATGTCTGCAGTTGCACAACTAAAAAAATGAAGTGATCTGGTTAATTTTGAAGTTCTATGGGTGCACTATTCACTTTGAATATGTTATTGTGCATGAGTATGCAACCAGCAACAAGACTGAGCCAATACGTGCTCATTACACATATATATATGTAATGACATTTATGTGTGTATTATGCATATATAAATGTATATTACTATATGTGTAAATATTATAGGCATAATTATATGTTACTAATACACACATCAATATACATGCATATATATATATATATATATATATATATATATATATATATATATATGTGTGTGTGTATTACTGTCAGGATCACATCAATTTACATCTGTTACCTTTACCTCGTTTAGTGTATCTTGTCTTCAATTGTCTCCTTTTTATCTCTTACAGCGACCCTTGTGCATCTTTTACTTCATCCCAGTCCCTGTGTGTTTCTTTTTACCCTTCTCCAGCCTCTGTATTTCTCTTTCCCCCAGCCCCTTTTGTGTTGTTCTTAGCCCCAGCCACTTTGTCTCTTTCTCCCCTTCCAAATCTCATCTGTGTGTTTCTTTCTAACTGCAGACTCTGTGTGCCTCTTTCTCTTCTCCCATTCACTCTCTGTCTCTTTTTCCCCAGCCCAGCGTTGCCTCCCACAAATCTTGTGTCACTTTGTTCCCCTTCCCTACTGTATGTCTCTTTGTCTCTCTCTTACCCCTCTGTCTCTATGTACCCACATCCCCTGTGTCTCTCTATTACCCCATCTGTCTCTGAGTCCCCCCTTCTCCTGTGTCTCTCTATTACCCCTCTCTTTGTCCCCCCAGCCCCTATGTCTCTCTATTACCCCTCTGTATCTTTGTCCCCCCTTCCCTGGTGTCTCTCTATTACCCCATCTGTCTATGTGTCCCCCCTTGCCCTATGTCTCTCTATTACCCCTCTGTCTCTTTGTCCCCTCCCCAACTTGGTGTCTTTCTATTACCCCTCAGTCTCTGTGTCCCCCCTTCCCCAGTGTTTCTATTACCCCTCTATTTGTCCCCACTTCCCTTCTATTTGTTCCCCCTTCCCCTCTTTTTGTCTCCCCCTTCCCCTCTTTTTGTCTTCCCCTTCCTCTTCCCCTTCCTCTTCCCCTTCCCCTTCTGTGTCCCTTCTGACCTTGTTACAGGAGGACTGAGGGAGGAGGCAGAGCTAACTACCATGCTCCCTCGCGGTTCCCATAATTCCCAGCATGGACACATCCTAGAGTAGTGATTACTCTATGATGTGTAGATTCTGGGAATTATGGGAACCGTAAGGGAGCATGGTAGTTAGCTCCGCCCCCTCCCTCAGTCCTCCTGTGCTGACAGCTATGCTGCTGTCAGTATCAGTGAGTGTGCTGCTGGATCGCTTAGGCGGCCGCCCGGCACACTCACTGATACTGACAGCAGCATAGCTGTCAGCACAGGAGATGGGGCCGCCGGCTGCAAGGTGAGTAATCACCTCTGAGTGTGCCGCCGGACCGGCCACCCGGTGGCACAGACATGCGGCCGGCAGCCGCAACATTATTAAAATATGTGGAGCAGGCCTCCCTCTCTACATGCAGCCCCCCCAGGTGCTGCGGCCCACCGGGAAATTTCCCGGTATCCCAGTGGGCCAGTCTGGCCCTGCTGGCCAGCCCAGTCCCCACTGGACCCCAGGGAAGCTAACCACACTGCCAGATATACACAGAGATGCAAAATAAACCTCCCCCTCATACAAATAATACAACCCCACCCCCCAAAAAACACACACAATCTCTATAAACACAACACAACTGGCAATGCATGCATGCACACAGCCCTAATTATTCTCTAGGCAACTGCCTAATCCACTTCATGAGGACTTTGGCTTCAGCAACAACATTAACCAATTATGGGCTACAGTCTCTCAGTAGAGATGAACATATCTTTGGTAACTGAATAACAATTTCCAAACAATAGTACGTGTCAGGTAAGTGTCTCACATTGATGAAAAGTTAGTTACCATTCAATATATATTAGAATTATCTGTCAGCTAATTGCCACCACCAGAAGCAAATGGCAGAGATCCATAATTCCGTGGTGACTATGGTCTATCTGTCTGATTCCAATCGAGCACTGACTGCACGTTGACTTGAATCCAAGCATTTGTAAATGTGTGTTTAATTCCATGAACCTAATGGTTTCCATAGGAATAAAAGTAATTATTTGTAATAGTAAGGTAACTATTAGTAATAAGAACTAGCTTTACAAGATGAAGTGTTCATACAAAGGCTGATGTTGCTATGCACCCTTTTTTTTTAACAAAAATACAGACCCCTTCACAGCTCCTTGTCTTTCTTCCAGGGCCTATAATTTATTACAAGGATACAGATGTCACATTGAAACTCTAAAGAAAATAAATATTGCTGCATGAAACATAACAGGTGCTGATTTCTTAAATTTATAATAGAACAAATATATCCGTTTCCATCTCAAAATTGGTAAGAAAAATAAAATTGGTTTATGTAATTGTTCTCAACAATATGTTTTTCCAGACCCAATCAATATTAATTACGAGCAAACACAAGTAGATGAAACCAAAACATATTTTGCTTTATCCTGTACTGAATTTATTTTTGTATGAGTTCCTATTAATGCATAGCCCATCTTCGACAAAGTGTTGTTACCTCGTATTTTATAACAACCCTGACAAAATGAATCTCAAGGAATTGTTAATTTATTTGAGTCCATCCACAAGATTCCACATGTATAATATGAGATATAAATCTATCAGGAACTCTGTATAAATAACCTATTTCCAACCTAATACATATGTGGCATTTTGAGTAATAGTTTTGACTAATGAATGTATTATTTTCTATGTTTACATACTCTATGCAGGTAAGTATAAATCTTCCATTTTATTTTTATGTATTTATTTATTTTTCTCTTTATTTCAATCTACTTTTAATAGCCAATCAATAAATTTCAGATTTAGCCTTTCCAGGGGAGAAATGTAATATTTCTTTCTGACGTGATGATCTAACACATTGGCCGTGAATGTCGATCCATGCTACAAAAAGTTGATGTATATCCATATGTTAAATATCAGAAGACTTGCATGCCTGAAAGAAGCAAGGTTTGAATGACATTTGCCACAAAATATTTTGGCTTTGAAATTAGCTTACTAAATTACATTTCTGGGATCCAGTCCAGGGACATTGTAACTGTTCTTGTACTTTCAAAGTGCAGAGAAAATACTGTCCCATTATCTTCTCTCAGTGATTTTGAATTATAATAAAGGGGCAACCTTCATAAATGCTAATAAAAATAATATAATATCCATGCATTTCATTTTGAATGGCACATTGACTTCTAGGTTCTTGATTTAAAGATTTTAATTGTACTTGATTTATTTTATGAGAGCCAGTCAAATTAAAAGCAATATTTATTTATACAGTAGGCTAAATTTACTATACTGAACTCTATCAGGTATTTATTTTATCATATATTAATAAAAGGTATCAATATAGCCTTAAGGAGCCCCATCTCTGGAATTTAAAGGGATACTACAGGAATTTAAAGGGATTATAGGCATAACTTTAGCTTAATGAAGCAGTTTTGGTATATAGATCATGCCCCTGCAGTTTCACTGCTCATTTCTCTGCCATTTAGGAGTTAAATCACTTTGTTTATACAGCTCTAGTCACACCTCCCTGCATGTGACTCACACTGCCTTCCTAAACACTTCCTGTAAAGATAAATCTAATGTATAAACTTCCTTTATTGAACAGTGTGTTTAATTTAGAATGTCTTATCCCCTCTGTTAATAGCCTGCTAGATCTTGCAGGAGCATCCTATGTTTGATTAAACTTCAATTCACAAAACAGGATGTTAAAAACTTCTTAAGAAAGTTAATATCTGATTGAAAATGAAACCATTTTTTTCATAATGGTTGTGTGAGTCACAACCAGGGGAGGTGTGGCTAGGGCTGCATAGACAGAAACAAAACTGATTTAATTCCTAAATGGCAGAGAATTGAGCAGTGGGACTATAGGGACATTCTCTATACACCAAAACTGCTTCATTAAGCTAAAGTTGTTTTGATGCTTATTGTATTCCTTTAACTTTGCTCATTAAAACTGGCACTAACATCTTTGTCATTGGCTGCTCTTTCCATTTTTTTCTTAACTGGGCATTTAATGTCTCCACTTGCTACACCATTAGCGGGCAATGGTAGTATAAATAAACTTGCTATGGGCTATGTTTTCTGCTGACAGCAGCTATCAGCGCCCATTAAGTAACACACACAACAATTAACTCAAATGAAATCAATTAAACAACTAAGGAAAACTGCTAATGCACAGTGTATGTCACCTAAAACATACACATTTCAATTTCCATGCAGTTAGACAACTGCACATTAGCACCTGCACCTTCAAGTATACTAAATAAACTCTGCACAACCATTATCCTGTGCTTTATGTTGCACGAACTGGCTAAAGAACAGAGGACAGTGATGCACCGCAGAAATAAAGGAGAGATTTATTTTTAACTTGCGCTAAACAAGTTGGGCACATTGATCTTGATTTAGTGTTTTTGGATATGCTTTTAAAATTTTTAATATTTTTGAATAAACTATTAAAAATATTTCATACTTTGATTTTTTAATTTTTATATTTTGAATTTTTTTATATTGCAATATTTTTATATGTGATATATCTATATATATATTTAAAACAAACATTTTAAAATTGTATCCAAAAATATTAAATCATTTGAAAGCTTATCCAAAAAATAAATCAAGGCCACTGTAAGCACTGCATAAACACAACATATTTTTTAACTTATTTGACACAGAATTGAGAGTGTGATTGAGCAGTTAATGTTTTGCACAGGTGGAAAAATGTGACTGAGGGATTTGAGGAACCAGCAGCGAAGGGTAGTGATGTTGGACAAGAAGGGCAGACGGGGTTTCAGGAGAGCGGGCTTCTAATTGGTGGGTAAAGGGAGGGATATGAGGAAAGATAGGGGGGATAATAAGTCAAGTATTTTGCCGACAGAACAGCAGTGATCAATTCATTGGAGGGAAATAGCAGGGAGCATGGTCTTGGTGACAGGCATTAAATCAGCGTGGTTAGATTTCCTAATGCTGTTAGATTTCCTAATGCTGAGTATGTGGCCTTGGTCAGTAAGCTTTATCATGCCCAGAACATGGCCTGGTCAGTGATTTCTGTAATATTGAGAATATTGCCTGGTTTGTACCGTAGATGCTGTACCCTGTAAATATTTGTAACTATTACTTGCTAAGAGCCTGATCAAGTATACATCATGCACCATATTCATTAAGTTTATATTAATTGACTTTTGTTTAACATTTGGGTTCAAAGGTTAGACCTTAGACCCATCAATCATTGATAAATAACCATGCTATGTTTGTAGAACACTTGAAACTATTGCTTAAAATATATGAAGCATTCATAGAAACATAGAACGTGACTGCAGATAAGAACCATTTGGCCCATCTAGTCTAGTTCTCTTTTACCGCAGAGGAATTTGTGACTACCTTGAAGCATTTTGGATTACTCAGACTCAGTGCAACATTTTATCACTATTCAGACAGATACAACATCTCATTGTTAGTTGGTTCAGTGATCCTACAAAATACATTAATCAAGCTTATCACCTAACAATAGTATCATTGAGTGAATAAGTGACAGCTCAACATCATCTCCCTGCCAACACACAGCATGCTAAATAAAGAAAGCACCCCCTGAATTTACAGCTATATCCTCTGCCAAGGCAAACTATATGTTCTACAGCCAATATTTTAAAATACAATGATGGAATGTTAATAACACAGTTTGTTGGCTTAGTTAATATTCAATTTTCATTAAAAATGAGTTACAATAAGCAACGTATGTGTAATTAGTCAGAGTTCCTGTGCTGGAATGCTGGACAAATTTAAGAAATGTGAGGTTTATTTGTATTTTTTACTGTGATATAATAAACTGCATTTTAGAACACGGCACTTTAGAAAGACACAGTATAAAAAAAACGTGTGCTTACCGGTTTACATATATCACTGTGAAATAAAATAATGGCACCGATGGTGACAGTCTATCTGGTCATATGCATCAGATTTATTGAACCAGGAAATAGAAAAAAATAGGTGGAGAAATAGCTAAATATGAGAATTGTCCAATTTGTTTTGGAATTCCATTATCAATTCTCTATATAATCCATATCGAGATTTTGGTAAATTGTCCAGTATTTGCCACACTGCAAAAATTGTTCATGAATAGTTTAAGTAACATGACATAGAGTTTAGGATGTTGCCTTGGCCTCCAAATTTCCCACATTTCAATCTGATTGAGCATGTGCCTGAACAACAAATCTGATCCATGGAGCACCACCTCGCAATTTGCAGTACTTAAAGGATCTAATGTCTTGTGCCACAGGACACGTTCAAAGGTCTTGTGGATTCCATTCCTCGACACATCAGAGCTGTTTTGTCAGCATGAGGGGAACCTACAAAAGATTAGGTGGTAAGTTTTAATGTTGTGGCTGATCAGTGTATATCACAGCTGGTCTAATATATAAGTCAGTGATGGTAGGTTTTTGTTCACATCTCGCTATGATAGCTCTTTATTTTCATTTGGGTAAGACTGTTACTTTTTAAATAATTATTGCTTACATTTTCCTAAAGCAAGAATGTTGGATTCCCTGCTGAGAGAACAGACCCCTAGACTACTGCTTCTTTTGTCTATCCTGCTCTCTGTAATGATGCAGTTAAACATTAGACAATGAAAAGTATATGTGGAACTGCACTCACTCCCACCAATCATAGCCAGGGTGCTTTCTGAGCAGGAATCAAACACTAGATTTCCAAACATTAGTAAAGTAATAGAGGTTCAGGTACTCCTTGGTTCAAGACTGGCACTTTATTAGGAACCACAACAGCAACGTTTCGACCCCAAAAGGTCTTTGTCAAGCAAGACAAAGACCTTTTGGGGTCGACCTTTTGGGGTCGAAACTTTGCTGTTGTGGTTCCTAATAAAGTGCCTGTCTTGAACCAAGGAGTGCCTGAACCTCTTTTACTTTGCTAACATTAGAGAATGGCATCTGTTGTGTAGATTTAGAAATACAGTCCGTAGTATAATAATATATTTGTTTTTTATTCCATTTTGAAGAGAGAAATAAAATGTATGTAGCAGACTGTAAGCTTGAAAGTGGGATCCCTAATCTAGCTCAGTGCATGCTTTCTTTTTTCCACAGTGTGTTTAATTTAGAATTTCTTATCTGCTACTCTGTTAATAGGTATTTTGTTACATCACATGCATCTATGCGCTGTCTACATATCTAACCCATGTGTGTTCTATATAATGCCTCTTTTCTTAATGAAAAAAAACACCTTTAACAGTTTAAAACTACTGCAGGGAATTGTTGTAGTGAATTATGTAAATATCAGTACACATCAAAAACTGCCAAAAATAATATTAAATCCATTACAGTCAGCAAGTTGTTGGCATTGGAAACGGACCTGCAAAATTTAGAGCCCCGTAATTCTTTAAATAATCTCAAGAGCTACAAGGTGTTTATTTGTATTCTTTTATATTGTGACCTTTAGTTAATTGGATGAGTGTTCTCAGTACACCATCCTGATGTGGAACAAATAAGAGCTGTACGTCTTACAGGCTCAATACAAAAATATTTATTGCAGCTGTATCATGCAAATATAGGAGGAATGAGTTCCAAGCCTTTCCTATAGGTGGCAGTGATCTTTCATCATACAAGGATGTGTTTTGTACAGCAAAAAATACTAAAAAAATTAGTAGGTGTCTGGGCGCTTTGGATTTAGTGATATTGGGTGTGTATAAAAAGTTTTAGGTGTTTCCCCAAGCACCTTAATACACACAATAAATAACTTGTAATGTCAAACACTACCAAACCTATATAACACCCAGTGTTATGAATTAGAAGGTAAAATATACAGTAACATATACTTCACAATGGATATCCACTGTAGGGAAGTAGTAGTACCACTCTTGGAATCAACAATAAATAGATACAACCACACATAGTGTAATCTGTACAATAACAAAAGAAAGTGAGTAATGATAAAGGTTGCACTCACAAGTGTAGAGCCGTGCCAGGCTCTATATAAGAAGCATTAGGGTGCCAATATTGGCTTTCGATGGCATCTCTGCAGGCAAACTCAGGATATGTTCCAAAAAAACATAATTTATTAATAATAAAATATTAAAATACCAAAAAAGAGGACATATATAAGAAGTGTGTAAAAGAAAATACATATATACACTACCGCAGTAATGTTCAAGTCCTTAAATGAGAAAGAATAAATTGCAAACGCGTTTCGACTGGATCCAGTCTTCTTCAGTGCAAAGGTAGTCTGTGGGAATTCTGCTTTGTATTTTATATGTGTTCCATTCAATCTTGGAATTCAGTTCATCTGTTCCGATGCCGGTCCTTTTCCTGGTCACGTGATTTTCCGTGTTGACTTCCGCTCATTTCTGGTTCACATTGTCCCTGTGTATATTGTACCGGAACCATTGTAACGTCCATATTAAAGGTGGGCAACAACGCCCTAAATATAATACCATGTCTAAAAATGCAACAAAATAAAAACTAACACACATAAGACCAATATATAATATATACAAAAACTCCTATATTTCATATATAAATATGGTGATGTGTATAAAACTGTAACATGATAGAATTACATTAATAATAATGGACTGATAAATACATTTATCTGTAGTATATTACCATATTGCTAGGGGCCCAGCAAGGTGAATATAACTATTGTATGAGAAAAAGGTGACTATACACAATTATATGAAAAAATAAGGAATATATTATTATAAAAAATGAGCAAACTCAAAATCTAAATTTTAGCCGTTAGGGCTAAGTGTATCTAATTCAAAAATCCATTTGCTTTCCACCTTGTGTTTTGTACCTAGTGTGTTGGTGTATACCATGCTTCACAGTACCAGTAAAGGTATGAATGTGTTTTCAAAAAGATTGCTATCAGGTGTTAGTGCATGAAAGGAATCCACTGAGGTTTATTATGCAGCAAAATAATTTTCTCCTGTACATAACCTAGTTTTAGTGCCATTAATTTGTACCCTTTATTAAAATGTTAATTATGCATTAACTTGCTAGCCATGGATCCATCATATAAATTACTCACATGTGTAGATGGCATTTTTAAACCTGCGCCATCTGTGCCGTAATTGTTTTATTCATCTATTTAGCCAGAGTACAAATTATCTCTGTTAATTTAATTTATTTTAAAAAAAATTACCAATATATATTGCAGAAATGTACAATTATTTTTACCTACAAAATGCAAATTACTACCAGACTTTAAACTTTTATCATTCCCTAAATCCAAAGAACCCTACCAATATCACACTATTCGGTCTTTTATCTCATCATGCCCATTGTTGTTTGGAACCTCTAAGGGGTAGAGATGTCGCGAACTGTCCGCCGAACTGTTCGCAAACTGTCCGCCGGCGAACAATAGCGTGTTCGCGTTGGGCGAACATATCCGATTTCCGGTCCGCCCCCTATACGTCATCATTGAGTAAACTTTGACCCAGAACCTCACAGCCAGCAGACACATTCCACCCAATCAGCAGCAGACCCTCCCTCCCAGGAAGTGTCTGCTGACTGTGAGGTTCCAGGTCAAAGTTTACTCAATGATGACGTATAGGGGGCGGACCGGAAATCGGATATGTTCACCCAACGCGAACACGCTATTGTTCGCCGGCGGACAGTTCGCGAACAGTTCGGCGGACAGTTTGCGACATCTCTACTAAGGGGTCGCATAGAGAAGCTGGGATCATATGCTGGCTCTGGCTCAGGACTAATTGTGATAAATAAATGTGTGTGTAAAATTGCAGAAACACTGGAACACATGTTTGGAAAATTTTGAGATTTAAACAACAACCATAAAACACAGCTCAGCTGTGTACTCTGCAACCTTTGGTCTGTCCAAATGCTTTGGAACTCTTCTACAAAAAGTATTGTACCACTGTTAATAGACTCCATCAGTTTATCCTTATTGAAACATGTCTGTCCAATTGGTGGGCTGTGGTATGGATGAGGCCTCTAATTTACACACCTCTAAATAGTTCTGAAACAACATAAGGTGACAGTTTTTATTTTGCTTAAATTTTTTGCTCCATGGCATACATTTAGTTCTTGTGACTCCTGCAAAATATTAACTATAATATATTTTTTTCCCTAGTAATACAAAGGGTTAAATTACTCATAGCATGATCATAGAAAAGGTACAAAAAAAAACCACTTGAATGTTTTGCGTGACGGCACACTTGTTACAGGCCTTGTGCGCACACAAAGTGCTGTAGAACAGAGAGGCATCAAGTTTGTAGCTGTAGATGTGATGACGGCCTCAGAGTGTACAGGGAGCACCTGCTAGCTTTGAGACTGGAGAGGCTGCGTAGCCAGCAAACGAGCATAGTCTTACATACATTTCAAACAACCAGGGACATATGCCACTGAAAGAAACATTCCTGAGGGCACTTGTTAACAAAGCCATCCCAAGAGCCGAGAGCGAAGTCACGCTGTTCAGTATACAGATATAAAAGGCTGGGTTTGTATAAAGAATGCAGGTGTTTGGCAGATACAATAATCAAAGAAGATAACTTGGAACCTCAACATTCTATTCAGTGGTTCTGTGTGGTTTCTAAACCCTTATGGTGGGAAATGACAACTTCCGTCCCTCCAGCTGCTGAGGATTGCAATTCCCATAATGCTCAGTGCACAATCAAAATAGTATGTTCCTGTCAAACCTACCATAATTTGTCATTGCGTGCAAAACCTGTGAGCAGTATATATTTAAAAAAGTGCCCTGTCAGTGTCAGGTAGTTGAGAAATGCATACTTTTTTATAATGTTAAAAATACAGTATTTCCTTATTAAAGTGTTACGAAGGATAGTATTTGAATACCAGTTCGTTCGCTTTTTTTCTGAACTACTAGTTTGATTTTGGTGTTGGCCCCATATTACGGGTGGAACAAAGGTAGTTGTTTTATTTAAGTAAAGATTTTTAAAATTTAGCGTAGAATTTTTCATTCTTGACAACTCGAGGAAGAGTGAATTTTTCCCCATGTGTAGGAATGTTTTATGAATGACAAGGTCTCGTTAAACTGCTGCTTTCTGATTTTTCACCAGAATGAGACTACAGATTTTTACACAACATAAAGCAATATGATTCCTGCAAGCTGTGCAATTTCACCACAACATAAATGCAATATTTTTTAATATATACATTTATCAATCCACTACAACCTTGTACACATTCATAATTTCACGCAGCAATAGACTTATAATCGCTATTCGCCTTGTACGGAGTACCCATGTTTATGGTCCCCAAACAAGTCCTCAGCCATCCTTGGGGTCCAGGGCCACCCTTTCCCTTGCCATGATGTAATTGATGTGACGTGGTTTGCCGGTTGGTTATATAGAGGGATCAGTTTAAGATTATGATGCAGATTTTTTTAGATTCTGCAGCCCATGAAACATGTTCATATTAATGGCATTTTATGCTTTGTAAATGAATGCTAGGTGTATTATGACAGACACATTTTAAGATGTACATTGTGTGAAATTAAATCAGCATTTGATAGAATATTGCATCATGTGTGAGATATTTATTATAATAGTATTTATTAGTCCAGAAAATTTCAAGGGAGTCTTTAGCATTGTATAAAAGACCACAAATATGCAAGAAAACCCGTTCAGCCAACACAAAGGAATTAATGCCTTTAAATGATTTTAAGGCATGAAAATAATGATTTCAATTCCAAAAGACAATTCTGTAAAGGTTATCATCTATTCCCTATATTCATTCAGAACGCCCCCGTGTCCGTATTGACCATTAACTTAACGTGTTCCGGTGATGATTAATGAATATGACATTACAAAAAAGTCTTTCTGAAATAGTCATTTAAAGGTGATGGATGCAGTTATGGTTTTTCTTAGATAAATTAAGCTTATGGCAAGTATGAAGAGAAACCTCTTCTCAAATAGATCACCTGGCTATAAATTAGGTTCTGTCAGGGTAGCAGACTATTTTTGGAAATTCTAAAGGAAGCTGCTATGCAATATTCTGGATAATAAATGGTAAGTTTATCCTAAAAAATATATTGAATTTCTCTGTGTAACAAGCTTTTTTAGCTGGCCATAATTTTTTTACTGCATCATACTCTGCCATTGGTGTAATCGATTTATGGAGTATGTAAATGATGAAATTTCCATTAAAAAATTCAACTGTTTTCCCTAAATGTTTGAAATTCACAACAAAACTACTTAATCCATCAGTAAACATATACAAATTTAATGTCCTAAATCAAGACAATAATTTTGCCAACATTCAACTACAATGTCAGAGAGTTACAATGGGTACAGAGAAAAGCTTAAGGGGTTACTCTGTCTACCTTAACTTTAGTGCTTTGAAGTGGTCATGGTGCTCGGATTCTGTATGCACAGCAATTCAGAATGAAACCTCAGACATATAGAGATAATTTGTTTTGCTGTTGGAGGTGTTAGCTCTCTGCTAGCTACATCTACAGGGCTGGCTAATGTCAATTCTGTGCATCAAAATATCAATTATCAGCACACATAGCATGCAGGCAACAGATGTCCAGTGGTGGAACCGGCGCCCTTCATTCCACCCTAATTTTTTATTAAAGCTCTGCTTTTTGTTTGAAGTAGCCCTTTATTACTTTGCTGTATTGGAAGTTCCTGCTTAGGTCTCAAGCAAATATTGCCTCACTTGGACCACTACAACAATCCTATGCAGTAAGAATATGAAACCAATCCCACCCTCAAGACAGTCAATGAATTGAAATGCAAGGTAGATCCCTTCTGCATGAGAGATCCCAATCCAAATCCAAACACAATATCAGCTTCTTAGGTCTCATCACCGGGCATTGATAGATCCCTAGGCACAATGAGCAAAGGTTCCATATCTAAACTGTTCTTTAAGGAAACCCTAATATTATGCAAACTGGTTAGATATTGGGTGTAAATAACATTTACCAAGAACATACCAAAACTTAATGACTTGCCCTATGGTTAATCCTATCAAACAACGTTCTGAAACAGGTATTGGCAATAATGTTGGTTTAGACATAGTAAACAAGTTGATTCTAACAGCATATCCGTATTTTGAAATTATAAGGTTAAATTACATGTTACAAGTATTTACACAATATCGTTTAGATCTGGGACTTGTAATAAATTAACAGGGTGCACATTTAAAATACATTTTTCATTTTCTTTTTCAAATCTATACAACTTGTAACATTTTTTTAGATTTGGATAAGATTCTTGCTTAAATTTTATATTCCATTTGTAAAAACTACTTAAACATTTTTAAACATGCATTGTTAAAACCATCCCCCTCCACTGACTGCTTGCAAATTCTATGAAATAGTTGGTCAGAAATGTAGTGCAGCTATTTCTTGCATCACACTGTGAGTTAACCTTGACTTTTAAACTTTTTCAATAAAGAATATAAATGCACAAAAAAGCTCTCTCCACGCTCTTTTACTTTGTCCCAGCAGAGGTTTAATAACTGTCTCAGTTAGTGGTCAAAGTCTAACCACTCAGAGTTTGCCTGAATACAGCACTTACACTATGCCCTGACACTTCATCTTTCACCATTATCGGTACAAATGACCATCTCTGTCATACTCTACAATAACCGAAAAATAACTATTTGGAGCTTTATGTTGATAGATGAACTGCATGGATTTGTCAGAGGTACTGTATGATGGCTAGTGTTATGAAGAGGAGGGTAAACTGCAGTGACCCTTGAAGGTATATAAAGTAAAAGTGGTGACCGAGCACTGATAATTAATACTGCAACAATTGATCGGCTTGTCCTGAACGATTAATGAGATGGGTCAAGTGCTTAGCACTCAACACGGTCATCTGACCCCAGGGCAAATAAAACATATGACCTTTGATAAAATATCCAGCTGTGTTTCACTTAATGTGACAAATAATTTGTAATCCAATATACAGACTGATCTCATTTTTACACTTAAACAACTAGAAATTATTCAGTCGAGACAGGGATATATGGACTTTTGTGCTGCATAAACATCTAGTGGATGGGGCACTATTGAATTCACAGGCACAGCCTGCAGGGCAGAATGGAAAAATATCAAATGATCAGATAATACATGGCATTAATGAATATACAAATAGTTGGCTTCAGTCTCCCTGAGGGGACTGAATGGAAAGAACCTCTTTGTAATGTATCTGTTGGGAAACGTCATCTAAACTGTGTGGGTATAGAATCATGGGGGGTGGATATGTACCACAGCTGGGGGTTACCTGCAGGTCTCCCATTCTGAAATGTTTCCTTAAAGAAAACAATAAAAGAAGATAATGATGGACCAGTCTTAATCTTTTGGTTTGGGGTACCTTCAAATTTAGAAGAACATACAGCAAAAGCAGAAGTTCGAGCCAGAAAATATTCTGAATATTTAATATTTTCCGCTTAGCAGGTACATATTCACATCACAAAATAAAAAACAATATTATAAAGTAGGAATAAAGGTTAAGTGGTGGTGATAAAAACTGTATAAGGAGTATGCATATTTAGCGGGTAGTGAGTGGTGTTTACTTACTTTCAGGGTTACTCACTTAAGTGTGAATTGTTGGAATTTTCATGTGAATTCAAATTTTATGCCAAAATAACTGAACTAAAAAAGGTTCCAAGAATTGAGTTTGGCTATTTTAGCCTAACAATCTAAAGTCGCTTTGATATATCATAAAGACTTTTCTGGCAGTTAAATTAACAACACAAAACATCTTTTAAGCCAAGAGTAAAAAAAAAAAATATTGAATGTCAGAAAAGTACAAACAATATTGCCATAGGCAAAGTCTGTCATAATAGGGGAAACAGCATAATCCAAATAAAAACAGGGCCACTGCAAAAGCTGTTCACAGCACACATCTATTTGCAGTGACAGGTCTTGCAGTACAGAGTTAAACGCATCCTTTATCTGTCTAATTCTAATGTAGACCAAGAATTCTGTTTTCGGGATGAAAAGGAAGCAAACCAAATAAGCATTAGAGACATTATCACTGTTCAGTTTATAAACATGTTAGTCGCACAAACACGCCTATCACTTGTTTGCCGTGACCAACCAGTTCCAGCACGGAGTGAGATAAAGTTCCTCATCCGATTAGCTAAGCACATCAACATGGCAGTAGTTTAATAAAAAATAAAAAATAAAACCCTCTTCATCTAAATCATGTGTCCTCAAACTCTGGCCCCCCAGATGTTGCTGAACTACAACTCCCATGATTCTCTGGCTATCTATGTAATTCAAAGAATTATGGGAGTTGTAGTTCAGCAACATCTGGGGGGGGGGGGGCAGAGTTTGAAGACCCATGATCTAAATAAAATAAAAAATAAAAGTTTTTTTTTTTAAATTGTGATGAAAAATATATTAATAACATTTTCTGGTAGATATGTATATCTCTTTAAACAGATTGTAGATTCACATTAAGCATCAGGTATGGAGTTCTAACAATCTGTGACTAGTGCTCAGCATTCCACTGAGATATTTTATTGGCAGTCCTTCTGCTGCTAGCATACATTATTACCAGAAATATTGTGTGAAACTAACCTGAAGTCTTTACTTTACACAATATGTTATGAGGAATAGGGTTCCAAAAGGCATGCTAGCCAGATGTGTAGTTCTAGAACAGGTGTGTCCAATCAACCATGGACTGCCTTCGTCAAACCACAGGCTGAATCTCCCATAATTCTCGGCTGACCTTCAGCAAAGATTGCATTCTGCACAATTATGTAGCCAGGAGGGAGACTGAAGTTGGAAAGTTCTGATTTAGAATAACATTTCTTAGGAAGTAAGATTTAGACCTGAGTCATATACAGTTTACCTCCATCAGTTTTTATTTATTAACATTTTAGAAGGGCTGAAGGCATGTTTTTGTAGGGAATATGTGTGTATGAAGGTAGTAATGTATTTGTTGTTGGCGTTTAAATGCAGGGCTGTACTTGTGTATTTTGATGTTGTAGGAATGCTGGGATGTATAGACATATACACATACACTGTCACACACACACATACAGGTGCACAGATATACACGTACATACACACTGAACCACACACACATTCTGATACATACTGATGTCACAGACACATATGCACACACACACACACACACACACACGCATTGATACACACATAAGTGATTATTTCCATATTTTTAGCACCCTCCAGTTTCAGTAGCTTTTGGGTGCAGGAGAGTGGCTTCCCTAGGGTCCAGTGGGACTACTGGTTGAGACTGGTGAGAGTCTGGGGCTGCTGGAAGTTTGTCCTTCCTTTTACAGCAAAACTGGACCCATGGAGTGTCCCTAAATGTGAGGGACACCCTATGGTCCTCCCAGATTGTGGCCCCGATGCAGCCATATCTGCTTCACCAGTTGTAGTTCCGCTGCTGGGCACAACTACTTGACTAATTACAAGCATCAAGGTAAAGGTAAACAGGAAAAAGAACAACAGGAAATATAAAATCCATGTTTTTTATTTACCCCTTAGGACTATTAAAATGCCAACACGTAACACAATACTGTTACCATACTAGGAATGAAGAGCATTAAACAGTTCAAACATCAAACTTAACAGCCACCATCTACGCCGTTCCTCTTACAACTTCATCAAGACAATTAAACTCATGCAAGCTGTACTGGTAAAATGTGATTGCATGTCCACAAATCCCCACCACTTCAAAAATTTTATTTTTTAATAATTGCAAGCATCTACACATTACGGAGCTTTACAGACTGCTATTGCAACCAGAAAAAAGGAAGTCTTATATTGAGCGCAAAACTATCTCTCCTTGCTATGTACTAGAATGCAACAGAGAATTTAACCGACATAAGCTGCTGTACAATATATAGAAAACCTGCAGTTGCTGAATGGGCAATAGAGGAAAGAACAAGGTATTTAGTTTTGTATTCCATTGCTTTTAAATGCAAAACAAAAGTTAGCCAATGTATTCTTAGGATAGAGAGGGAAAGGATTAATTAACTCAGAATTTTTACATGATCAAACAATGGACTGTTTCGAATTTTGGATTTTAGATTACAGTATAAATAAATAGGTTTGTTCGATTATAATGACTGTGTTGCATGATAATGATTGAAAATAATTGAAAATGTGAATAAAATCTTCAGGATAAGCATCCTCTAATAAGAAAGTACTTGATATATTCAAATAATCTGTGACAATTCATTGACATTTAGAGTTTATTTATGTTTGTTGATTTATATAAATGATCTAATGTATGTTCAATTTATTTATCATTAATAAAATTAATTATCTTTTCCCTTCATTACCTGTTAGGATGATGGTTATAACATACAAGCTTGTGTAGTTTGGGAGACAAAATACCACGATGGGCCATACAAATCTATCTTCATTTAGTATTTATTAGAAGCCATTTTATTTTGAAAGTGAGTACTTTACGCACTGCAATATAAAAACATAAACAAGGAAAACACTTGCCAAGGACAGACAATGCATAAAATATTTTACTTTGGTATGATGCTCTGTATCCTGTTCCCCCATCCCTGCTGACTAATTATTAAGAGCAGAATTGCACTATGTTGAGGTAGAGTTTTCAACAGGTCAGGAAAAAGGAAGGAGCCTCTCTCCACAGCTGAGATCATACATTAATTTCAAGCATTTTGCTGCAGTTCAAAGTATCATTAAAGATCCATAATATATTTACTATACACATTTAACAAACAAAATGTACTGTGTATTATGGATGAGGTGTCAAGGGGAGTGTTCTACTGGTTAATCTGTACCTCTGGATCTGACATTAAATTGTCAAGCTGACGAGCAGAAACTATTCCCTTTTATTACTGACACAATTTTCTTGAGTCTCTTTCTGGATCTACTTCATTAATCTCATGATTGCCATAGGATTATAATCTGTTTATGGCCTGAATTTGTTTGTGATTTAGTCTAGAGACGTATTATTTATTCTCATACTAATAAATGAGAATTTAATGATTTGCTTATTTTGTAGCCATATGACGGTACATATTTACACCATATGCCATGCTATAATCAATTCTACCTTTGTAGAAGACCTAATCCTTGATTATCTTGTCAATATAAAAGGCTATGTGTGAGAATATAATTAGATCGTAAGACATTGAAACCTGGTAAGTGTTAAGTTTAGCCAATGACAAGACTTTTTTCTTTAAGGAGATACTGTAGGCACTATAACAACTTTATCGTATTGCAGTTGTCATAGTGCCTGCAGTCTTGCACCCTCTGTTCTACCCCCCAAAACCCAATATAAAACTAATTAAAAGGCTTGAAATTGTGGTTTCCTGACTGGCATACCGTAAAATACCTTGATGATACATGCTCATGAGCAGTAACCTCACAGTCGGCCATCGAGAATACTGGAATACAATATTTCTCTATGGAAGAACATAGGTGTTTTGTGGCATGCTGGTACCGAACCAATAAGGGTCATAAGGGCTGTAGCATTAGGAAAACAGATATATATTTCAAATACTACAGTATTCCTTTAATGACACTCTGTATTGTCTCTGAAGCTGACTGGTATGTTATATTGTCCACTAACATTTGCACACCAAACGTCTTCATGATATGGATTTCCTGCCAGAGTTTTTTTTAACTAACTCAACTGAAAACTTTAGATCATATTACGTTATCATGGTTGAGTAAGTAAAGGACTCACATGTCTGTGAATTATTGCTTTTCAAAAACTAGCTGTTGTTTTAAAAATAAGAAAAAAAACACCTGAATAATTGAAAATGACATTATTAAAAAAAAAAAAAGAATCCCAGTAATACTATAAACAAAAATGTGACTGCTTAGCCTTGAGCTAGATATGTCATTGTGTGATCATGTTCTGAAATATTACTTTATTCTCAGTGGTATATTGTATGTGTCTTTCTGTGTCAATGTACTGGTCTTCCAAAAACCTACATCCTTTCTTCTGTGTCGCATTATCAGGATGTCCTCACTCACAAAGCACTGTAATTCCAGCCATCCACACCTATCAACTTCAGGCCAATAAATGCCAATAACTAGATATAATAAACCAAATGTATGGAGTCAACAATAGTGGCGTACCAAACGCTGCTAATCCCTGGCATAGACCATTTAGTTTGAAGCTGTAATCTACCAGTCTGTATGTGATTTATTTCACATGTTTGCTAGTTAGAAAAAAAAAAAGGTTTTAAAACAAGTTTTGCAAGTTAAAAAAATATATATACTCCAGGTAAAAGTGGTATGAAACTAGTTTTTTTTTAACGTAAATTTATTTTATGATGAAATATAGTTTTGCCTAGTTTGGTATTGTGTGAAATGTAAAATGCATTCACCTGTCTTACAAACACTATAAACACTAACGTATTTATTTTTAAGAACTCAAAGTGAGTTCAGACATTATAGGCCAAAGTAGCCAATTGATAAGATGGGGGCTTGAGAATTTTTCCAATTCCGCTATCTTGTGCTAATAATGAAAATTCCCATTAAATTCACTTTGAATTCACACATTACTGAATAACGATGCAAGCTTTCATTGTAAACAGAAAGGGAAATAAAAGATTGTCAAGCAGTATTATCAAAGATTTGGAAGGTCCCTTAGCTCTTCCAAGTCAAGAATAAGACATGGAGATATACACCAAAGATTAATGAAAAGAATATTACTTGAAAGTGCATCTGGAGTTGGTTTGTAAGCTATGAAGGAATTGGTTTGGTGTAAAACCCAAAGATAAAAACAATATTACTTTATGAATTTCTCTAGAAGTGCATCTGGAGGTGGTTTGTGAATAAAGCAATTGTTTTGATGCAACATCTTGGCATGGATCTGACTTAATTTCTTTCTTCTTTTTAAATATACTTCCAACTTTATCCTTATACGTTTTTCATACCATTGCACTTTAAAATAAACATTTTAGTCTCTCTTTTATTTGATTGCATTTTATAAGAAACCATTAATGAACAGTTTGATGTACTACCAGTTTGATGTAACTCCAAGTGCATGGGCATGGGCATCTAACTGAACAGCAAGTTTCTTCACCGATCATTATAGAAACTGTAACAGCCTCATAATCACTTTTCAAAATGATGACTAATGGGCAATCCTTCTATATAAAGATATTTTTTATATAATGCCTGACGTCCGATATTGGAGGAGAATTCTAAAAATGGAGCAATCAGCAAAAAACATTCCATTAGTTTCCATAGTTATTGCTCCAGTTTTAGAACTTTGCCCCAAAATGCTGTAACTATATATCCTGCAGTCCTTATAACAGCCATGACGTTGCCTCCTTTGATACCTGTTGATATACCAATTTCCAGCTTAGTTTATGGTTCTGATTAGATGAACATTTCTGCTAATCAGAGCATGATTACAGTTTAATACTTGTAGAATAAGAATACATTGAATGGATAGAAGGCAGTTTAACACCAAAATCAATCCTTTAAATACTAGCGGATTAGCAATGCATTACGCACTCTTTGGCACTCAGCTGGTTACAGGGCATCTTTTTGTCCTCTTTTAAAAAAAATCAAACTGTAAAAGCATTATATGCTTATGTTATGGGTAAGAGGGCAGTGGGGCTACCAAGAAAAAGAAGGCTTTTATCTGAAAGGAGATTGAAGCTAAAAATAACAGCAGCTGCCCAACCAAGTGACATAAATAATGGCAAAAAAAGAGTAAGTGCCCAGCCGATACCATCTGCTTTCATCTCTGCAGCGCAGCGTTGGACGTGCAGGCTTGTAGGGCAGAGTACATTTATTCTCTTACCAGAGATGAGAGAAGGAAGGGATATTACTGAGTTTGACACTTCTCACTACTGTTATCATAACAAGCTCATTACATGTTATTTATATGACACCTATACATAATTAAAGCAAAAAATATAATTTTTAAATTTATTTTTAAGCTCTCCTGCTTGTAAAGAGACATGTACATCTTTATAACAATACATTTATATAAACTACATATGCTTGTTTTAATTAGATAAAATAATCAGAGATATCTTTTTAATTATATAAATCCGCTTTTTTAGTTACACTTTTACAACTATTGTGTTCGGTGTGTGTCTCTTTTTCCCTTTCTTCATGCCCTCTGTTTGTCTCCTTCCCCCCAGCACCTTGTCTCTGTCCCCCAGCTCCTCTGTGTGTCTCTTACTTCCCCTCAGCCCTTCAGCCCCTGTGTCTTTTTCTCCCACTCAGCCAATCTGTGTGTCTCTTTCTTCCCTCCACAGCCCCCCTGTGAGTCTCTTTACCCCCTACAGCCCCTCTGTGTGTCTGTTTCTTCCCCATTGCCACTCTGTCTGTTTCTTTCTCCCCCCCCACAACCCCTCTATGTGTTTTTTCCTCACCCTAACAGTCTTCCTATATGTCTCTTTCTCCCTCTCCCACAGCTCATCTGTGTGTCTCTTTCTCTCTCCCTCACAGTCTCTCTGTGTGTCTCTTTCTCCACCATAGCCACTGTGTCCCCCCCTAATACTATTGTGGTCTCTTACACTCCCTCCATCCCTGTGTGGTCTCTTTCACTCCCCTCCTTCCCTTTGTGGTCTCTTTTACTACTCACTATCCCCCCTGGTGTGCCTCCTAACCTCCTTTTAGAGTGGCCAAGTAGACCTCTGTAGAGGATCTTCTGTATCGTCTTCCCGATCTGATAGGAAGCTGTTAGTTGCTCTCAGTAAACACTTTCTGTCAGACTGAATAGAAGATACAGAAGATGTGAAGTGACCAGCAGGAGGGGGATCACGTGATGAGCGTTCACCTGCTTCTGGTCGCCCGGCGATAGCACCCCCCCCCCAAGGCCGGTGCGCCATAGGTTGCTGCCTGTGCAGTCTTGTTGGATGTTTTGTTATGTGATTTATCCTATTGTTCTCTGCCCCACACACACCTTTTTTATATTAAGTTGCAGGGCCAGATTAATATAGGGGCAGGTGGAGTTCCTGTCCCGCAAAACACCGCACTGCACCAATCAGCATCTTAAATCAATGCATTTCTATGGAGAGTGTACTGCATCTCCATGCAGAGCGCCAGTGATGCACATTGTGCAGCACTGACCCAGGAAGCACCCCAATTGGCCATCTGAGTGACTGTTACTAGAGGTGTTACCAGGCAATAATGTAAACACTGACGTATCACTGAAAAGGCAGTATTTACAGTGCACTGCAGGGACAGGACATTAAGCTGTAGGGACTATAGTGTCCCTTTAAAACAGCAGTTTCCAACATGTGGATCTATTTGTCTGCTGACAGCCAAGAAGATTTTTCTCTGACCAGTCATGCTGCCACCATGCTCTTTTATACTTGATCAGTTTGCAGTCAGATTTTTGTAGACATTTCCAATCCTGTGATATTCACATTCCCAGATACTCTCTCAGACTATTCAGTTCATGGAATTTTGAAAAATGGTTTGAATTCTATTAGCTAAAGAAGACATCTGTATTTAATAGTTTCAAGGTTCTCATTGCAGCTAAGGATGCCGTCAAAACTCTCAATCAATACACTCTTCAACAGATCATACAATAGTCAGAGGAAATTTTATTTTATCGCCGTTTACTACATTTAGTTATGATTTTATATTCTATTAAATATTAATATACTTATGAACACAACATATCAGATAGGGGAAGTATAAAGGAAAAATGAAATGCCGTAGGCCCCCACCCCAAAAGCTGCACATCTGACTTACATAATTTACTGTTATTATTACTTTAGAAAAATAAACGCTGCAATAGTCTCATATAATCCCCAACACTGGTGTCCCATAAAGTAAGACGCAGGTTGGTAGGTTATATAAGGGGCAGGGCAGTGAACTGAATCACATTACTGACTCCACCTAAAGGAGGGGGGGGGGTCTGTCTGAAGAATGGGCATATCAGCCTGGCATGAATGCACTCCAGATTTACTGCTAATCCTGCACGCTGGGCCACTTGAAGGGTGGACCACGCAGAGAGATGTGTTACACCATGCTGCATGGTCTTATTGCCCTCATCCTACTGCGAGCACATGTACTGATGTCCTCAGGATACACTTTCTGGGGAAATTTCAATCAAAAGCGAGACACAAAGTAACAAGACCCTACAACAGGGACTATTCTGCCAAAATCGGGATTGCTAAAATGCATGATCTTGCAACACAGCTGCTAGCTATCCTGAATCCAGTAATTTTAGGCCCCAGACCTGCTACTCTCATTAAGTGCAACTGCCATTGTTGTTTCTATAATAGTACGTAAGCCGTGCTCCATGGATGGATAACATTACTTACATGCCTGTAGGGCTAAATATCATCTTGAAGTGCATGCAAGATTAAATAATATAGCACTTTCATGGCCAACAGCATCACGAGTAATTCAAACTTGGCATACCCAATGCCACCACCTCCTGTGCCTATGCCACTGGGATAAAACAAAATGGCAGGAAAGGCCTACTATCCCTACATACCTGGTATGGAATCAGGACGGGTAGAAGGGTCATCAAAGAGTCATTGCCCGCTCACTGAAGGGGCCTGTCGGCTGGGCATCAAGCACACAAGGCTGACAGACAGCATTGCGGCTACGTCACAACCTACAGGACCATTCAAAGTGCACAGACAGCATTGCGGCTACCTCACAACCTACAGGACCATTCAGAGTGCACAGACAGCATTGCGGCTACCTCACAACCTACAGGACCATTCAGAGTGCACTGATTAAGTGCTCTCTGCATGATCCTACTGCCCACTGCACAGTAGCATGATCATGTCTCATTATGCAATCATATTGAGTTGTCCAGGAGCAGTTTCCTGGTTTCCCCGGATGTGGGACATTGGGGAACACAATCGTACAATGGGAAAGGATCACAAAATTGAGTCCAGTCCGTTCTTGGAGATGTTTTCACAAAGATTCAGTTTTATTCCATGTCCATTCTTAAACCAGAAAACAAATTTTGCTTTTTTATGCGTTAAACTATATTCCTGTAACTCAAAGATTGAATGTCATGTGTGTCTGTATTTTACTTCCTTGTCTAACTCAATGTACACTGACAGAGCTATTTCAGAATAAAGTAATAATGATGGACAGTTCCTGGCCATGTGGTGACAGATAAGCCTGTTTAAGTTTATACACTTCATTCCTGTGTAGTTAGCTAGTCACATTATTAATCGGGTGATATACATCTGGAAACTGCACAGGCTATTTTTCATGTCATCGAGTAAACTGACCCCCTCCAGGATGGCAAATGGATTGTTTATATAGTATCTTATAATAGTTCCTAGGCGTTTTACACATAAACTTCATAGGTATGCAATAACATTGCAGTCATATAGAGATGTGTGGGATTCACAACTGTGGTCAAATAAAAGCAATGCAAACTGAAGTGAATAGTATGTTAATAGTAGAATACACCAAAACCAATCAATTTCATTGTTAAATAGCCCATGGTGTCCTATAGATTGGTACATTAGTCACAACATTGGTCACATAGGAGCAACTAAAGAACCAAAGCGCTAAATGTTCCCAGCATAATTAATGATCCCAGTCAATCCAATGCTTTCAATGCTTTCCTGTTGGAAAGCATTGTGATTGTTTGAGATCATCAACTCTGAAGATGTCAGCCAAGGAGGTGGATCATGTGTGGGGCCAGATGTGAGTAAATCACCTTTCTACCCCAAGGTGAGGGGGGTCAACCACCAAAACAGTGGTTTTAGAACTAAAGTGTCTTCAATACATGTGTTGCTGACACTATAGTGCCTCTTTAACTATTTTTATTTTTTTAAATGGATTAGGATTATTATACTCCTCCTGTATTCTGGGTAATTTTTCGTTTTTGTTTTATATTTTAGATGGGGCAAACTATCCCAGTGCTTGAGAAACAGCAATAATTTAATTTACTAACTACTATTTCACAAAACACCTGTCCATCCTTCTCTAAACTATATACTGCCCTGTCTTCATTTTCAATATGACAGTGAATCATTTCACTTTTCCTGATATAAATGAAACTATGAAGATGTTTTAGAAGAACATTAAAAGCACTTGGTCATTACCCCCGGCTGCATACTACATTTTGCCTAAAGGCACGAAGAAGGCAAGACAACACACAAAGCTGAATCCTGCTTGCCCTAAGACACTTGTCCCTGGCCTGTATAATTCAAACATTGTGGCTATTTTAATGAATATACTCAGAGGTAACCTACCTTAAAGAGCCTCATCTTGTTTAGCTGTGTGATAAGAACCAGTAGAAGAAGAAGGAGGAGAGAAATCTTCTACCTTGGGGTCTTTCATTTATGTTCTTGGGAAAGGAAACAGCAGTACAGTGCCTCCAGTATCGCAGATTTCTATTCTCTGATCCCTTGCAGGCCTATGACTGAGTACTGACCAGAGGTTATATGCCATATCTTTAAAGCTTTAGTCATTATTAGCATTGGCCTACACGTGAACTGGGACAACAGAGCAATTCACGTTTTCTGCAGTTTAACTGCCAAACATGAGATACTACAAAGATTCCATCCACCTTGAAACATGGGTCAAGCCACAAATGCACCCTCGCCCCCCACAATTGCTTCTTTAGGGCTTACTTTTTCACACTGACCATCAAGGAGCTTTGGGTAAAAGTCAGTCTGCATCAAAAGACTGTCAAGCTTGTTTCAAAATTGTGTAAGTTACAAATTTTATACTTGAATATTAGTGAACATAGTGAGTATGATCCAACTTCAAACAGAAGGCTTGAGTGGGTGACCTGCAATGACGTTCCTTCAGCCAACTTCAAGCGTAGATTAAATCTTTAGACTAGAGTGGAGAGACCACCCTGCTCTTTAATGAATAAAACAATAGTTTGCAGTGTTTCAGGGAAAGAAACAAATCTATATTGAAAACGTGGGGGGGATGCAGATAGCCGTATCATATTCCCATATTTGTGTTTCGCAGAGAAGCTTATTTATCTGAATCCCAAAGGAAAAAAAAACTACTTCACTACAACGTTTGTCAGCAATATCTTCCATATGCCTCGGGTTACTTCTGATCCTTCTGTGCTGTAATCAAATGTCTACAAAAACCGAAGTCACACTGAGAATGAAGTCAGGTGAGATTCTGCTTACTCAGCTAACTCAGCAACTAGTTCTAGAACGATAGTTCTATTTAAGCACCAGCAGAGTAATGTGGCATGGTAACTTCACTCCTGGGTATAGAGTTATATACGTTAACCATTTCTTGACTTGATTACTCAAAAATAGTTACAAAGTATGGTGGGCAGACTACCCCGTTAACCCTTCATTGTTTATTTTCACAAATTATTTTATTATAGCCCTGCTCTGTATGTGTCTACATTTAAATATAAGGTAATAAATAGGAGTCATGTGAATTAATTATATTTTATATTTGCGGTGTACGTGTTGTATAGTCAAAATAGTTACTTAATTCCAGCAACAGTATAATAAATAAAGCTATAGGCTATGAAATTACCTAAAATTTTGAATTATTATCCATTCATCACCTAAATAATTACAAAATTGTGTATTGTGCCTGTACCACATCAGGTGTTAAATATACAAAGCACAGACTGCATATTTTATTTGCTTATATAATCTATGTGGTTATTTTCAAACATTACTGTTAAATTCTGCTGTGAAAATGGAGAGAAAACAAGGTGTGATATAACCTTATTATGACACTTGGACCTTTAGTCTTGTGATCATTAAATTAAACTGGTTGGCTTCTGTCCCATGAATGTCCTTCTCTTAAGCCAGTGTAATGCACAAATGTTTACTGTGCATGTTCTATTTATATATCTGGTGTCCTTGATCCCGAGCCTCCTTTCTGACCATTGCTTAGTGGAACTGTGGATGTATACTAAAACATAACAAGGATTTCTTACAAAAAAAAACAAAGCATAAGGAGTTCTGCAAAAAAAAGTGTTTCATAACTGAAGTTTCCCTCTCCCAAAATTTAAGTAATTTTCCTCTTGATATAGACGTGATATTTCTACTGATGGCATATTCCTTACAATCCTTATTATATCTTGAAAAGTTTTCAACAGAATGTATTTTTTTCTTAACAATGTCAACGCATTGAATTATAATTATTAAAAACCAACACAATTCATTTATCTTAGCAAATTGTGTACAATCAGTTTTTAACCTATTTTTTTAAATATAAAAATAAAAATGTCCAATTACATCAATCCAAATTTAAGGAAAAAAAATTAACAAAAACACAGCAATTAACCATCTGCAATAACAAGAACGCTGGCAGTGGAAGAGAAGAGCGAAAGAAGTTACAAAATGTGTAAAAATATATCAAACTTTGAAAAAGGAAAAATAGAGATGTAAAAAACGACATGTAGACTCTACTATTGCACAGCTCAGTGCTCCTGTCATTTATGAAATCCCCATCTGTACTTTTGTACAGTATTGTAAACATACTGAGTATGAAGAAGGCATATGTTAATATAATTATTCAGTTATTCTTACCTTTCTTGGTACATATTGAGTCGTGTTAGTTTTGTTGAAGGTACAGGATAGATGAGACATTGTCACACTGTCCATACATCCCAGACAGAATATGCAGGTATCTTGTGATATCTGAATTCCTGGGAAGTTCTGCCACAAATCTAGAGTAAGCAGTGTTTACATAAAGCAAAGCGATGTGTGGGGGTAGTGTGAGAACAGACAGGTGGCACAATCTCCGTAATACTCAGCCTTCTCACTACACCAAAGCAGCCCTCTGGGCTTCTTGGCATTGCCTGGATCCCTAGTACTCAGAATCACACACACACTCACACACACACACACACACAAGTACATACACACTCTCTACGACAAGTACAATTCTTTAAACGGAGGAAATCTCTTGCTGGGCGCTGGGAATTTTAAACGGACATATCTTTTCCAGCTAAGCTTTCACCATCTGTTCTCTCATATATTGGTAACCCTAGAAACCTTATAAATCCCAAGAATGTGTGTTTTTATGACTTTTTTGGATTTTTGTTTTAGAGGATTTAATATTTAATTTTAATGCAGAGAAAAAAAAAAAGATTTTTTTTTTTTAACCTCCTGTGATAATACCATGAATAATACTAATAAAAAAATGCGATCAAGAAGAAAATAGCTCTACAAGTGCATCTTATATTAAAGGAAAATTATTATTAATTTTTCACTCCTGCATTTTCATTTTTAATTTTACATCCTGACTCTATCCACGTGTGTTTAATAAATCCACTATGACCGTTCTAATATGAGTATATATATTTTAGATTTGTGCATATGGTTTCTCCTGACTTGAGGTTTTTATTTTTTTATTTTGGGCAATCAATGACTTGAGAAAGTATCTAGGGACATAGGGTACAAGGCCCATAATTGGGCAAGGCAATGCATTCTATGGGTAATAGGCACAGAAGGTCTGTGTGCACTAAGTGTTGAAAAGAGATTTTTATTTTTTATTTACTCCTTGTTAGTATTCATATAGCACCAACATATTCCACAGCACTTTACAATCAGAGAAGCCTTACATTCTATGAAGATTTTAAATACTTGGGTTTATATCTTATTATAGACCACTCCTATATACAAAGAGCCTATAATACATTTGGTTCCCTCCAGATGTTCATTAGAGCATATATAGAGTAGCCACGCTACATTTTATGTTTTATCGATTGTGCTTCCCATAATGCTTAGCTATACCGTGGAAGCTATTGGTGCCTTCCTGGCCACACCATGGGAGTATGGCACATGACGTTATAGGGGCACCAACAGATCATCAAAAAAAAAAAAAGTTTAGCTATCTTGTACATATTGTTATCAATAAGACACAAATCCCTTTTATGGTAAGACTTTTTTTCTGGTTTGAAAACAGTGTTCTAAATCATTATGTATGCTAATTGATATGATTTGTATATACTTTAGCAATAAGTTGAACTGTCAATGTTATTTGCAGGTTACACTAGATCCTTCAAGAATTACCTTCTACATTAGAACAATTCCTCATATCATATTTCAGCAAATATGCCATTATCTTTTGGGCAGGGAAATATTATGTTGAAAGTAATGAGGAATTTCATGGAAATAATAAAATATAGATGACGTCTGGTTAGGCTGTGTGTGTGAATAGAATGTTTATATTTTGGTAGGTCATCCAAGTAGGATCTTCTAGCAGAGAAGGCTGTCACTCTTTTTGATTGATTACACATCTGGCTAGGCCCGTAGTCCCCCTCTTGGTTCCAAGTTCTAAGTTAGTAGCTGACATTTAAATAAATCACTATCATCATGCTGGTAACACCTGACACCCAAGTATAGAAAAACATTTTAAAATATCATGCATAGCTATGTGGAGTATTTTCCATATTTTATTTTATTCATATGACATAACTATTGTTTTAATGCTAGTATTATTTTAATGATTATCACTATAATATGTTTCAATGATTGTTCGGATTGTTTAACTCATGTTATTTGCTGTAATATACAACACAACAAATAATTAGGTTAAAAGGAAAGGACAATTTATAAATTAAACGTACATAAAGCATTATGCAAACGCCATACCTCAAAACAGTGAAAGTGGTGTTTACATTGCAAAAATTGAAAACTCTGAGGATTCGTCCTGGATGTAAAACCAGCACTTTAAACAAAAATCAACAGTAAAAACATACAATTCTGCATATAGACACACCAAATGAGCTAGAGGAAAAATGTTATCGGTTTGATTTGACACATTTTGTGTAAAATGTAATCATAACTCATAAATCCACTGCGCTTCATTGTATTATTGTAGAGTTAGTGTAGTGCAAAGGTTAATGCTATGTAGTGTTAGGGATGGTGCAGGGGTAGGGTTAGGGGTAGAGGTAGTGTAAGCATAAGGTTAAGGGTAGGAATGGTGTAGAGTTTGCGTTGACAATCAAAAATGAATTTACATCTTTGACGTATGAGGCATGTAACTATCAGGATTGATAAGTGAATCTATTTTGAGTTATGTGGTTGCACTAAATGTGTAAAATTTTTATACAATTTTTTTTCATACTTAATGTTGTGTTTGGTACACATAGAAGATATTAAAAGATAATCTTTTTATTCCTTTAGGAACAACATTTAATATGTGTGGGTTCATTTAATGTGTATGGGTGCATTAATATATGGGTGCACTTATAGAGAAACTCTTAAATTACTGTGGAACATGCAGATATCACAAATTCTAGGTTTTCTTTTCGTACAGACGTTGCACAATTGCCACTGTCTTTAAGGGGTTAATATGTCAAAAATTTTCAGCAAAAGATAAATGAATATATAAATAATCTGTAAAAAAAAAAATGTTTTTCTTAAAGGGACACTATAGTCACCAGAACAACTGCAGCTTAATGTAGTTGTTCTGGTGAGTATAGACAGTCCCTGCAGGCATTTTCATGTGAAAAGGCAGTGTTTACATTGCTCCCTAGTGTGCACGACTGACATTCAGCATCTCCACGCTCTGCATGGAGGTGCTGAACTTTCTTCATAGAGATGCATTGATTCAGTGCTGGCATTTGGCCCCACCCCAGTCCTGCCTCCTTTCCAATTTCATCCAATCCAATACTTTCCCTTTGGGAAAGCACTGGATTGGCTGAAATAATACGTTCTGATGATATCAGCAAGGAGGCGGATCGGGGGAGGGGCCATCACTGTTGGACCCACACTGTCCTGGAAATAAGGTAAGTTTAAGGGAGTTAAGGGGGGGAGGGGTGGGGCAGGAATACATGTGTTCCTGACCCTATAGTGTTCCTCTAAGGCAGGCATCCCCAAACTCCGGTCCCCAGATGTTGCTGAACTACAACTCCCATGATTCTATGAATGAAATAGATAAGCTGCAAATCATGGGAGTTGTAGTTCAGCAACATCTGGATGGCTGGAGTTTGGGGAAGCCTGCTTTAAGGTAACTCTGGACAGCGATTTATACATAAATTTGCTATTGTGCTCTAACTCTATATGCTAATTTTACAGCCTTCATTAAAAAAAATATAATGCCAAATGAAAACATAGTAGTAAAATGTTGATAGATTTTTTTCTTAAAAATGTTTTAAATCATAAATATTAAAGGGACACCATACTCACCAGAACAACTACAGCTTAATGTATTTGTTTTGGTGAGTATAGTGTGTCCCTGGAGGCATTGTCATGTAAACACTGCCTTTTCGGAGAAAAAGCAGTGTTTACATTGTGACCAGGGACACCCCAGTGGCAGTCACTCAGATGGCACTGAAATTTCCCCATAAAGATGCATTGAGTAAATGCATCTCTGTAAGGAGATGCTGAGTGTCCAGCACGACATTTTGCAGTGCGTGCCCATTGGCCTCTTAAAGCTTTCCTATTGACAAGCATTGGATTGGCTTAGATTGTAAATTCTGATATCTAAGCCAAGGAGGCGGATCAAGGCAGAGTCAGCGCTTGCAAACCCATGCTCTGCTGCAAGTTTTAAAGGTGAGTGTTTGCGGGGGGCAGCAACCTAAATAGTTTGTTTTAACACTATAGGGTCAGGAATGCACATTTTATCCTGATCCTATATGAAGGCAAATGGCATTATGTTATACACAGATTAAATGTACAGTGGTACAAGCTATGCTGTAGAAAGTATATGGTAGCAGTGAAGTCTGATACTAGCTTTATTTGATAGCCAAAATAATGCAGACGTGTATATTGCGGCAAGTAAGAAAAGAGTCATCATAGAAGAAGAATCGTTAGTGGATGATATGATAGGAAAGAGGTAGAGGAGGGTAGAGAAATTAGGTCTGTTAGGAAGCCACAGTGTCAAACTTGGACTTCCATCAATCCCAAATACTATGGAATGCAGGGGTAGAATCATGCTTGTCAAACACTCCACATACATTGAAGTATGGATCCCTGGTAAGCTCTGATTGGTTGTTGTCTTCTCTAGTATCTAGTGCTAATGCATACTCTGTGTTCACTACTATAGCACTCCGTGTTATCAAATGGCATACCTAGTTCATATTTTCAGGTTTGCTTTAAAAGTGCTAGATTTTAAAGGGTCACTATAAGGAAATGAAAATTACAATAAATAAGTAAAAAATTATTTAAAAACTGGATTAGCATTTATTTAAGTTGTATTTATATTTTCAAAGATTTTGAACTAGTGAATGAATTATTTTAAGTAAACAAAGAAAATGTATGTGGTTTTCCAAAATCTGGTAAAACCATTTTTAGTTAAAAGTTTAACCCCTTAAGGACCAAACTTCTGGAATAAAAGGGAATCATGACATGTCACACATGTCATGTGTCCTTAAGGGGTTAAACTGTTATTGGCAGATTCTTAACAAATCAACAAATTAAAACTCCTTCATAGTTGTATATACTGCATCATTTCCAGTGTTTTCCATACCTGTTCTGCTTCTGCAACTTGCTGCCTCCAGGGTCAGTTTGTCCACTGTTACCTGTTGCTTGCTTTTAACCTGTTTTTATATTTCGGAAAGGAGGAGAAAGGTAGGAGGTGTCCCCAGCAAGAAAACAATGAGCAGTGTGCATCCTGGTATTAAAAAAGGAACAGTAGGTATTTATACATGTAATGTTACATATACCTAAGTACCTGTCTACATTTATTATGTACATCTGATAAATATTATGACACCAGTAAAAAAAAGCAAACATCAAAATATTTTATTATCGTTGTTAAATTTAGGAAAAAGGCAAACAATATTGCCATTTTTGTTTTTATTCAACTACAGTGAACCCACATATATACACATATATGTTCTGTTTTATTTATTTTCTTTTTTCAGAGCAGATATGGATTTCTTTATGGTACTATTTTTATTACACATTGACTATTCAGAAAATGTGTATTTTAATATTAAAAGTTGAATGAATTCATTTTGAAAGTTTGATTTCTGCGTCAATGTTGCACCCCCCGACTTGCTGAACTCCCTCACCTACAGTATCTTACACCCATCTGCTGTTAACCGGTAAGCTTGAAAAAGCAGGAACCTCTGTACCTGTGTGCAGCTATGAGCTATGGTGCACTAAACTCTCCATTTTTACCAGAAGTGGGAAACCCGTTTTGGTCTGGGGGACAATTACTAAACAATAGCCCAATTTGAGAGAAAAACAACACACGCCTCTCCCTTATTTTATATTAACTGTTTATACTGATGCTGGAATAACTAAATCATTACAATGAAAGACTAAGGTTGTATTATATATTTTAGTATAGCAGCCCAAAATTATTTCTATTCCTGCAGCCAATTGCAGGCCTCCCATTCCTCCCCTGATTTGATCACACACAGTCTCTCATATGGGGAATTTCCTGTTTTTTTTAATGTAGACATTCTAACACCAATCTCTTCTCTATTAGAGCTAATATTTATTGCATTATTTTCAGTGAGTTTCAGAAGGCCTGTTATATAATACTGCTACAATTAAAAACAAAACAACTATGAAATATGGTGAAAAATAGTAAAGGTATGGCAATCGCCATGGAAACCATCAGGCACATTCGATTTGTGACTTCTGCCCTTTTTCATCTGTGCACCACATTTCACAAGACACGGATACATTTCCTGTACAGTTGTAACAGTTTTGCACAAATGGGTCTGCCAAGATCAAAATAAGGATTATTAACGTGTGAATAAAAATAATATGTTTCATTTTTGCTTCTGTTTCGTGTATCACATTTTGACCATTTGATTAACCTGGCCTATTTGTCACTCTGAAACACACCATCTTTTATTCAAATATTTCCTGAAATTTTACAGTTTCAAATGAGTCAGCCATGGACATCTCTCACTGACTTTTCACTGCTGTTAACTTTTGACACTAATTCTGGTACTAGTTTTTCTTCATTTTCACACAAATTACTCCAGGCTATGTTTCAGGGTATGAATTTGACCCATCTATTTGTGTGGCTTTAATTATGGGAACATTTACTACATGTGCTTTACAAACTCCACAATTTAATACCTTAGTCTTTAGATCAAGGGTAGTCAACTTTTTATTACCTTATCGCCCACCAGTGCAGCAGTAATTAATTTTATAGCACAAGTGCAAGTTTTTCTTTTTTCTATTTTTTTTTAGAAAGGAGTTTTTTTTTTAAATATGAGGAGTTTTTTTTTTAAATATGAGGAGTTTTTTTTAAATATGTATTTAAATGTATCTTATATTTTTTCTATTTTCTATCCTACCTTTTTTTCGAGCTGTGTGTGTGGTGTACTGTGTGTGTCTGTAAGCTGCAGTGTTTGAGAGGGGTGCTGTATGTATGTGAAGAGGGCAGTGTGTGTGTGAAGGATGCAATGTGTGTGTGAAGGGTGCTGTGTGGGTGTGAAAGGGCTTACAGCAAAGCTGGCTCTGCATGGACCGGCAGGGGAGATGAAAGGATCTCCCCTCCCGGCCTTGGTTCACGGCCATCGAGGCCCACTGGGCGTTTTCTGTAGAACCCACCATTGCCCACCTGAAATCCCAAACCGCCCACTAGTGGGTGGTAGGGACCAGGTTGACTATTCTTGTTTTATATAGATAGTTTAGCAGCGCACCACTTAAACTTAACCTATCAAAAGTATACGTTTAATTATCGTAGATACCGACTGGCAAGGAGTTTCAGCAGTTTTCTTGCATTCAGTTTTTCTTCTGGATTTTATTCACAGCTAATATAGGAAAATACTCAATTTAATTTCACTACATATAAACAATATAGCATTACCCCATATATAATCTTTATAACCTAATCTGAGAAATTTCCATTTCTAAACTTTGTCTTTTTTGAGCACTATAGTTCTTCTTGTGAAATGACCCCAATAAATGTATGTACTTTGAAAAGTGGATGCTCCAGGGTATTCCACATAAGGCACTATACCCCTTTCATATTGGAACATATGCCTCCTCGTCAAGTACATCCATATCTACAGAAAATCTTGATAATTATAAAATGAACTTACTATATTATATATTTATACTTAGGCCTCCATTTAATATATTTGGATACATTTGTGATTTAATATTTTTGGCTAAAGTTTGAATATAAAATTATATCAATATATCAAAAAATATCAAAATATAAAACATTTTTTAAACAAAATATTTAATGATTTAAAGTATATCCACAAAATGTTACATCATTTGAAAAAAGGGTATTCAAAAATATTAAATTGATGCCTTAGTTACTAATTCATTAACATACTGTATTTTTAAGGTATTTTTCTGTTTATTTATTGTATTCCTAATCTAGTAATTCCCTTGATTTGTCCAATTCTAATCCTAAAATTAGTAAAAAAAAACAAACAAAAAAACCCATAAATTTATATTTAAAAAATCTTAATGAAAAACAAAATTCATTATCAGTACTGCTGTAGTGCCATTCTTGATAAATTTACAGCATGTTGATCAAATAATTAAAACTGATGTCATATATAACATTTCTTGGTGGAAGACACTGTTGTTGGCTTGGATTAGTAAATATACTTACCAACAAGCTTTCCCTCTACTCCCGATTATTATGACACACACAGATAACTTTATATCTTTACAGTAAGGTTACCCATGACATAACAGTAGATCATTTATCTTGAAGGAGGTTAAGAAACATTTAAAAGACCAGTAGTCTCCCTTGTTTTGGGGCAAATGTGATGAGCAATTGCTTAAATCTATAAATTAATGTTGTGCTTAATAAAACAGATACTAAAATAGCAATATTCTCTCATACGACAAATATGTATCTCTCCAGATTCCTGATTGCTAAATGGCAGAATTGGCTTGGATCTGTCCTTGAAAAATGGAACTCTCTCATGAAAGTATAGACAACCAAATGTAACTGATAAGCAGTTTTAATTTCTCCCTTAAAGTATTTTTTTTTAACAAGCTTGACTATTATTGTACTTGAAACCTATAGTCAAATGTAAGGCATACACATATAACCTTGTAAATTACACTAGGATTAGTATAATTCACAGGAAATTAAGTTCTGCGATGCTGTGTTTATCTATACTAAGCTTAGCATAGTGTACACTGTATACCTTAGTGAAGTTAAGTCAAAGGGAAGTTTTTTCATGTACTTTCTCAGAGAGTCCATCAAACTCTCGTTAACTGCCAGATTTGTTTGACATTTACCAAAAAGATCAGACGTTGTTAAGGCTGTATATATACACAGACAAATTAATGACATAGCCCCCTTTTCCACTGAGTATCATGACGCTAAGGTAAAATATACTAGTTAAATTCTGATGATTCAAAGAGTTCAAATATCAAATGATTTAGGTAAAATAGAAAAATGGTCAGAGCTGTGGCAACTGACATATAAGTGTATAAGTCGAAGATAATGCAAAAACCCAGAGGCAGAGTATAGAATATTTGACAAGTCCTATCCTCAACATCTGAGGAAAGGGATTTAGGAGAAATTATTTCAGATGACTTAAAGGTAGGCAGACAATGTAATAGAGCAGCAGGACATGCTAGCAGAATGCTTGGTTGTATAGGGAGAGGTATTAGCAGTAGAAAGAGGGAAGTGCTCATGCCATTGTACAGAACACTGGTGAGACCTCACTTGGAGTATTGTACGCAGTACTGGAGACCGTATCTCCAGAAGGATAATGATACTTAAGAGAAAGTTTAGAGAAAGGCTACAAAACATGGATTACAGGGTAAAACATATCAGGAAAGGTTAAAGGATCTTAACATGTATAGCTTGGAGAAACATTTAAATACATAAAGGGAATCAACACAGTAAAGGAGGACAGTATATTTAAAAGAAGAAAAACTACTACAACAAGAGGACATAGTCTTAAATTAGAGGGGCAAATGTTTAAAAATAATATCAGGAAGTATGACTTTACTGAGAGGGTAGTGGATGCATGGAATAGCCTTCCAGCTGAAGTGGTAGAGGTTAACACAGGGAAGGAGTTTAAGCATGCATGGGATAGGCATAAGGCTATCCTAGATATAAGATAAGGCCAGGGACTAATGAAAGTATTTAGAAAATTGGGTAGTCTAGTTGGGCTGAATGCTTCTTATCAGACGTCACATTCCATTTTTCGAAATAAAATATTAAACATGTGAGATCATAAATCACTGAAGAGTATATATGCATTCTGTTATAATCAAGTAATTTCTTATTTGCAGTTTTTATACACTCTGCAGTGGATTTTTAAACAACTTTAGGATTTGATCGAACAAGTCAGAAGCAATTGTCTACAGTATGGTATAGCATATATGTCCTGATACTATGGGACACTATACCATGAGATAACCAGTCAGGGTTTTTTCACTATTTCCTGTCTTCAGGAAAAATGGACTCTGTACTATGACAGGGCATGGAGGTATTGTAAAAAGAATAAAAAGAAGGCTTTGAGTTCTCTAACAGATACATAATAATGAAACAATTTAAAATACACATAATAACATAATTATCCTTTGATATAATATTGTGTTCACACAAAAAGTAAACAAATCAAAGCATACTACAATAAGAGAAACTGCTATGTTTACTTTAGGGTTAATCCAGCCTCTAGTGGCTGTCTCATTGACAGCCGCTAGAGGCGCTTCTGCGCTTCTCACTGTGATTTTCACAGTGAGAGCACGCCAGCGTCCATAGGAAAGCATTCAGAATGCTTTCCTATGGACTGACTGAATGCGCGTGCGGCTCTTGCCGCATGCGCATTCAGCCGATGACGGGGAAAGGAGGAGGAGAGTCTTCAGCACCGAGGGAGCCCGACGTTGGAGAAAGGTAAGTGTTTAACCCCTTCCTCTCCATCCAGCCCGGCGGGAGTAGGACACTGAGGGTGGGGGCACCTATAGAGTATGTTTTCCTGGCACTATAGTCGTCCTTTAATTTTAATTAAAACAAACTTACATCTATTATATTATTTATTTATTTATTTATTTCATTCTTGGTTAAATTATTATTAATGCCTTGTGCATCTTTTCATATACTATATCTCATTACCCAACTCTGTTTTGCTCATTTTATTAGTGGAAGGGTTATAGGCTGAAACATGCCATTCACCCCAATATTAAATCAATAATTATCTATCCCAAAGCAAAGGGGATTGGAGATGGATGAGTAGAAGGCTCTTGGATATTTAAATTTTCAATGTAGCCTTCTCCTTTTTAATAATGGGAGGAAAGGAGGGCAAATGATCAAGTCCCTCCAAATTCACTGCAAATTCAAATTCCCCAGCAATGCGTGAGGGGTTATAAAATATATGTTTTTCCAAATTTTACTTATTATGAAAAAAAATTCAATAAAAAATTAAATTCAGATTAATTGAATTTATTTAATAATCTACACTTTGCCAGTGACATCCTCCTGTCTGCTGCTTGTACCCATACTGCTAACTTGCACTTACAGGACTCCTGTAGAGCAACCTACCTACTCCCATTAGACTATCCCCCAGTCTGCAGTCATTTAAGAAGTTCCTTACAACCCTACTCTTCAGAATAGCTTGAATAATTAATTAAATGCAATCTATTTTGTTAGTTGTTATTCTGTGCACATTTTAATGACTCAGGGATTTAAATGTGGACAATATGAATGACTGAGCCCTGCATTAGGAATATTTTGCACAGCGCTTGTGCATGGTTATAAAACAGGGGTTCTCAACCCAGTCCTCAAGGACCCCCTACCAGTCCAGGATTTAGGAATTACCCTGTTGTGTCTAAAGTGTTTGTCCATCCCCCCCCTAAAAACACATTAGACACAGCAGGGTAATCCCTAAATTCTGGACAGTTCGGGGGTCCTTGAGGACTGGGTTGAGAACCCCCGTTATAAAAGGTAATACATTCACAAACAGGCTGGAGTAAATGGTGGATGGGACAGCAGTTGGAAGAAAGCATTGAAAGTAAGAAAGGCTAAATAAATGAAATACTTTACAACACATACATTACTGTATAGGATAAAAAATATTTCAAATTCAGCCTTTTCCTAGCTTGGCTGTATTGACTTAAATTTTGTAATTAGGTTTTAAATACAAAATAATTCAGGGTTTAGTAAATAAACCTTTAAGAGATATGCGCCTTTGATGTTAGCAAGGAATCGGGTATGTATCTATTTATATTAACACATGTATCTTTTATTAGGACAGGTGTTTTGTAGTTTTGTTTGAAGTATCTGTTCAACAATCAAACAATTTTTGAGGACATGCAGTGTTTATAGATCATTGTATCTATCAGTTTATATCTCTACACTGTATAAGTGGCCAGTAATTAATTTCAACCTGGGTTACCTGTGTCCCAGGAAATGCAGGAAAAACGCAAACTATTACAAACATTGAAACCAACTCAAATGGTAAATGAGTATTGTAAAATGAGCCTTGCCACTTTACAGGTAAATCTGGATACTCTGCCTCCAGGACACATTTCCCAGAGGGCTGTAACATTATTTGCACATATAGTTAATACATATAAGTAAAAACACATTTTGTAAAAAAACAGTTTGGAATTGAAAACAACTTAAAGCCTTACTAGCATATGGTTAGCAGTAAGTGGATTGATTGTTAGTGCTTGCACATGTCATCACACAGAATTTAATATTAGTAATTCAGTAATAAAAAAGAACTGGTTGGAAATCTATATACTTATCAAGATCCCATATATTATAAAATGTATTTTTATTTACTCTTTCAGTGAATTTCAAATTTTATACTAAACTAGCCAAACTTGGAGAAGTTGGTTATTTTATCCTAATTTGAAATTAATTTTGAAATCACCTTGAATTCCCAACAATTCTCACTTTAGTTAATAACTGTGTTTATAATTTTTAAGTGTTCGCATGTTTACATACACACAAATCTATCACAGTAATATTTATGCTATATTTACAAACCCACATTAATTTAATCAGATTTTTTTTATATTTTATAGATCAAGCTGTAATGAATGATGTTAGAAAAACAGTGTGATGACAACTCAAGCATCAAAGGCCGTGTTTATCAAAGAAAAACAGGTGCAATTATTGGGTAAAGTTCTAAACCAGTATGAATCACTATGGAAACTAAATGAATACCTCTCTGCATTTAGGGACATATATACTAACCAACAACAAGAAAAAAAATATTAACTGCACATTAAGGGTCACATTTTTCATTCTGCCATATTTATTTGCCCGTTAAACACACAACCTACCGCCCCCTCCCCCCCCACATATTTAGTGCAATGGTGACAATAAGATACACATACTGTTCTTTTTTTGTTTGTTTTTTTACATTCTTAATTTTTTTGGTGCAAATAGGGAAGTACAAGCATTTCAAGACATTTCAGCCAGAATATACACGTTATGGGTTCTTACAGCCTATTGCTGAAAATGTTGAAAATACTGCACCTTTTATATAATAACAGAGACAAGTATAGTGCATTTTTGTGGAGCAAGAAAAATAAAACAAAGACATAAGAGGCAATTATATGCACTTAGAGTAAACTGCACTGCCTGTGATAAGTATTATGGTAAAACAGAACTAATGTGGGTTTCTATGAGCAGATACCGCTGGCTAAGCTAGATTTACATTTGCAGGCATTTAGTAGAGCATATTTAATCAAGCTAGTATAACAATTTAGGCTAAAAAAACACTAGACTGCAGATATTGCTTGTAGGAACCTCAGGCGATACCGTGTGGAGGTGAGTCCCAGCAACCAACGCCGTCAGACACCCCTAGACGGCTCTTCCACCTGATGCCATTCTTCAGCCTGTCCGGCAATGCACTTCCCAAGATGCCAGTCGCGGCCTTTTGTTGTTGCCCCTCGGTAATGTATGTCCAGCGGCGTGATGCATCGATCGCAGAGTTGGGGCTGCTGTGCACTGGACAGGATGACAGGCGAGGTGGGTATTGACTGTCCCGGGAATCAGAGCTGTATAGAACAGTCACCCGCTGGAGTGGTTTCTCACTCCGTCTTCTCCGCTGTGAGCCTCTGGGAAGCCATGGAGGTCGCTTGTTTGGGCGAGGTTGTCTCCGAGGGTCCTTGGCTCGACCATTATAAATGGACATAAGCATACGGTAGCCTGGGCGGTAAGGCTGATGTACCTCGGGGTGAGTCCACTGCTCAGAGCTGGTGCTGGGAGTCATTATCCCCTCCTTGTTCTCCAGTTTTGCAGGCAAATCCAGATCTTGTGGCCTGGCTTGTATGCACCTCCAAAATTTGTGGTAAATTTGCTTGAATTTGGCCTCAAAGTGCTGTCTCCACTGCAGGACCTCAGGGTACTCTGGAGGCTCTGGAGGTTGCATCATGGGGGCCATCTTGGACTCATCGAAGGTAAGTATTTTTTACCAGCAGGGACCGGGATGTCCCCCACTGGTTCAAACGGGAGGGGCGGGGGGGACTACATTGCAGGGCTTTAGAAGTGTAGTCATCCCTGGCAGACCTCGTGTCAGGGGATCGTCTGCCTCCCCCAGCTGCCAGGCCGCCTTCCATGCTAGGCCTCATAGCCAGACCGTTGCAATTTTGTTAGAAATAAGCGGTTTGCATTTCTTTTTGTTGCTGCTCATCTCAGCTTTAAGCCAACGTTACTTCTGAGTGTTGGTAGCACAATTTCAGGCTGTAAAAGGCAATTTTAAGCTCATTGGAGCTGGAGCTCTTAAAATACATGTCTGGCCATCTTGGCTGTCAGACCCCGCCACCATACTATTTTTTTAAAATCACAATTGCATATATTTTGACACAGCAATGTTAAGTATTACAGTTTAGAGTTGCGATATTTGTACCATGAAAAATTCTACTATTTTAAGTAAGCATTGATGTACATGATTAATAAACACAGAACTCCAACATAGGGAGTTATGTATAAAAAATGTCTGAAAGTGGGTGCAAATATATTAAATGGGTGGAGTCGCCAATGGAATGTACCTTCCAATTCCTCTGATTTCCATTGTGACTGCCCCACTTTTTGCACCACTTTTCAACAGTCTACACTTAATGCATAACCCCCATCCATCTCTATGGGCATGTCCATTGACCACTCTTAAAAGCAGATGCAGTAACCTCCACCATCTATATGTGATTTGTTCCTGAATTGTTATGTCAAGATACAGACTCTAAAAGAGTTTAATTTTTGATACATATGTTCTTTAGACAGTGTGATGCGATCCAGCTGGGATGGCAAATGAAGTCATTAATATTTCTAGGGTAAAACTAGCATGTATTTAGACCAGCCCTTCTAATCGCCTCTCTATACGGTGGATGCCCTTAATTATGACATTGCTAACACAAATAGTATTTCATTAATGTGCCAAGTACAATGAATCACTGACTTGTCCTCTACACTTCTGTAAGTTAAACACAGTATAGTACATTAAATAGAAATGTCAATTTATACCCGAGTGGAATGGAAATACTTCATTAAATCAATTGAAAGCCGTTGTTGGTTTTAATGACATTAAGTTTTCTGCTTCATTACTGGGAAAAACTTTTTTTGCATAAGGAAATTGGATTCTAGATTAGAAATACATACTCGGAAGAGTAGTGTAATGAGCTAGATAAAGGTGCTGTGTGCAACAGTGTTCATGATAAGAAGAGAGCTGCACTTGTCTCAGATTTAAAAAAAAAAAAGCAGCACAATATTGGCTTTAAATAGGTGCCAAGAATAGTAATTGTGGACTAAACAACAGGCAAATGGAAACACTTTACCAGAGGATGTCTCAAACCATAGTGGTAGTGGTGCCCAAACTAGCTAAATAGCCAAATTAAAAATTCCAACACTCCTCCAATTTGAGTTCCTTTTATTTGGTGTCCACAACAGATAAGTAAAGGGTCAGTCGAAAAAAGTACCCTATTCAAAACATTTACCAAATTTTTTTTGGTCTTGACATCTACAGCAGTTGTAGCTTTGCCCAAAGCAATTCTTTTTTCACCATTTTGATTATGATTACTATTATTTTTCGTTAATCGCAACTCTCTCATTTTTCTTTAGAGTTCAATTCTACCTGACAGGATAACAGTGTTTAGTTTAATTACCTAGCTTAGAACACCCACGAAGGTGTTTATTAGCAGAAGTGAGGGAAATAGCAATAGAACGGAGACAGTTTTTTTCGCTATATCAGACTTGGATTTTATTATATATCCTGATTTTGTTGCCTTTCTCCGTTTTTTAGACATTTTCTATCTCTGCCTATTCCTTCTTCATATGAGCATTTGGTCTAATATCCCTCTAGATTCCATACTGTGCAAATTTTGGGGGTTATATTTCCCTACCGATTATCTCACAGAGACACCTGGAGGGATTGCACTGTTTAGGGGATCTTTACCTATAGCATTCTGAACAATGGATTTGTTCATGCACCAAGATTAGATATGATAGGTAATTATAGGAATCAGAGATTTTTACTGTTGACACACAGTTGTTTTTGTATCTCTTCCTCTTAAATAGGTTAATAAAGTTGTTACTTTTCTCAGTGGATCTAGAGATACTTTTTACGTACTGTATCAACTATATCTAGCTTTGCTCTGCAAATTGTTCCTATTCCCCATTTTTTCCTGTCTTTTGGGCTCTAGATTCTAAGATTTATCAGGCATAATATCAATGTGTACCTATAATTTATATTTTTACCAGCTAGCTTGGTAGTTTCCTCCCTCCTTTTAAAGAGGAACAATCCGAGCATTCTGTGTGTGTTTTCTATCTTGCCCAAAGCAATGCCTCATTTTTTCTCTGGCTGCCATTATCTGCAATAACATGGTGGCGACAGAACATTCGTAGTGACCACTTTGCAACAGTAGCAATTTTAAATGAACCGTATGTAGATTTATTATAGTGGGGCGATGTCACTAGGCCTACTTGACAAGTGTCCCTACCAGGATACTCAGAGCTTTGCAAGAATAAAGTGATAATTTAAAAGACAACAAGAAAGGGATATTTTGACGTTACCTTTGGCATGAACAAGCTTGCCATGTCTAACAGCAATAGGACATTAGCTAATAAGAAGTCTCAATGTATCACAAGCACAGACAGCCTAGGTGACCATGGCTCTGGATATATCAGATACTGTATGAAACACACTAGATAAGTAAGTAATCATGGTGGAGTGAAGGTGATTGTGGGAGACCCTGCAGGGTCTGTATTTGGACAAAACGTACCGGGCAGTGCTTTTGGCTCCCACCAGTCTGTCAATTTGTGATCTAATGTTATTATCAAGTTTGCACTTTCTAGAGGAGAAGCCTGTAACAAGGAATCCATATTTGCAGCATTTTGCATTCTCAGCTTCTGCTTTTTGCTGATGCCAGAGAAACCCTCTGAGTTAGATGCAATATTAGTGGGCTCTAGTTCCTTCTATAGTGAGAGGAGTTTGACGTGGAAGTGCAGAGATGATGTCACTACATTTGTCCATAATTTTCTTTTGATGCAATGTTTTCTCTTTGTGTCTAGTTGGCTTTTGTTGAACCTAGTTACGCTTATTTTATTTGTCTTGTATGCACTTACAAACAGAAACCATTCCTTAGCATTTTTGGCATACAAAAACTTTTATTTTCTTTCCTGTTTTTATATTTTAGGCTTATAATAGATAGGGAGGGATCCTGAAATTAAGTATGGTAATGAGACTGGTGAAATATTGCAGCATTGGCCACATATAGCGGTCTATCACAATTGAAAATCAATTCTATTTAAAAACCAAAGCAAACCAAATAAACAAAAAAGAAACACCTCTATATGTGCACACACATACTTTGTTTTGCCAATAGAAATAAGACAATCCACAGAAGCTTTATGAAACTGCCACCTAGACTAGTGGTCAAAGAGGATCAGTACACTTATCACTTTATTCAAGTTACATATTATTAGTTTATACAATTATAAGAAGCCAGTGAAACAAAATGATGTCATAGGCCAGTGTTAGGAGGAGATCAGCTGGGTATCAGCAAGCCTCCATAACATGGAGTTAAATACTGCTGCCCATGAGTCCCACGGCAGTCATGGAAGACAGGAGGTGCTGGAAGAATATAAAAATGTGTAGACTACTAAAAATATAGAGACTGCAAAGATTCCTTATCTACTTCACAGGCTACTTCCCAACTGCTTCTCTATCAAACACGCCAAAGCCATGCTACTGTATGGATGGTACCGAATCCCTAAACCAGCCACTGGAAACCCAGAGGTAAGCAGGGACATCATTATCTGATTTTAACAGAGTCAGGATAGATTGGTTTTCATGGTGGTGGTCCGCAATAAATGACCATTCCGCTTTGAGGAACACTCTCTGACCTTCTGTCCTGATTTGTCTAGAGCAACCATGGACTGGCGGAGGCCCTTGCGTCTCTTAATCAAGGAACGTACCATCCACAAGGTGCAGTAATGATGGGGCACACCACGGTGCCTGTTAGCTGGGAGGAGTGACTTTGGCACTTTCCGAGTTACCAAGGCCTCAGGGGTAACAGCTAAACAGCTAATGTTAAAGAAGCTTGAGCTATCCACCAGCATCGCCGATTCTCCTAATCCTCCACGCTCTGTGAAACCAACAGCCTGAGACCCCAAGAGGGTTCACCAGTTTGTGTCAGCAGCTCAGCAAGGGGATGCCTTATCTGTTTCGATACCATGAATATTTTGAGCGCTATTGTTTAGTCTATTGTTTCATTTCCGTTCACTTTTATTTTTAGTTTAATTTATAGTACTTCCAATGTGACACGTGGAGTGTTCCTAGAAACAGTTTAAGTTCAACCTTAACCTGCTGACTAGTGGGGATTAACTACCCTTCATACTATCTCACCTACCCAACTTCCCCCACTTACCATATACTAACCTGGTCCAACTGTTATAATTATACTATAGTGGGTGTTGAAGCCTACATGTAGGTTATTTAAAGTCAAGTTATTTCTTATTATTATTTAGTTATCTTATGCTCCTTGCCCCTACCTGCTTAATTTTGCAACACACAACATATTACGTAGGAGTAGGATGCAAAGTTCTCTTTTGATATATAATCTTCCTTTTCACAAGAAAACCCACAATCCCATGAATCATGCTGCATCACTCACTTGTATACAATATATGTTTTCACTTGCCATGTAATTTCTACTACCAAAATATTGTATGTGCTACTTACGGATTGTGAATAAAGAAAAAAACAACAAAAACAATTATTTAAGTTTTATTTTTGCCTAAACATTTAAAACTTTGCAGAGGATATAGAAATTTGATGGTCAATTGCTAGCCATCCCAGACAGACTGTCAGATTTTACCTGTGTATATGCAGGGACACCTAAAAAGTATTTAGTCCCAAATGTATAGCTAAAAAGTTATTTATATTTTATATTTTCTTCCTTACAGGGACACTTTAGTTACCAGAACAAATACAGCTTAATGTAGTTGTTCTGGTGTCTATAGCATGTCCCTGCAGGCTTTCTAATGTAAACACTGCCTTTTCATAGACATTACTGCCTAGGACACCTCTAGTGGCAGTCACTCCGATGGCCACTAGAGGTGCTTCCTGTGTCAGTGCTGCACCGCGTTCCGCACTGGCATTCAGCATCTCCACGCTCTGCATGGAGACACTGAGCATTCCCCATAGAGATGCATTGTTTAAATTCATCTCTGTGAAGAGATGCTAACTGGCACAGTGCAGCATTTTGCCGTGCATGCGCAATTGCTTCCCAATGCTTTCCAATGGGAAAGCACTGGATTGGCTGAGATCATCACTTGTCATGGAGGCGGAGCCAGCTGTGGTGGGAGAAGCGCAACGCAGAGGAAAAGGTGAGAAAAATCACCTTTTTACCACATAGAGAAGGTGACCTGAATAGTTATTTTACCACTATAGTGTCAGGAAAAAATGTTTGTCTTCCTGACACTATAGTGTTCCTTTAATCATTGCAGCATAGTTGTGAAGACTATAAATATTATGGAGTACATTGGTGGTTGAGCACATTATTCTGCACCTTAGTGTACACCTACATGCAAAGAGTTGTCAGAAGCTTTGTGTTTATGGAGGCTGGGTGGTTAAACATGATATTACCTTTGTATTCAGAGCAGCGGCGTACGGTCGCAGGGGTCGCAGTTGTGACTGGGCCCACCACTCCAGGAGGAAGACCAGGGAGTCGGAGTGGGAACTCTGTCTCCCATCCACCTGAGCCACCACTGGACCCCAGGGAAAGTCACCTTCCTGCATCTTAAAGGTAGGAAACAGGAGGGTGACTTAAACATTTTGTGTGTGTGTATGTGTGTGCCTGTCTAGAAACATAGAAACATAGAATGTGACGGCAGTTAAGAACCATTCGGTCCATCTAGTCTGCCCAATTTTCTAAATACTTTCATTAGTCCCTAGCCTTATCTTATAGTTAGGATAGCCTTATGCCTATTCCATGCATGCTTAAACTCCTTTACTGTGTTAACCTCTACCACTTCAGCTGGAAGGCTATTCCATGCATCCACTACCCTCTCAGTAAAGTAATACTTCCTGATATTATTTTTAAACCTTTGTCCCTCTAATTTAAGACTATGTCCTCTTGTTGTGGTAGTTTTTCTTCTTTTAAATATAGTCTCCTCCTTTACTGTGTTGATTCCCTTTATATATTTAAATGTTTCTATCATATCCCCCCTGTCTCGTCTTTCCTCCAAGCTATACATGTTAAGATCCTTTAACCTTTCCTGGTAAGTTTTATCCCGCAATCCATGAACCAGTTTAGTAGCCCTTCTCTGAACCCTCTCTAAGGTATCAATATCCTTCTGAAGATACGGTCTCCAGTACTGTGTACAATACTCCAAGTGAGGTCTCACCAGTGTTCTGTACAATGGCATGAGCACTTCCCTCTTTCTACTGCTAATACCTCTCCCTATACAACCAAGCATTCTGCTAGCATTTTCTGCTGCTCTATTACATTGTCTGCCTACCTTTAAGTCATCAGAAATAATCACCCCTAAATCCCTTTCCTCATATGTTGAGGTTAGGACTCTTATCAAATATTCTGTACTCTGCCCTTGGGTTTTTACGTCCAAGATGCATTATCTTGCACTTATCCACATTAAATGTCAGTTGCCACAATTCTGACTATTTTTCTAGTTTACCTAAATCATTTGCCATTTGGCTTATCCCTCCTGGAACATCAACCCTGTTACATATCTTAGTATCATCAGCAAAAAGACATACCTTACCATCAAGACCTTCTGCAATATCACTAATAAAAATATTAAAGAGAATGGGTCCAAGTACAGATCCCTGAGGTACCCCACTGGTGACAAGTCCAAGCTTCGAATATATTCCATTAACTACAACCCTCTGTTGCCTGTCACTCAGCCACTGCCTTACCCATTCAGCAATATTGGAATCCAAACTTAAAGATTGCAGTTTATTGATAAGCCTTCTATGTGCAACAGTGTCAAAAGCCTTACTGAAATCTAGGTCAGCAATGTCTACTGCACCACCCTATCTATAATTTTAGTTACCCAATCAAAAAAATCAATAAGATTAGTTTGGCATGATCTCCCTGAAGTAAACCCATGTTGTCTCTGATCTTGAAATCCATGTGTTTTTAGATGTTCAACAATCCTATCCTTTAACATGGTTTCCATCACTTTCCCCACTACTGAAGTGAGGCTTACTGGCCTATAGTTGCCCGACTCCTCCCTATTACCTTTCTTGTAAATGGGCACAACATTCGCTAACTTCCAATCTTCTGGGACTACTCCTGTTAACAATGATTAGTTAAATAAATCTGTTAATGGTTTTGCTAGTACACCACTAAGCTGTTTTAATAGCTTTGGGTGTATTCCATCAGGTCCCATTGACTTATTTGTCTTTACTTTTGACACTTGAAATAGAACCTCTTCCTCTGTAAACTCACGTGTAATAAATTACTCATTTAGCTTTTTTCTTAACTGATGTCCCTTACCTTCATTTTCATCTGTAAATACAGAACAAAAATATTCATTGAGGCAGTCAGCTAGACCTTTATCCTCTTCTACATACCTTCCTTCTTTTTTTTTTTTTTTTGGAAGCTCTTATAACTTGCTTAGCATCTTTCTCCCTAATCTTATAGATCATTTTGTCTTCTTAACTCTGTTTTTTTTTATAATTCCTAAACGCTAACTTTTTGTTTTTAACTATTTTGGCTACATCTGTGGAATACCACAGTGGTTTCTTGAATTTTTTGCTTTTACTGACAAGCCTAATACAATTTTCTGTTGCCTTCAATAGTGCAACCTTTAAATAATCCGATTTCTCTTGGACTCCATTTAAATTGCTCCAGTCTGATAATGACTCCTCTACACATATTCTAATTTTAGAAAAGTCTGTTTTTCTAAAGTCTACTCAGTCACTGTTCTTATATTAAACCACTCTGACTGATGATCACTGGATCCTAAACTTTCACCTACAGTAATATCTGATACCAAATCTCCATTTGTTAACACTAAATCTAGTATGGCCTCTTTACGAGTTGGCTCCTCAACAACTTGTTTTAGAGACAATCCCAGTAGGGAGTTTAGAATATGTGTTCTCCTGGCACAAGTAGCTAATTTTGTTTTCCAATTTACATCAGGAAGATTAAAGTCACCCATGATGATAACTTCCCCCTTCATTGTCGTTTTAGCTATTTCCTCAACTAGTAGATTATCTAACTCTTCAATTTGTCCTGGGGGCCTATAAATCACACCTACACAAGTTACTGTGTGATTATCAAATTCTAACGTAGCCCAAACGGACTCTATGTTTGCCTCACTAACTTTTATTAGGCTAGATTTTATGCTATCCTTCACATACAAGGCCACCCCTCCCCCTTTCTTGCCTTCCCTATCTTTTCTATATAAAGAGTACCCTGGTATTGCTATGTCCCAGTCATTTTTCTCATTATACCATGTCTCAGTAACAGCGACTAAATCTACATTACCAGATGCCATTATTGCCACAAGTTCATGGATCTTATTCACTAAACTGCGAGCATTTGTAGTCACTTACTTTTGCCCCCCTCCCCTGCTAGTTTAAAAACATCATAGCAAAACCTCTGAACTGCTCACTGAGAACATTTGTTCCCTTTTGAGAAAGATGCAAACCATCTTTTTTGTACAGCTTATTTCCATTCCAAACAGAGCTACCATGAGAAATAAAGCCAAATCCTTGCTCCCGACACCATTCACCAAGCCACAAATTAAAGTCCCTAATACACATCCGCCTGTCGTTCTGAGTGTTATGCACAGGCAGAACTTCAGAGAATGACAGTGTGGAAGCAACCTGCCGTATATCATTGGCAAAAACACTAAAAACTTCCTTAACCTCTGAAACCTCATTGCAAGCCAAGTCATTTGTCCCTAGATGGACAAGTACATCCAATTCCCCTTCATGCTTTGCTTGCTTAACAATATTACAGATACGTCTCCTGTCTCTGTGAGCAGTAGCTCTGGGAAGACACCTCACAAGACCACAATTATCCATCTCCACACCTCTTATAATGGAATCCCCCAACAACAACTGCTTTCTATTAGGCCTCACCATA